TCGTCCTTGACTGTTTCCAGGTTTTGGATAAAGTCGTGCAGGATCGAGACCACACGGGCCCGGATGCTGGGCTCGTAGACCTGAATACAGCCCGGAGCGTCAAAAGGGAATGCTGGACGAGGAGCCCACTTTCGAGCCCGTCGCGTGATGTCGCCCGATGCCAGACATTGCCACCAAGATGACTCCGAGTAACTCGTCCATGCTGCCTCGCCCCGTGACTGTAGATGCCTTGGTTACCTGGTCTTGACAGAATACCGTGTAGAGCTCCGGAAGAAGCACGGGCACGATAAACGGGATCTGCTGCTCGGAGAGCTCCTCGCGGACAAACTCGTCGAGCACTCGCATGGTACCATGCACAAGATGCGGATTGCCGCTTTTCATACCCGCAATCAGCGAGTCAAAGAGTGTTGGCCAAGCGTCGGGCCAGTCATAGGACGCGATCGTGGAGATGCAGTAGGCCTACGGACACAAGCACAGAGAGTGGTTGGTACAAATGGCTATTGTAAATGTGTCGGCGCGAACGACAAAGCAGGCGGACGGACGCACTGTAGCAACTCGGAGTCGGCTGATGTCAAGTCCGAGACCATTCAAGAGATTGGTGCGAATGAACTCCTTGGTCTGGGGGACGGCGGCATCGGGGAAACAGCAAAGTTAGAGGCAACTTGGCTCGTTGAAGCTCGGTCAGAGGACAGGGTGCTTCTGGAGGAAGTGTTGCAGAGTTTGCTGACGCACCTCAGTGGAAGTCTCGAATTCCGAGAAGGTCTCACTCTCGGTGGACCAGTGCCGGTCGATGTACTTTTTCAAGGTAAATGCTGCGAGGTGTTAGAGCAAAAGCAAGGGGGAGAGCATCCGCGACGGTGCCAGGTTGGAGATGAGGTGGGGGCAGACGGTGGCGGCGGGATTGAGGGCAGGTCGGCGAGTCAAGGAAAATGGCGCAACTGTCTGAAATCGATCGTTCATACTGAGCACCCGCGGACCGACGGAAATGAAAAAAGGATATCTGACGTTCTGGGAATCCCAGATCGGCACCCAAGATGACCTTGACGATAACCTTGGGATACTCTGCGAGGTCGAAGGGCAGTTTTGAAGACGGTGAGTGTTGCGGTGGAAGGCGCTCAATCCAGATCTTTCGAGACTCCCGTGTCGTTTCCGGGGTGGCCGACGAAACGAGGATATTGTCGCTGACCTGGGTTCTTCTCTAGCTCCAGCTGGCTTGTTTCGGCGGCGAGGCGGACGTCATGGTCGTGGGCAAGACACTGGGTCAAATTGGCAAGCACGGCGTGTTCGAAAGACATTCCTCCGAGCATTCCTTTAGACCGAAACGGAGAGACTGCTGGTGCGGATGCGATTTGGGCTGGCACTGATGCAAGAGGGCAGCTGGTGCAAGGGGGCCTGAGATGAGACAGCGCAGTGGCGAGCCAGATCGAAGCAGGTCCTGGACCTGTTTGCAGAAAGCGAGGGCGGGGTGGGGCGGAGGCGGCATTCAATTGTGCCTTTTTTGGTATGCGGCTCGAGCCGGCTTGACCAGCCAGGCCATTCTGTCGCGGGATTCAACGAAGTGCCAGCACCCACGACCGCAGCATCACGATATCCAGGGCAGGCAGCATGGTCGAACCGATGGAGAAGCGGACATACGGATTGATGGGGGAGGGGAAGGCGCATGGCCTCTCTATTGATTCAACGCAGTCAAAGACGGCCACAATTCATTCTCTGGTGTCCCGGTTCTCCAAACAACGGAACGAGACAGTCCCGTATCCAGGGGCTTGCTCATAGGACCAGGCAAGCGCTATCAGTGTCGGCGTTCGATTCAAGAGAGCACGTTTGCCCACGACGTCGATAGGGGGGGGGTTGGAAAGAGGAAGGGAGGACAGCCCGGGAGAGGCTGGGATGGGAGCGGAGGGGGAGAGTAACGAAGGGAGTAACAAAGGGAGCAACGAAGGGAGAGTAACGGAGGGGAAGAGCGGAGCCGGCATGGCAAAGACAGACGACACAAAACCATTTCAAGGACCCTGCACCAGGAGCAAGGCACAAGGCATATATGGAGGGTGAGAGGTGATGGCAGCTCTCAACGAGAGACAGGCCGAAATCAACTGAGGATGGGGGTTTGGAACAAAGAATAATATAACAGGGTCAAAAGTCTATCAGTTCATAAGAAATACCAAAGGAAGAACAAAGAAAATTACATTAAAAGTCCTGGTGTGCGGAGTTACGACGTATGTTAGTATGGGCAAGGGGTCAGGGACACGGCTCGAGCACTGCTGCAGCTACACAACGCTGCGTCGGTGTCCAGGCAACAGCGGAGCAAAAAGTACAGCCAGCCAGCGCTTACTTTGAATAGATGCTTGTACGGATCCACACCCACGATTCGCTGCTCTTCCTCGGATACTTCGGGATAGTTGTCAAAGTTTCGAGTGTCGCCGGGGTGAGAGCAAACGGGAACGATGGGTGCTCGGATGGCCCGGTTCAGCAACACCTGCCACTCAACGCCCCGGAACCACTTGTGCTTCTTGATATCATCAGAGCCAGCCTGGATCGTTTGCGGAGGGATGGTGCCGAGCGCAGAACGGTAAGCGGATGTGATCATGAACATCAAGGGTTATCCCCGAGGCGAATTCACCCAACACAGGCTGCAATGGCGGTGTCGAGCGGAGGTACACGCAAGGAGAACAGCGGCTCAGACAGATACTCACCTTCAGATTGCCCAGCCGCTTTGTCCTGTCTGCAGTCAGGAGCTTCTTGATCAGATCCTTGGCGGATGGATCGAAATGGGATGGGAACACTATCTTTCCGGCAAGAATCTTCTCGTAAATGCCAAACGGGTTGTCGTCGAAGAAAGGCGGGTAGCTTGAAGGCGATCGTCGACATTGGCAGGACAAAAAGCACCAGAGGCAGATTAGCAAGGCACATAGATCATGCCAAGAAAGTGCGGGAAGATCCAGACGGAGGTGGTAACTCGGGTCGCGAAACGGCCAACACTACCGGCGCTTGTGCGTGTGCGATGGCAAGGGCATAGCAGATACCATGAGCGTGCCTCTTTATCGCCAGCGATGCAGCAGATATCGGGGAGACCTACCCAGCCAGCATCTCAAAGATCAAGATGCCCAGGGCCCACCAGTCGACAGCCTTTCCGTGTCCTTTGCTCTGGATGATTTCAGGGGCAAGATACTCGGGTGTGCCACACAAGGTCCAGGTTCTGAGCACAGGCATGATTGGGATGAGAAGATGTAGGCATTTCGGACGACAGTAGGGGTGCCGTAGAAATCCTACCTGTCTTCAACCTTCTTTGCAAATCCAAAATCCGTGATCTTGATGTGTCCCTTGTCATCCAACAGCTGGTAACAGCGGAGGGTTTACACGCAGCGGGTCCATGTCGCAGCGATAGATCACATGCACAAGAGTAAGAGTGGGAGCAAGCATCGGTGGCGACCGCGGCACAGGGCAAAGTGGTGATCGGCAAAGCGACGCAGTCATGCAGGATGGACAGGGGTGCGACATGGAACGAGACTCACCAGGTTTTCGGGCTTGAGATCTCTATAAATGATGTCTAGCGAGTGCATGTACTCTATGGCAAGGATGATTTCGGCCGTGTAGAATCGGGTCATATCGTTGCTGAAACGTCCCGCCTTTCGCAGATGTGAGAACAGCTCGCCGCCGACAACATATTCGAGAAGCATATACAGGTTGGTTTCGTCTTGGAACGTGCAGAGCCTTGCAATGCCAAGGAAAACAGACCACCGGCAGATTAGGGAAGGGTGCCGGGATGGTGGTGGATCCGCCAAACAGGCTGGGAGCAGGGAACCGGCACAACAGAAGGCGTTGGTCCAGAGCGGCAGTCTGGCACCACGCATCCACTCCATCGACACAGCCTCCATACAGCCGCAACAGATACAGCAGCGGGTATGTACGCTGCAAGTAACAAGCTTGCAGGCAAACGGAGAGACCCGATGTGTATTGTAGCAAGGCGCCAGCAGAGCCACGACGGCCGATGGTGCCAACGGCCACGCACCAGGGCAGCCGCTTGGCGAGACAGAGCAGCAGAGGGTAACCAGGCGCAACTTACAGGTTGACGATGAACGGGAAGTTGATTTCGGAGAGAATGGTCTTTTCGGAGTTGATATGCTCGACCTGCTTTAGTCGCACGACCTCGGCCTTCTTCAAGACCTTCATGGCATAATACTGCTCGGTGCCCTTGAATCTTGTTAGGTACACTCGGCCGAAGGTGCCAGTGCCTGTCCGTTGGTGGGATTTGCGACGGCGTCCAGCCAGCAGAGACGACAGCGGCAGACCAGCAGGAAAGCAGAGTAAGTGGCAAGTCGACAGCCCGGCGGCCGGGCAAGAACCCGCTGGGTGCAAGCACACAGGGCGCCGCTTGCAAGAGGCCAGAGAATACCAGGTGCTCAGTGTGTCCGAGCAAGGCAGAGCAAGGCAGAGGAAGGCAGAGGAAGGGCAGGTGGGCCATACCGAGGGTTTTCAGCAGCTCAAAGTCGCTGAGCTTGTAGCCCAGCTTTGCACCGTTTCGGTTGGGAATTTCTGACATGGCTGCAGGCCGGCGACAAACCGAGAGCCGCAAATGTGGTTAGGCCAGCGAGTGGAGAGCGAGAGAATGCTGCATAGAGCGGTGGCAACATCGGTGCGCCAGCCCAGGCGGATGATGCCTGATCAGTCGGGCCGGTGCAGGTCGAGTGATCGAGCGGGTCCGGTGGTAACGCACCTGTGGTTACGGCACACAGTTAGACTCGATCTAGGCTCGACAGTGCCGGCCAGCACAAATACGATGGCAGAGAAGGCAGACGCTCCAGAGGCCAGGCAGCAGGGAGGTCCGGCGAGGCAGCGGCGGCAGCAGCAGCAGGACGGACAGGCGAGCCAGCAGACAGGTCCGGTACGATGAAGAAAGAACAGCAGGCCGAGAAAAAGCGGGGCAATTGGGAGCCACAGCAGCCGGCCGAGAGAGGGCAACGGGGGAGGCGGCGAGAGCGCGAGCGAGAGAGGCGCCGCGAGACGAGACCCCAGCGAGAACACCCACAAGAGAGAGCACTGCCGAGAGAGAACGCAGCCGAGAGCACTGCCGAGAGCACTGCCGAGAACACTGCCGAGAACGCGTTTCATATTCCGGCCGTTGCGCCGCGGCGCCAGGCCTTGTGCGTCTCGCGCAAACACACCACCCTTTCCCAGCCAAGTTCGCACGGCGTGCCGCCTTTCGCTCGCCAGGGCCGCTGCCGCGAGACACCGACCATGGCCGCCGTCTGTTTGGGGCATCGTCAGTCGCGATAGCCTGCGTCGTCGTCATCGTCATCGTCGTCGTCGTGCTCGTTGTCGTGGAGGATCTGCCGGGGGCAATTCGGAGGGCCCTTTAGGACCCGGGCGCCGGATCGTCTCACCCACAATGCGATTGTCGACTGCGGCCATTATTCGGCTGGCGTCGTCCCAGCCTCATCTCAGCCTCATCTCAGCCTCATCTCAACCCCGCTCGCACCGCTCCAGGACAATCGTGCACCTACATCGTAGACATCATCTGAATCGCCGTCGGAGAACTCTGTATGCATGCACCGCGGTCATCGGCGCATTCCGCGCGGTCGTCAGGGGGCGCATGGAAAGTAGCAGCCTTCGTCAGCGACACTCGCCGGTCATGCACATGGTATCCGAGACGGCGTCGCTCGCGTGCATCGACTGCTGCCACCCGGATCCCGGCGTGGATGTGCCCGAACCTTACCTTCGTCCGTGGCGTGGGCAGGAAAATTTCTGTTGAACTCGGCTTGCATGCCGCCGCCCAGCGAGCTGTGCGTGCGAGTAACAGCGTCCGCACTGTCCAGCCCGTCTCGACGAGTGCTGGCAGCGCCGGTGCTGCCGCTGCCAGCGTAGTCACCGTCGTCGTTGTCGTCGACATCCATATCGTCGGTGGTCTGAGGATAGGAGTCGTCGGTCACGCGGCCCTGCAGTCGCATAATCTTGAACTTGAGCAACTGCCGGATCCGATTGAAGTGTCCGCGATCGTACCATCCATCGCGCTGCGTTAACATGCGCATGTATCGGCATGAAGAAGAGTACGTCAGTTAGGCAGCATCCCTTGGCATCTCGCAGACCTCACTCAGTGGCAGCTGTCTCACGATCGCTCTGGACAGCCACCCACCAGCCCGCCGTATTCGGCCTTGACGTGCTTCGTGGACTCGACCAGCTCCTTCAGCTCGGGCTCGAGAAGATCGCACAGCTGATAGGCGGCTCTGCCGCTGAAATATACTCCATCAAAGACGTGTGAGCGTAATTGTCTTTGAGGAGGGAGGACAGCGGCAACCAAGAGCCATGGAATCATGGGTTGTGAGTCACGGTGTCGTGAAGCAAACGAGGAGGAGGAGGGTTAAGTGTATGCCAAAGGGCCCAGCCTCGACGACGCAGTCGCTACTCCTTGGCGAGAGTAGGAGACTGTCGGTGATCTGTTTCGGCGTCCTTCTGTCATTAATCGAGAAGCACCCACCCGGTGTTTGCACTGGAGTGGCTCGGCTTGAGGAGCCCCGAAGGCCGAGTCGAAACCATGAAGGGATCGAGTCTCCGGCGTTGGGCACGCATCGCAAGACCAGTGTCGGAGCGGACCGATCGCACATCGATTGTCTGATAGAACCGTGCTTGGGGATCCTTGCGCGGATCGTAGCCGTATCGAATCCAGCAATGCTGCCACGGGCCGTTGAGGCACAAGAAAGCTACTTGGCAGACAAGCTTGTTGATCACTGCTACGCTCAACGACCTGAACATCGGTGACAGTCCGTTGAGGAAGGCCTGGCGCGTCATGACAGGTCGTTCGGAAAACAGCGTGCGGAGAGCCTCGACGATGCCCTTCGGGAAGGACGAAAGGTCGATAGGAGGCGGCTCGGTCAGGACAGAGCCTTGCAAGCCCTCTGGAAGGACAAAGTGGATGATCTGAAAGTAGTCGTCCTTCTTGACGATCTTCATCTCGCGCTGTTTGCAGCAGGGCCATTCCGGATGCGGGATCGACGGTGGTCAGATAAGGTGTCAGCATCCCTGTCCATTGTCCATTTGCATAGCCACCAACAGCATGCCCATGATGCAAAGTCGCAGGGCTGTGAGACTGTGCATGCTGTCGTTCCAACGCTTCGACATCCACCGCTAGCAGACCTTGCCATCCTTCTCGACCAAGACCTTGACCAATGCGGCACTTTGCTTGTATCTACGGAGGAAAGAGTAATTAGCGTACCTCGGAGTACTTCCTTGCTCTGCGTGACCAACGTCTCCAGCAAGAGGAGCCGCCTTGATCCCGAGACTTACTCGTAGTTATAGCTCCATTCAGTCCTCGTGAAACTTGGGGGAGGAATCTGATGCGATCTGCTTTCTTGGTGCTCATTTTCCTCTTGGTTGAATGAAAATCTGTTGATGCCGTCGACTAGAGAGATCGAATCTGGGTTAGTTGTGGGATGTTCGCCGTTGTGGGATGGTCGCCGTTGTGCTCCACTCGGCCCGGATCCTGATGGATTGGAATAGGGAGGGGGCGATCGTTCAGAGTCGCCTGGCCTGCATCCATGTTCTTGGTTTGATGCGGGTGCGTGAAACTAGAGCTCGAGTGTCCAAAGGGACTTTGGCTCAGAGTCTCATTGATACCCGAGAGAGGACGGTCCGACTGCGAGCCCAAACGACTGCGTATAATGCCACCGTCACTCACTGTCATAGCGCTCGACCGCATACCGCAGACGAGTTACATCGTCTTGCGGACCGGGGTTATATTGGTAGTCCACCAGGGTTCGAAATCGGCAGGTTTTTTCCACAATGCCAATGAAGGAGAAGTCGTGCTTGACCTGAACTTCGCCCGTGACTTTGTTTCTGCGGGTTTTCTTGGTTATCTTCATGAGCAGATTGCATGCAACGACGCAGTCTCCGGTGATCGGATGGGAGAACGGGTTGTTCGGGCGGAAGTTGAGAACCAGCGACCCTGGATCTGCGTTGAAGCCCTGGGGAACCGGCAGATGTGTGAGCAGACGGATGAAGGAGCCGGCGGATCATCGAGGCTTGGAAACGGATGCTGCTGTCCTTGGCCTGTCTCATGGCAAGCTTTGCTGGGGGGGAATACTGCACAGCACCACCTCGTGTCCTCTTCTTTCGTCCGATATCTTACCTTGTTGATGGCCGGCACGCCGCCCAGCGTTGCCAGGGCTGCCTGGACGGATTCGTCGCTTGCAGATGAGCATGGCTTGCGTAGGTAGCCAGGAAACTCGATGGTGTGGAAGACCCGTGTGGGGCACTTGATGGTCGGCGCCTTGAGCGGCTCACTTTCTGTTGACTGGTCGACGGCGACCTCTGGCTCTGACTCTGGCTCGGTCTCTGACTCGCCCATTGCTGTCCTGATCGCTGTCCCAGTCGGTGAACCAGCCGGCAGAGGACAGGACCGAGGCAGGAAGGGCAAATGGCCGAGTCGTTTGTGTCACGTGGGGGTCGGAGCCTGGTTTTGGCCCTGTGGATGCCTGGATCTGAGCGCCGTCGCTGGGAGCCATCGGCAGCCATCAGCGACCATCAGCAACCATCAGCGACCTGAGATGGCAGAGGCAGCAGAGGAGGAGGAGGAGGACTTCATGTCCGACAAGTTCATTGAGCGCATTCTCGTCTCCGAGAGCGCCGACCGCCGCAAGTCCAGCCAAAGGTCATACACACAGATACGCAAGGCCAAAGAAGCCAAGCAGCGGGTCGCTGAACGAGCATCATCCCAGAAGCACCAAGGCAAGACCATGGCTGCTGTCACTGGGGATTCAGGGCGGAGCCGAGCGCCCAGAGCTAGCCCGTTGCGTGGGCTGTTCCATATGTGCCTATAATGAATTCCAACATGATTGCCCTCCATTTTGCAGATCAAGAGCGCCAGCGCCAGATATCGCTCAGCACAGCGATCGACGAGAGCAACAAAGGCTTCCAGCTGTTGGCCAAGATGGGCTACAGGTCAGGATCAGAGCAGCTCCAATGGCCAGCACCAATGGCCAGCACTGAAACAGAGTCAAGACCATCCGTTCGTGCCAACTGACGCTATTCCGGCTTATCCCGACATGCAGGAAGGGAGAAGGCCTTGGCAAGAGCCCTGATGCGTCCATCACCGAGCCGATCAAAGTGGATATCAAAGCCAGTGAGTGACTGACAGTGGGCCATCGACGCCGAGCCATCTGCAACGATGCAGCAATTCCATGTCAGACCGCCGCAACACGCAGTGCAGCAAATGAACGATTCACCCTGGCTGCTTGCTGACCCGGCGCTGTTTGGCAGATCGAGAGGGGCTCGGCCTTTCGACGCTGAAACGAGAGCGCGAGAAGGAGCTGGTCGAGCTGGGCGTCCAGGCAAGCAAGAGGTTGCATCATGACTTTGAAAGCACCCAGCGGCAGCGGTTTGCCGAGCAGCAGCTCGCCCGGGATTTGCACAAATCCAGGCGGTGCTGCGAGCAGCTTGACCTCGACAGCGGCATCGAGCACAGCGATTACTGGATTGCCCAAAGCTCTGGAGACCGGGATGACGACGACACCGCAGCGGAGCATGTGCCGTCGCCGTTTGAGCAGCTCGAGGTAAACCCCGATCCTTGGCATGTGCATCGGTGGTGGTTTACTGCATTCGACTCGTTGCATATCGGCAAAGTAAGCGTAGAAGTAATCTTTCTCTCTCCGTCATCGGCCGATTTGCACGGCGTCAGCCGGCCGAGCAGCTCCGAATCGTCACCAGGCATTTACGCGAACAGCATCGCTACTGCATCTGGTGCGGAATAAAATTCGGCGACGAAGGTGACATGGCTCAAAACTGCCCTGGCGACTGCCGCGCTGTACACGACGACACATGAGCGACTCGCTGCAAAGTGTTTTCCCAGAATACATGGCTCGCGGCATCGATCAGTCCAGTCCAGCAATTCACGGGTCCGAGATGTGGCAGAGAGGTCATTGTGGCGAGGGTGTATTCGATCCACAGCATGACGACCGACAAGCATCGAATTCCATCGTTCCCAGTGTTTGGTACGGATGTTTATTACAAGACAAGCAGCCGAAGAAGAGCCGGTTTAGATCTCCTTGACGCTGAGACCTGTTGTGGGCAGGACCGAAGAGTTCCGTCAGCATGCAACCGCATTTGGGGAGTCGGGTCGATTTTGGCTGGCACGACCCCACACCGGCACCAGGCAAGCAGCCGCAGAGACACGTACCGGAGGGGAGGGACTGCTTGAGCTTGTTAGCCTTCTCCTGGTCAGCGACAACCAAGGTGTAGAGGTACTTGGAGCATCTGACCTTGAACTTGTACTTGTTGCCGTTCTTCTTGAGACGGACACCTGCAGCCCAGATTCGCATCCACGCAACGGCGTCAGTACTTGTGCTCCACGAGCCGATCGCACAGGCGTTGGTGGGTCGCAGGATACATACCAGTAGCGTCCTTGCGTCTGGCAGTAAGGAGGAAGTCCTTGATCTCTTTGAGCTGCTTGGGCTGCGAACAGAGGCGAAACGGACATGAGCAGCCGTTCTACAGGTCGCCAAGTGTCTCCATCTCGTCCGTTGTCCATCGTCGATCGATCCATCCGCCGCCGCGATTCGGATTTAGACTCGGACTCGGCATCGGGTAACATTCTGACGTTTTCATCCCGTATGATCGGCCGTCCAAAATCGTGCCGTTGTCTGGTCAGATCGTTCGCAATCGTCGTAGCTCCTGATTTCCAGACTGCCTGAATGTGCCCCACGATATCGCTCATTCGATGTCGTCGTTGCCACCCTGATACATCGTGCGCGGTCCCGGATTTGCACCGTCAGCATTGCCGAAATTGAATCGTCGCAGACATCCAGCGCAATCCAGATGAAGAGCCATTTCCAGCGTATGCCAGTTGATCGTGCCTATCCCGATAGTTTGCTTCAGCCACTTGCCAGGCTCGGTGCAGCCAGTCTCGTTCGATCGATGATTTAACCGACTGGACGGATGACGAGCGGATGGATAGATGGACAGACGGACAGACGGATGGACGGATGGATGGATGGATGGATGGATGGATGGATGGATGGATGCGCCTTCAGCCTGCGTGCATACCATGTTGTGTAATAAACCGGGCTCCAACTGGAAAGAAGATTGAGCTTTTGGGAAGGGAGGAAAATCGTGAATGCTCGCCTGGCTGGCCCAAAAGGCCAAGGCAGCCAACGCGACGCGCTTATGTAAGCTACAGACAATGTGTGTCTGTGAGCACGGCGTTCTGTGGATGGGCGACACGGAACTGCAGGACTTGTCGCCCAGACCCATGCGAGCACCAAGGGCGGCGGCTATAGCAGAGAAACAGATGCAAGCGCATGATGGTCTGGCTGATGTTGACACAGATGCAGACGCTGATCTCGATAGAATGCTGAGATTGCGAGGGTGCGGTGCAGCGATCCAACAAGCGCCATCCGACAAGTGCTCAGTTGGGAGGTCTGTGCTGCGGGCCGGCTCGGCTGTCTTGCGTCGTGGGTCCCAAGAGCCTCTCGGAGGGCAGTCGTGCAGCCGCCGATGCAGCCCGTCGCCGGCTATCGGCGCGCGGCAATGCCATCTTGCGCGCTGTCGGCCATGGTCTTTGCATCGATGCGCTTGGTTCGGCAAGTTCCGACACGCGGTCTGAGTTTTTTGCGGTGACGGTGACACCGAAAAAAAAGGACTCGAGACAACAGCCGACCGATCGCCATAAAAGGCCGGTGCTGCCATGCGCTGGTTGTCCCGCCCCGACGATCGCCGAGCACCCCGACACACCTGTCCGCTGGATTGCCGCCCATACCAAGACGCAGAAATGGTTTCATTTGTGTGGTATGTATCTGCCGTGTGGCAGGAAACGAGCGTTGCTTGTACTCTGCCATGTTCTGCCATGCTCTGCCATGTTCTGCCATGTTCTGCCGTGTCCCAAACATGCAGTGCTGCCATGCTCCCGCCGAGTTCCTCGAGCCGCGGCCCTTGGCTCTCCGTGACTTGGCGGCGGCTGTCGGGAGGCATGCGTCTCACTGCATCCCGCCTTTGAAACGCAGCAACGTCTGCCAGGAGACTCTCAAGAAGAACAAGCTGGATTCGCACTTCAAGCGGTGTCCACATGCCTCGTACTCTTGTGTCGGTAAGCCAATGCCAAGATTCCGCCACCACGGACGATGCTCTGTCGCCGGCTCGACACTGCCTCGCTCGCTTGTCCCGCTGTCTTGCCCGGCCGGTCGCATGAGCATCATGAACCCATTTGCGGCTCGATCGCTGACTCGATGCGCTGGCACACAGACTGCTCGACGGATTTCCAGGGCGATTCCTACAAGAACCATACGTCTTGCATGTCCGAGGCTGAAAAGGTTCAAAAGAGCGTCTACAAGGCCCCTAAGAAGGTAGGAAGAGCGAGGGACCGAGCCTGCATTGTCCGCCAGATCCATCGACGCCCACATGCTGCCGGATGTGTCATGCGAGACCAGTCCAGACCCGCTATTCTCGTCTGCATCCGCTAACGCTCTTCAGCCGCCTCGTAGGGTCAGCAAGCCAAGGCCCAAGCACCGCCCGCCAACCCTCCGCCTGCCAGCGCAAATGTTGCAATTGCTCCAAAGACTGAGTCTCTAGTTTCGCAGATCAAGGCTGCGGAGCAAAGCAAGACCCAGCCCGAAAGTGCTCCCGCTGCCGATGCCGAAAGCGCCGCTGCTCCAGCCGACACCAAGTCAAAGAAGGGCAAGAAGGGCAAGAAGGCGTCGGCCCCCACCGTCGCTGAAGCCAAGACCGATGCCGAGACTGCTGTCGAGACCCAGCCGGAGCCCAAGGAAGAGGTCGCCACTGAAGAGACCACCAAGAGTGCAGCAAAGCCGGCCGGAGCCAAGAAGGGTGGCAAGAAGCGCGCTCAGCCCGAGAAGCCTGCCGACGAAGCTGCCGTCGAGAGCAGCCCCAAGAAGCAAAAGAAGGACACCAACACTGCCGACTCTTCGGCCGATGCAGAGCCCAAGCCCGAACAGACTCAGGAAGCGGACAAGAGTGGAAAGAAGAAGCGTGGAAAGCGCGCGGCCACCACCGAAGTGAAGGAGAAGGCCGAGGAGAAGGCTGAGGAGAAGGCTGAGGAGAAGAAATCTGCACCCAAGAAGGCCGAGAAAGCCCAGAAAAAGTCAGAGAAGCAGCCGCAGAAGGAGGAGCAGCCAGCCGAGACAGAGACGAGCTCCAAGGCCGAGAAGAAGACTGAGAAGAAGGATACCAAGAAGACGAACAAAAAGGGTGCGGAGAAGAAGGAAGACCAAAAGGCTGAGCCCAAAGCTGAACCCAAGACCGAGACTAAGGCTGAGCCCAAAGCTGAGCCCAAGACCGAGACTAAGGCTGAGACTAAGGCTGAGACTAAGAAGACTCAGGGCAAGAAGAAGCAGGAGAAGCAGGAGAAGCAGGTGCAGCCCGAGCCTGCAAAGACCGATGACGCCCCAGTGGAGAGCCAGCCTGAGCCCAAGAAGGCCAGCAAGAAGCAGTACAAGAAAGCGGCTGCTCCTGCTGCTGTCACTGCTGTTGCCGAGCCCAAGGATGAGGAAAAGCCCAAGCCCGTGCCCGAGACCGAGCCTGAGGTGCCGGAGCCGGCCAAGACTTCCGCTGGCAAGAAGCGCAAGTCCGAGGATGGCTCGAAGGAGACGACCGCCAGCAAGCCCAAGAAGGGCAAGAAGGCCAAGTCTGCGTAAACCTGCATCAAACTCGTCGCTGCTGGGGGCCCACAACAAACTGTTTCTGCTTTGCAGTCCCAGACAGTGAGAGTTACCCAAGTCTCGACGTGAAACGATGCAGCCTCTAAAGTCCGACTTCGATCTGGCAAATGAGCGCCGCGGTTGAACTCCACCCCGCTAACAAAAATAACGACACACTGCATTGGCAGCCCACCGCCACTCTGCCTCCGCAATCAACTGGCACATAGTTTCGAGAACTGCACACTGTAGAGGCGTGATGTGATGATGCCGCCGTCGTCGTTGTGGGGGATGAAAATGCTTGTAATACACCTGTGTGATCAACTATGGGTACCCTACCTCGCAGCGCCTCCAAAGATATGACAATCCTGGGCGCCACTGCATCCCACGTAGCAGACCGATGAGCTGTTGTATTTGAAAGGCTGCCTTCCGGTTACTCAGTCAGCAGCCTCTTGCTGTGGTGAAGGACTCGACCCAAACTGACGACGAGCCTGTCTTCTGAGGCCCCATGTGCGCCCGTCACCTCCCCTGTCACCCAAGACCAACGCACGATAGCTCAGGCCTTCTTCGATTTGCCAATGTACTTCTTGCTCTCGACTTCGCGATAGTAGTCCAAAAAGTCCACCTTGTCGGTCGCGCCCTGGCCGGTTTTGCGGGTGCGTAGGATTTGCCCGAGGTAGTTGCTGACCTGGGTTCCCACGACACCCTCCAGCGGATTGACGGCGATGCCCACTGGTATACTCTTGGGGTCGATGGCGCACTCGGATGCAGGCAGTAGCTTGATCGAGACATGGTTTACAAACTGGTCCAATACAGGCGTCAATATGAGCAGCCGGACTCGATCTTGGCGACGCCGACACCCTCGCCCACATGTACCGTCTCTGAGAGCCAAGTGCTGCAGAGCCGAGCGCAGGGAGCGATGCTTACCTGGGTGAGTAGGCCATAGACGTGGCTCTGCTTGTCACCACATGTGTACGCCGGACAGTACTGCTCGTAATCGTACCTGTTCAGCAACATACTCACTGTCAGAAACGGCCCCAGGGATTGGGGTCAATCTTGTGGCTGTACTTGCAGCAAGAAGGATGGCACGACTTACTTGAGACCCACGATGTGAATAGTGGTCTCGTTCAAATCCACATGGTTGAAGACAGGCAGGAACCGAAGCAGGCCGCGGCCATTGGAGGTAGTGCCCTGGTTGCCAGCAGTCCCAAAGGTGGTAAGCATGCTGGTTGCTGTTGCTGGTTTGTTGCATCCGTGACTGCCCCCCCCCCCAGGTCAGTACTTTGGCTGGCCATGCGGGATGCTCACCTCGGGAAAAACGACAATTGGGCCGCGCATCTTGTCCTTACATTCCTTTACCAGTTGCGAAAGAGGGACGTGGTTTGACGACGACTTGAGCCGGGGCTCGTTGCCGGTAGTCAGCAGGGCCTCCAGGAACGAGATTGAGCGGACCAAACCGGCCTCCGAAACAGTTGTGAAGACAGGGGCATAAAAGCACTGCAAGATGAGAATGTCGATGTACGAATTGTGGTTGGCAGCAATGATGTCGCCGCTCTGGATCTTTCGCTGGAGATGCGACTCGACAGCATCGCCGCGGCGCATTCTGAGGGAGAGAGATGGATCCGCCGTCAATGAACAGACGCTATACATTGAAAATTTGCATCCGGCGGCGTCCCGACGGCGAGGCCTGATGCCATCCTCTCGGTCAGGTTGGTGTCCGTTGGCCAACAAGCGCTGATGCTGCTCGGCGAACCGACAACCTTGGTTTGGCATTCTATCGACACACGGACCGGAAATGACCAAAGCGACAGCGTACTTTGGCTTGCCAAAGACTTACCCTTTGCGCAGAGTAACTGTTTCGAAGGGAATGTAGTAGAATCCAAAGAGGAACAAGAGGGGTCGCAGCACCAGAGCGCTGATGAGCTGCATCCACAAACGGTGCAGGATCGGTATGGCGAGCTGTTGAGTAAAAGAGCCGAATCAGCATGGGTATCTTGGAAATGGCGCTACATGTGAGGCCTCCTTCGGGCTAGCCCACTGTTCAGCTCAGGGCTGGGCCAGGTAGTGTTGTAAGCTTGTGCTGTGAGCTTGAGATGGGGGAGAGGGGTTGCAAGAAGGCGGGAGACTTTATCACAAAGACATGCGACTTACCAGGGATCCAATGTTATTCAGACCAAGGAAGAACAATCCCAGGATACCGACAAGCAAGCCCTTGACGACGGCCAGAGGAGGCCCCAGGATGTATGTCTCCAAGACTGAAACGGCGCCCTTGACTCCAGATCCATCAACTCGAGGGGGCTGGACCGGGACAACGTCACAGCGTCAGCATCGCCGAAGCAAATCAAGGTCCATACTACAGCAGGCTGCACACATCGATGGCGAGTTCTTTGGCTGCCAAGGTTGGTTGTAAGGCAGTTCAAACCCCCCAGCAGACCTTGGGAGGCAGGAAGGGTTGGATTCCGGTGCCTGGCGAGCGAGCGTGGATGAGTGTGTCGGTGAGGCTCGAGCGTCGAGATGGGCTGTTGCCGAGGGAAATTTAGGCTCGGTCCAGCGGCAGGACGAACCCCCGAGTCTCACGTACTCATACCTGGGTCTCTCCAACGGGAAAACTAGTCGTTGAGGATGTGTCGAGGTGTTGGGCAGCAAGAGAGGCAGGACAGGAACATCAGCACAGCATCGAGGCGACGGACAGCACGGCAAGAGCTATCGGAGGATGGTTTCAACCTTCTCCATTTGCTTCGCGGGATTCTGGTTGGTAACAGGCGAGTGGCAGAGCTCAGTTTGCTGCAGAGAGCTGGTCTTGCGGTTTGTGGGTCTGGTGCGATTGCGATCAAGGGGAGAGGGCAAAGCGGGCCTGGGCTGCGACAGCCGGTCCATTTTTGATCTTTGCAGACGATCCAGCCAAAAGCGGCCGCTGGTTCTTCGTCCCAGACATGACACCACCGGCAAGCGGGCCGCCAGGGTCAGATAGCACCCACGGCTTGAGCTGGGACGCCCGCCTGAGGACCCGGTGACGATGCAGGATGCAAGTATCCATCATTTTATGTGTGCCCGTCGTTAATTTCCCTGCACGGTACTCATGTCGGTGTCGCCAAGGACAATCCCGGCATGCCCTGTCGATCATAGCCCGTGGATAACCAGCCAGAGCCGTCCCTGAGTGGGCTCGCCGGCTGACGATCAACAAAATGCACAAGATGGGGACATCTATCTCGAGAGCGAGGGGTATCTCGGTGGACTGTATTCAGGCAAGCGCTGCTGCACAACCCTTGTGATGGTGCGGTTGCATCCGAGTCCGTCATCCAAGTCCATCATCCAAGTCCATCATCCGAGTTGGTGATCCGAGTCCGTCATCCGAGGTCCTCAAATCGAGAGGCCAAAAGAGCGGAATCCAGTCATCGCACAGACCGCATATGCCAGCCAGCGGTCGTCACACACACATGCTCTAGTTGAGATTGCTGGCGATCGAGTTCTCGCCGGTAAACCACCCGCGGTTGTAGTAGAGGTAGACGATCAGGCCGGAGAGCATGGCAAACTCCAGCCGCATCTGGATGGTCATGTAGATCCACAGCGCGGCAATGCCGGGAGTCTTGAGCATCTGGCCGAGCCGATCATCCTCGACGGAGATATAGACGAGGGAATAGCCAGCGTAGATCGAGCCGAGAGTGAAGGCCACCTGAGTGACAAACAGCTTCTTGAAGAGCGAGGAGATGTAGATGACGACAAAGAGGGAGACGATGGTCGGGAGATGTGCTTGGACAACCCGATCGAGGCTGTAGAACGACGAAAGGACGTCGTACTGGACGTGCAGGAGATAGTCGAGCCCGACGTAGAGGACGCTGAGGGGGATGCCGATGACGAGGGTTTGGACATAGATCGGCAAGCCCTCGAAGGAAGGGTCCTGCTCCAGCTCCGAGTCGGCGTCGGCGTCGGCGTCGGCATCGGCATCGCCATGGCTGTTGTCGCTGCTGTCCTTGAGCTTGTGCAGGATGCCTGTCTGCTCGATGATGCGACGCTGCTCCTCCTCAGAGATCTCGAGGAGCGGCTTTTGCGACTCCTTTTTGGAGCCCTTTCCTTTGCGTTGGGTTGGCTTTGACCTGCGGGTGTCGTTCCGGGCATCGGGACAGGGTACAAATGGATGCAGAGCATGAACGCCGAGGCCCGCATGTGGATGTTGGAGTGTGGCTGGAACAGCAATGATGCAGGGCGGCTCATGAGCGAGACATGGTTGCTGTGGTGGATGCCTGGTGCTTACATGGCTTCAAGATCACTGCGAGGCTGTCGTGGGAGCGAGACGGAGGAGCTGAGCAAGCGCGATGGGGTGAGATGCGGGGTAAAGTGAGATGGGGGGGGGTGAAGTGAGATGGGGGATCCTGAGGGACAGGGCTGCCGAGACAATGAGCCGGCCCACCCGCCCGGGCTTGCTCGTCGTCGCCCTCTGTGCGCCTGTCGGGTGGGCGGGCTGGAATGGGGAGGCAAGAAAAGTTGGGGGGAGCCCTGCCATTAGAGGAAGGCCGTGGTTACCATTAGAGGAAGGCCGCGGTTACCATTAGAGGAAGGGCCCGGCGAACAAGAGCCCCGGAGGCATGAAAACCAGCGGGGCCGTCCCGGCGATCGGTCGGTTGGTGTGGCGCCCGCTGATCGGCCTCCGGCGATATAAAAAGGCAGGACGGCCGCCGACGACGGGGTGTGTCTGGTGCCGATCTCCAACGACGAGCAGGTGAGTTGCGGCTTGGTTGTGCCGCTGCTAGCGTTCGTTAGTCGTTCGTTGTCGTTCGCTATTGTTTGTCGTTAATCGTTAGTCGCTAGTCGTTCGCTGTCGTTCGCTGCCGTTCGCTGATGTCAATCGTCGCGGCAATGCGGATGCTCCTCTGTTCATCGTCTCATCGCTCGTCGTCCTTCTCTCGCCGATCGTTGGATCCGTATCGCCATTTTCATCTTCCCCCGCATCTTCACCACCGCCGCCGCCGCCGCAGATTCAGTCATGTTCAGAAACGCTCTCCTCCGCTCCGCCCAAACCGTCTCGGTCGCCCGGGTAAGTCCTGTTGCGTCAAAGTCATCCGGTCGTTTCCCACAGCCCTTCGAGCGTGCTGTTCGGCCTCGGGTCATTCCCGGCGCTTCCGATCATCAGCATCGATGACCGCAGCTCCCCAGCCAAAGCCGTCTGTCTCGCTAACGTCGCAACCCACAGGCCCCGGTGCTCTCCCTGCGATCCTTTGCCTCGACAGCTTCCAAGGTTCAGGTGCGCATCACATCACATCACATCTCATCTCACCGCTCGACCTCCCGTGCCGATTCGCAGAAACGCACTTTGCCAGTCCCCAAGACTGACCTGTCTGTCCCTGCATCGCCGCCATCGGGCTTTCGACTGTAGACCCTCAACTCTCACCTCCGCGAGACCGACCCCGAGATCTTTGATATCATCGAGCATGAGAAGCAGCGCCAGCGGGATAGCATCGTTCTGATTCCTTCCGAGGTAGGCTCCGTGGCGAGCGTTCGGCTGCATCACACGGGCGCCATCGAATATGCGGCTTGTGCCTCGTTACGGATGATAGTCCTGATCTCAGTGATCAACCCACCGCTCGGAGTGTGTTGGCCATTTGACTCATCGCGCTCCCTTCCGCTCATCAATTTCCTCCAGAACTTCACCTCGCGTTCCGTCATGGATGCCCTTGGCTCGGTGATGCAGAACAAGTACTCCGAAGGCTACCCGCGTGCCCGCTACTATGGCGGCAACGAGTACATCGACATGGCCGAGGAGCTGTGCCAAAAGCGTGCCCTCGAGGCCTTCTCTCTGAACCCCGCGGAGTGGGGTGTGAACGTCCAGCCTCTGTCGGGTATGTATCCAGCCTGTTCGTCGATCTTGGCAGCTCCCTGACCCAGTGCACCTTGTCAACGTCACATCGACGGCCGAGAGTTTCCGTGGCGTCTCTGACCCACTGCCTGTCGCTCGTCCATCACATGCAGGTGCCCCGGCCAATCTCTACGTCTACCAGGCTGTCCTGAAGCCCCACGAGCGCCTCATGGGCCTGGATCTCCCTCACGGCGGACAGTACGTTGCCACGGCTGCTGAAAGCGAGGGCCTCGAGCTCGTGGGGTGACTCGCTGCTCATTCTTCGATGACTTGTCCGCTTTGTGGGCATGCTTCTCTGGGCCATATTAACATGCCCGGGTTGGTCCTGTTTCTGCGTCCAGTCTGTCACACGGCTACCAGACCGAGACCAAGAAGATCTCGGCCGTTTCTACCTACTTTGAGACCCTGCCTTATCGCTGCAACGAAGAGACCGGCCTCGTCGATTACGACACGCTGGAGAAGAACGCCTTGCTGTACCGTCCCAAGATCATCGTTGCCGGCGCCAGTGCCTACTCGCGCAACTGGGACTATGCCCGCATGCGCAAGGTAAAGCAGCTTGGTTGTGCGTGCTACAATCGATTTGGATATCAGATCAGGGCAATGCTACGCACCACGAGGCATCTGCCGGGACACGACAGCGAGCGCTGCGGCCGTTGCCTTGATCTCGGACGCAACCAGTTGCATTGGTCCGTCGCTAAAAGCACCGCCTACGCGCCTATTGATGGTTTTGCATTCGCTCTAATGCCATACCACGTTTCGTCGAGCAGATTGCTGACTCGGTCGGCGCCTATCTGATGGCCGATATGGCTCACGTCAGTGGTACGGCTCACACGCACCTGGGCAATGATGCATACGCTCTCAGCGGCGCCACTCTGCGATCCCAATGCTTGAGCAACGACCTCTAATGCAGTTTCTGTTTCTGTCTTTCACAGGCTTGATCGCCGCCGATGTGCTGCCGTCGCCCTTCCCCTACGCCGATATCGTCACCACCACCACCCATAAGTCTCTTCGTGGTCCCCGCGGCGCCATGATCTTCTTCCGCAAGGGAGTGCGCAAGGTCGACAAGAAGGGCAAGGGTGAGTTGGATGAATCGACTGGAAGGCGAGTCGGGGCCTCTGCCTCTGCCTCTGCACTATGTCTCTGGATCCAGGTCCAATCTGCAAACACTTGTGCTGACAGTCGCTTGCTCCCGCTGCAACGCAATCGTGCTCTCTCCCCACCAGAGATTCTCTTCGACCTCGAGGAAAAGATCAACTTTTCTGTCTTCCCCGGCCACCAGGGTGGTCCCCACAACCACACCATCACTGCCTTGGCCGTCGCCCTGAAACAGGTACGGTCTTGCTCGTCTCACGCTGGGCTGTGCTGCCGCGCTTTGAAAGGCTCTGCTGGTGCCCGGCATTTGCGCTCGACATTTGCGCTCGACCAATTACAGCGACCAGCAATGTGTTTCTCTTGCATTGGCGATCGGTTTTTCCGGTGATACGGTTTGCGGCGACATGCATACTAACACGAATACGCACACGCACACGCGCAATCGCTTGCCCACCAGGCCACCAGCCCCGAGTTCAAGCAGTATCAAGCTGATGTCTTGAAGAATGCCAAGACCCTGGAGAGCGCTTTCCGCCGTTTGGGCTACGACATGGTCGCCGGCGGCACCGACACCCACCTGCTCCTGCTCGACCTCCGCTCCAAGAAGATTGATGGTGCCCGTGTCGAGCGCATCCTCGAGCTGGTCAACATTGCCGCCAACAAGAACACCGTTCCTGGCGACAAGTCTGCCCTGGTCCCCGGCGGCCTGAGACTGGGTGCTCCTGCTATGACCACGCGTGGCCTGGTCGAGGCAGACTTTGATGTCATTGCCAAGCTCGTCGATCGTGCCATCCAGCTGACAATCCAGCTGAACGCACAAGCCCCCGGTACGTATCCACCAGCGCAATATGTGGACGAAAAGAGAGATGGGGAATATGAACCTACTTGGAGATTGAAATCACAACCATGCTTCCCCGGCGGCGATGTTCCCCTGACCCTTGCTGCTTGTTCTTGTCCCTCCTTCGCAGGCACCAAGCTCAAGGACTTCAAGGCCCATATTGGCGACGGCGCCAAGTTTGCTGAGATCGCAGCCCTCAAGAAGGAGGTTGTCGAGTTTGCCCGCCGCTTCCCCACTATTGGCTTTGATGAGGCTGGCATGAAGTACTCGTCCTAAATGCTCTGTTGCCGTCGTTGGGAGCCTGGAGCCTCACGGGCCGGCATTCCATACATATTTCCATACACATGCTCCTTCAACACCCGCGACGTAGGCCCTCGTTGGTCGTGTACACACTGGATATACGCATGTGTGGACCCTTGGCTCCGCATGCTCTAGAAGACAGGTTGTCCTAATTGCTTTGGGGCGAGACGTGATCGAGAGAAGGGGGAAACTAGGCAGGATGTATTTCGGCGCTCGACACGACAAGATCTCAAGACTCAGAGCTATGCTGGTTCTGCCGTCATTGTGGGTCAACAGAGTCCAAAACCCAGAGGCAATCAATGCTCAAGCGCGCTGCTCATGGCTGCCTCTCTAGATGCTGCTCGACGATCTGGCCGAGCCGCTCGCTAAAGAGCTTGTTGATCCGGGGTCGGACATGCAGGTCGTCGATAAAGACGCTGCCCTTGCCGCGGACCTTGATTTCCTCCTCCAGGGTCTCCCAGATGCGCATGACGGCAATGTTGCTGAGAGAAGCATTGCGGAAGACCTCAAAGACAGGCTCGTCGTGGTGGACGGACTTTGTTCCCGAGTGGTCGGGGGTGGTTTGGCGCCAAACGATGAGGGTGTCGGGGGCATATCGGGCAAACTGCACCAGCGAGCGTGCGGCCTTGACCTTGTCGCCGTCGTGGATGCCAAAGTTGAAGTAGATGATTAGACCGGGCCCGTAGCGGCGGCGCAGGTTGCCGAGCAGGCCGGGGATGGTGTCGCACCATTCCGGATCGCTATCAAAGTAGGGCGAGATGAGCTCGGGGAAGGCCCGGCCTTTGATGTGGCAGATGCCGTTGTCGTTGAACATGGTGTGGTAGACGAGCGGCGGCCGGTTGGGCATCTGGAAGTATCGGTTCTCGATGATCTTACGGGTGGTGTCGGGTTGGAAATCGACCTCGCGGACACAGTCACAGATGGCGTATCCCCGCAGCAGCTCGGTGGTGCCGCTGTAGTAATCTCGCCAGCTGCTCCAGGCAGGCATGTAGGCGACGTCTCGACCGCCATCGGGCCGCGACTCCTCGTGCTGCCAGTAGCCGTTGGCCAGCCGGAAGGCCAGCGAAACAAACTGGTAGCGCATCGTGCTGTCACCGATAAAGACGATGGGACGTCTACGAGTCCAGCCCAAGCCATCGGCGTTGAGGTCCGGGGTGGGCGCATCGTGCTTGTGCTCTATCCTGTCATCTTGGGTCTCGGAGCCGCCGTCGGGGATCTCCTCGTTCTCAGTTTCGTTCTCAGATTCGGATTCGGATTCGGATTCGGATTCGGATTCAGACTGGGACCCGTCGTCGTTTTGGACAAAATCATCGAAGCCGTTCGTGGGCTGTGGTCTGGGGATGCCGTCGGTGACATACAGCTGCTGATTGGCACTGTCGACGCTCTCGGTCGAGACAGCCGCCGATTGGGTCTGCAGCCGAGTTTGCAGAAGGAGAAGGAAGGACGAGCCGAGGAGCACGATGGAGGCAAAGAGCAGGACAAACCTCCAGAAGGAGGACTCGCCTAGCTTTGAGGGCAGGACCATGGCGATGCAGCGAGACCGAGGGGGGATGGATGTTGGTGCGGCAGCAGCAGGCCGAAGCGAGGAGACGGGCAAGATGGAGGACCGGCAGAGCAGCCCGAGGACAGGCCGCCAGCGGCGCCGAAGCGGAACGTTCGACAGCCACGTGGGCAGCACAGCCAGCCAATCGCCGCGGGGGGTGCCCGTCACGCGCGCTTGGCAAGGCCTGTGTTTGTGTGCCGAGATTAGGCTTTGTGCGGCTTTCCGTCACGACAGCCGAAACAATCATGGACAAACCCGGATGGCTGGAACATTCGTGTTGTGGGGACTGATGGCCGACCAACTGCACTCTCCCCTGCGTCGCCTTTGGCCGGTCGAGCAATGCGGTGCCCCCCCCCGCCTCACGGGCTGATGCCGCCCTTGGAGCCAGGCTTGTCGTCGCCGTGCGATTCTTGGCTCGACTCTTTCCGCAGCGGAACGCCGCCCACCGTCACAATCGTCCCTGGAGAGTTCTCTGCCGATGTCCGCTTGATTGCGCTGTCGTCCAGGGCGCTGGCTGCAGGCTCGTCGGCCCTGTCGCCCATCACCGCAACCCGCGACACAGCCGCGAATGTGGCATGGCCCTTGCGGATTGTGATTTTGATGTGTCGCGTTGGCTGCGTGGGCGCCGAGGGGATACTGAAGGTTGCCGTTTGGCCAAACACTGGCCGCTCGACATCCTCGAGGTCTTGGCTGAACGACTTTGCGCTTTCATCGACGGAGGGGTTGAGGTTGAGCAACGACGCCGAGTACAACGAGATTTGGATACTCGCGACTTTGATCGTCAGATCCCGCAGCGAGGAGCCCAGACCACAAAGGACGTTAGCTCGCTTTGCGTGTGTGCTGTACATGGCCGATGGGAGATAGCCACTAGTCGGCCTCAACAGAGACGGGGGAGTCGATGCATGGCAGCCCTCTCACAAACATGCAACAGACCGGCAATTATGTCCCTCGCCTCCTCGCTTGCTGATCGCACCCCCCACCTCGTGTGCTCGTGAGAGTCAGCTTCTTGACATGCACAGCGTACGGCAGTGACACGACAATGCTTTGCGGGAACATTCCCGTCGTCATCCAAAATGTCTTGGCGCTACCGTCGATAACGTTCTCTGGAGGGAATCGCGGGTCGACGGAACTGGCCAGGGCGATGCGGCCCGAGAGCGCGTGGTTGGTCGGCAGTCCGGTGGCCATGTGGACGAGCAGGAGACTGGGATGATGGAGATTGTGTGGTGACGGAGCGCGAGAAACAAAGTTGGGAACCCAGTCGATTGCAGCGATGTGATGGCGAGCCGATCAGCTGCAAAGACAGGCTTTGGACCAACAGACCCCAGGGGCGCGCGAGGCATGCAGTTGCGCGCGAAAAGCAGCCCGCAGCCGACCGAGTGCGAGTCGCTGAGACGCCCGCTTTGGCTCGAGCCCTGGGACGCTGGCACCATGCACAGCGCACGAGCGTATGCGCAACATCCACAGCATGTCCAGCGTATCCGCACCACCGCACCACCGCACCACCGCACCACCGCACCACCGCATCGCATCGCCCAGCGACCCCTGGCCGTGCATCGCCCTGCCGACGCGCTTCCATGCCCCATCAGCCGGCCAAGCCACACCCAGCCACGTCCCCAACCAGCCCGGCGCTGCAGCCAATCAGCGGCCGGCTGCCCCCGTTGGTCGCGTCGTTTTTTTTCGCAACTGGAATTTTTTTTCTGTGTCGCCCGCGGCACCACGAACATACCCTGACCGGCTTTGGGCCAGGCATCCTTGCGTTTCCCAGGTCCCCCCCCCTCGAGCCATGCGGTTATAGCTTGCTTACGGGTTATAGCGGCAGCACAGCAGGTAGGCCCTTGCCCCCTCCTTTCTCCCAGTAATGCCGGCCGCTCCCAGAGGGATTGGTTGCTCGTCGGGTGCCCCGCCACCAACCCGGGCTTTACTCATGGGATGTGCCCCAGCGCCATGCTGCTGCCAGGGGCCTCCTGCACACGACCATTCGTTCGCTCGACTCCATTGCTGCGTTTGAATGATGTGCATTTGCAACGGCCAGAGCCGCCAACTCACGTCTACAGACCCTGGACGTCTGGGCTCGGCCACCATCGGCTGTGGGTCGCGACTCTTGTCTCGGCAGGCATGGTCGTCCGCGAGATGCTGTGTATCGCCGTTACTCTGCTGGGATGGGCATCCCATCTCTCAGTCGCCCTAGCAGGCTCATTGCTTCGTGGCCTGTCCTGACGCCGCGACGCCGCTCTACCGTGGCTCTGGGATGCCATTCCCTTCCACATCCCTTTCAAGTGCAGATACTTGTTCATCCTCCATCGCGAGTCTTCCCAACCATCGACACGACGAGAGTCTACCCCTGCTGCAGATTACATCACCAACCCCGGTCTGCAACCTATACCAGAGCCACTCCAGCTCGCACTGCACTGCTTCTGCTCTGTTTCCAAATATCAACTCGTCTCGTACCGAATTCCCCAAGCAACTTGCGCCACTGCTGTAATTGTCATTGTCGCTCGCTCGGCCAAGTTCGCCCTCTCGTCAGCATGACCGATACCAACTGCTGTTTGGATACTCCCATGAGCCCCGTTCTTTCGCCCTCGTCCATCGACGCCCCCGACTCCTTCGCCAAGGGTGCCGCATCACTCTCCTCGCCGCCGCTATCACCAAGGCGCTCCGTCCTGGGTGACGACGACCTGGGCTTTGGCCACGCGCGCCAGCAGTCATCGCGCAAGTCAACGAACCCGTCTCGGTCGGCCCAGTCGTCGTCACTGGGATGTCTCGTTGAGCCCGGGTTGCAGGACCGCGTCTTCAAACTAGACGTCTACGACGCATATCTGCGCCATCCTCGACAGCTCTTCAAGATGGGCAAGGCCGAGCTGCCCAACGCCAAGTTCCAGCGCCTCGCCAGTCGCCCAAAGAGCAGCGGTCGGCTCACCCGGCTCGCTGAGATTGAGCGGAGAAAGCGAGAAGCCCAAGCGACTCTTCCAGCCGTCGTACCGGCAGTGCCTGTCGCCCTTGCCGCCCCAGCTCTGCCTTCAGTCCCAGCATCGGTGGCAGTCCTCGGATCACCACCAGCGCCAGTACCAGCGCTTATATTGGCATCGACAGTGAGCGAGTACCCCTCGGCTCCGAATACCCCCAAAGCTGTGGATGCACCTGCGGTCGACTCCGAGAAGAAGATCCGTACGTATTTGACCAAAGGCAAGGCCAAGGCGCAGAAGGGCCACAAGCAGATTGCCGAAATCGTCTCCGACCTGGTGAACAGCGACTGCCCGTTGTTCAACATGGACGACTTTGCAAATACCTCTGGAGCACCTGTCGTCTACTACAAAGGTGAGCTTGCGGCGGATGTACCGCCACTGGGTTGCTCGCTGGATCCTGCGCGTGACGTGCCCCCGAGCTCGTGGTGTTGGTGCCTTTTGGATTCCGTGCGGACACGCAATCACACAGCTCAGCCTCCTCCCACCTGCTCACCTTCATAATCCACCTACTCGCCTTCACAACCCTCTCTGTCGGCCTCGTCCGCGCGTGTGTGCTCACTCATCTACGTGCCTGCACCTCCCAGCCACCACCGCAACTCCATTCGAGATCGAGATCAACGCCGAGGGCTACGACCAACTGACATTCGAGGAAATCCGCACCTGCGAAGCGCTGCGGATCCAGCCGCCGATGTATTTCCACATCAAGCGCACCATGCTCACCGCCGTCCACACCATCGGCCCGTTCCGCAAGCGCGACGCTCAGGACTGGTTCCGAATCGACGTCAACAAGACCAACAAGCTCTATGACTGGTTCCAGGCTCTTGGATGGATCCCGCAGTGGTCCTTTGATGAGCGCCGGGGCCGTCGGACGACCTGAATGCTGGCGGCCGGCCTCCCAGCTACTTGGAGGGGTCGCGACGATGTGATATCAAGGGCATTGTCGTCCCCGAACACCGCTGTCTCCGAGTGTCTCTCCTTTTCTACAGTGTCGTTGTGTCCAGCTCTGAATACAGCTTGTTCGGAACGAAACGAGGCAGAGTGCCTCCGAGTGTCTCTCTCAGCGATCTGTCGCTCCGATGGCCAGGCCACAGGATTGTCCTCCAATCTTTTGACGGCGATCCAGTGGTTTGGCTGAGCACTTCTAGCCGATGTCCTGTGGAGATGGTCGGCAGGCAGTGATGTCGCAATGCGGAAGTGTGCACGCACTTGACCATCTGGACGTGTCGATATGATTCAGGTTGGCTGTCTTCTGGCTGGCCACATACTGGGAAACCGGATTCGAACCCAGCCCCACAGCCACACGTGACAGATATGCTGCGCCACACGCTCATGGGCAGCAGCGCGGCCCACAGCGACTGCTGCACACCCGCCCGCGCCCGCTGATTGGCTGTCCTGCTTCTGAGCCAAAGCCATCGCACGAAAAAAACGCAGGTCGATCGTTGGGCCAGCGCTGCCGACCATCTCGCACCGAAAGCCCCCAGCCAGCGCTGCCGATCTGCACGCCTCCGCTGCATCCCGCCGGCCTGTCTCTGCCCGTCCCACCCAAGCCCCAGCCGATCCACTGTATCGGTGTGCTCCCAGATCCGTAGTACCGCAGCCCAGCAACCGCACAACCGCACAACCGTTCTGTCATGTCCCTTTCCCAAGCTCTGCGATCCCGGCTCTCGGCAGTATCGAGCATGACCTCGTGCCGAGCCGGCCCTGTTCAGCTTGTGTGCTCGGTACGCCATGCACGAGCACCGACGACATCCAAGCCTACTGAGAGGAAAGGCTCGGACGCTGTCGACAAACGATACCAGGTCGTCAAAGAGATCCTCTACGGCGAGCGATTCAAGCGAGCGCCCTCCGAGGTGGATCCCCAACTCGAGCAGGGGGAAGAAGACCGTCTCGAGATAATCGAGCGCATGTGGGCGTACGAGAAGCAGCAGGAGGCTGTGCGCCAGGTCGAGGAACTGAAGCAAAAGTACGTTGCCATGCGGCTAGCCATGGAGGAGCTGGAGAAAACCGACGCTCGCCTCTTCCAGGAAGCCACCAAGACAAGCGACGATCTGGTCATGTTCCCGAAGCGCATGAAGATCCCGACCCTGACCCCACCCATCGGTGGCTGGGACCACAAGCCGAATTGATGGACGGCCGAGCCTCGCCCAGACCTTGCTGGATCAGCGGGCTGAGGGGGGGGAGTGGAGTTCTGTTCCAGGACCATATTCTTATTTGCCCCATCCATCGCACCTTCCATCGTCCTGCACCCCGCCTCCTTGACTCGTGCCGTGACCCCGCTGCATGACTCTCCGGTCGATATCAGATGCCGCTCGCTCCCGGTGAAAATCCGTCAATAAAGACAACCAAGCTGCGAGCCGGCACCCCTGCATCTGCGCGTCGATTCAAATAGTAGAGTTGCAGCCACAGCGATGCTTGGGCACGGGGGGTTGTCATGAAGCACTTTCTATCGCCCGAGGTTCGGAAACGGCTTGGCCGGGTGCCTCGGGGAGAATCGGCTGGGCAAAATGATCGCATGTCGATGGGCGTCATGGGAACGGTGGTCTCCGAGAATCTTCCGCCGGCACCAGCGAGGGTAATCGTGATGGCAAATGACCCACCAACGTCACTTCATGACTCTGTCGGGAAGCTGCTGGAAGGATGCAGGGCGGAGAGATGACCGCCAATCAGAAAATGGGCGGGCTGTCCTATAAAACTGCCCCGCATCCCACCTCCGTCTCCATCCAGCCATGGCCACCCTCAACTACATTGCCCAACTCATAAAGACCAATTGTCTCTTTCTCATGCCCGTTCTCAAGAACCCACATCTTGTCGATCCAAAGCCGGGCCACGAGGACACATCCGTGCCTTGCCCCAAGACCCATCCAACTTCAAGCGCCGGTGACAAGGACACCAAGCGAGCCTCGCCCGTCGCTCGGATGCACCCCCGACAGACCGGCCGGCTCCTGCGAGCCAGATCGAATGTACCCACTCGGACCGCCTCGAACAAGATCAGCCGCAGGCGGAGCGAGCCTCGCTTTGCGGCTCGAGGTCAAATGTTCCCGAACTAACCCTGCATCCAGCCATCGTTCGGCCGTGGCGGGGGAGTTGTTCTCACGACCTCTGTCGCTTACATTTCGCACCATCAATAGGCTGAATCTGATATAATACGCATGGTTGATCCAGATTTCGTAATACATTTCTTCCAAACTTGAACGTAAACGTAAAGCCCAGATATCAAGAGAGGCGTGATGGGCGAGTATATGACCGAACGAGTGGGGGCGCGGCTATGGCTATGGCTGGGGGGGAGATTGAGTAGTATAGGGGTATATCAGGAACTATACCGTTTTCGTCGGGGCGGGGGTGGAAGGGGGGGGGAGACGACAGCAACGGAATAGCTGTGGCAAAGGCGGTGAAGTAGGGTAGGATTGGCATAACCAAATAGAGGATGGTGGAAATAACGTGGTCGTAGGGTATGGCGGATATGGTGGGGATGACAGAAGCTGGTGGGGATGGCTGGTGATGGTGATGATGATGATGATGATGATGATGATGATGATGATGATGATGATGATGATGATGATGATGATGATGATGATGATGATGATGGTGATGGTGATGGTGATGGTGTTGTCGGTGTTGTCGGTGTTGTCGGTGTTGTCGGTGTTGTCGGTGTCGAGTCATTCGATGTTCTCTCGGTCGATCAGCATCAGCGATTGTTATGGACAACACTATTTGTGTATTGAATGTATTGGATGGATTGGATGTCAAATACAACATCATTCGGCAATTGCCGCTTTCTCGGGATCACTTGGCATGTCCGTTCTTTGGTAGCATGGTGTCTTGGATGGGTGTTGGCGGTACGGTTTGCTTGGCTGATCTAGCTAAGGTTCAGTGTTGCGAGTTGGTTGTTTGGGAGTGAAGCTTGGGAATCAGGGCCACTCGCCGAGTTCCTTGAGTTCGGCGATGACATATTTGCAACCCTGATCGGCGGACTTGCGATACCAGAAGACGGCGGTATCGATGTTCTCGGGGACATCACGGCCAGATTGGTAATAGACGCCGAGATAATGTTGTCCATATCGATTGCCTTGTTCGGCCGACTTGCGAAACAACTCGGCTGCCTTGGCGTGGTCCTTGGTGATTCCCCATCCATTCCAGTAGTACCTACCAACCCACCACTGCCCATACGAGTTGTCTTGGATGGCGGACTTGCTGTACCACTCAAACGCCTTATCATAGTCCGCCAATACTCCTCTGCCACCAAAGTAGCACCATCCGATCCAAAGCTGGCTGTCGCTGTGACCATCGTTGGCGAGTTGTTCAAAGATGTCAGCTGCCTTCTTCCGGTCATTTGTGGTTCCAAATCTATGGAACAGACACACGGCCATAAGGTGTCTGCACAGCCAATCTCGCTTCGATGAGAGCTGACATAGCTCGAAGAACTTGCATGCTGCGGGTGAGTCGGAATTGATGCTGTTCCAACACGCTCGCAGACACTCGTCCTCTCCGAGTGGGAACTTATCCGATCTGTTCTCTCGGATGATCTTGATTCCCTTCGGCTCGTCTCGCTCTGTACCTCGACCGAGATAGTGCATCCACCCGACCATGTGCGTGGCGATGGTCTTGATGACTGGGTTGGTGGACTGGGTGCTGACTTCCTGCCAGTGATTGAAGGCAACTTCATCGCTCTGCTCGACACCAAGGCCGATGAACGAGAACCAGGCTCGCAGGAACACGATGTGGAGACGGCCGTCTTCACTGCCTTGATCCGCAGCCTTGGAGTACCACTCGATGGCTGTGTCGTAGTCTTGATCGACACCTTCACCACTTTCGTAGCATCGACCGAGGGCGATTTGGGCCTGAGGGATTCCACGATCTGCAAGCCTGCGGTACAGCTCGACAGCTTTGGTATGGTCTCGGTCGACACCAGCGCCATCGTTATAGCACTCGGCCAGGTGGAACTGGGCCATGGGGTGGTTGTTGTCTGCGGCCGTTTGCAGGAGACTGGTGATTTGCTGCTTGATGCCTTGCTGCTCGGACCATTTCACTTGGCCTTGGTCGAGATCGACTTGAAAGATCCGTGCCAAAAAATACGATGATGATGGGTTTCCTTGGTCTGCTTGATTATTCAACCAGGATCGGTTCGCTGTCACTTGATCCTTGCAATGAAGCGAGATGGCAATCTGGTCACTTGGTGTGAGGCCGATTCGCATCTGTCCGTCTGGATTGCACAGTCCTTCCTTCTGACACCAGGTGTGGAGGCGAGGCACCTTGGAGCTCAGGAGAGGGCGGGTGCGCTTGCACACTCGGAGCAGGGTCTTGATGGTGCTGTGATCGAGGGCGATCTGGAAACTGTCGTTGAAGCACACGATTGTGAAGATATCTGGGCTGTGTTGGAGTGGGAGCTGGGTGATATCGGGCATCGACGAGGTTGCTCTGGCTTCAGCTTGGCTTTGGTGAGTGGCAGATGATGCCGTGTTTGAAGCAGACTCGATCATGCTGGCCAAGTTGACGGAGACAGGAGGGAGGCAAGTGGGCGATGGAGATGGACATGAGACAGAGAGGCATGTTGTGGCGAAGCAAGCCTGGCTCGATCCGATGGCTTGCTGGCTGGATTCATTGTTACTCGCAGCGCTGCCACATGCATTGAATATGAATCAAGCATGAAGTCGAAAGTGGAATCGAACACCGCATTCTCGGCATACAAGTATGTGCCTCATATATTCCATATCAGACCTGCCGGATCCATCTTGGCAACCACCTCTGCTTCGAACAGCCAGTCCTCATTGCCCACACTCGGAAGGATGTCAAGGTCAAATCTGAGATCAATGTCGTCACAAGGACACCGAACAGCCCACCGACTCTCCGAACTCCAAGACCATCACCCTGCCCCGCACCACAGTGCCCTGCCATGATGGCCCATGAAAGATGATGAAGTGTCAAAGGCGAGATTGTGTGCTGGATTGACCAGAGTTGAGTGCATTGCCACCCGGCTCCAACCTGGATCCACCCTGGCTCCATTTGGCTTCACTGGCAAGTTGATTCCCCAAAACTGGTGGCGTCTCCCAGCCTTCTCTTTCCCCCTCGCCTTCTGTCAATCTGCCTTCCATTGACATCGCCTGTCCTGAGACTCTGCAATGTCGGGAGGTGAGTGTCGCATCGTGGCAGGATGGTGGACACTTTCACAGCAGCTGACTGGTGGCTTGCCCTGAACAGACGACTTTGATGCTTTCCTCAAACGATATGGACTGGAGAGAAACAGGCAATGTCTGCTGGACAACGAATACGACACCATCGACTCGGTATGTGCTGATGAGGTGGTAGAGTGTGGCCGCTGCCCGGTGGCTGATACCAATCCCCATCCAGATCCTGGATATGCCGGGCGAGGAAATGAGTGCAATCGGTCTCAAGTCTGGAGCAATCACCAAGATCAAACGAGCTCAGCGAGACCACAACCAACAAGCCATCACAACTCCCACTGCCCCTCCAGTCGTTGCCATCTCTACCTCGATCCTCACTCCTGCCTCCACGGAGCGAGAATACAACCCGCCTGTCCTCAATCCCGAGTGGACTTGCACCAACGGCTTCCATATCCACGACATCTTCATCAGGTTTGTTGGTGGCGCTTGTTGTTGCCCACGATCCATTCACACCCATCTCGCATCCATCTCATCGATATTGCATCCATCCAGCTATCGTGTGGCCAGTGAGGAGGTGACTGCTGTCAAACTCCACTCGGCCCTCAGTGCTGGTCGTGTCGGCGAGCAGCACCCCTCCCATGTCTACCTGGACGCCCGATGCCTCGAGAACGGACTGGACTGGGAGGATGGTTTCATGAACGGCCTGGCCAAATCCAAGGTCATTGTCGTCCTCCTTTCCGAGGCTGGACTCGAGAGAACCAAGACTGCTGGCACCTGCCCAGACAATCAATTCCTCGAGGTGAGTGTCGTCGATCCAGTCCAGCACCACCATCACCATCCACTCACCGATGATCCTGTCCCAGATCGAGCTGGCTCTGAAGCAGATGAAGGAGACCCAGAACACCCGCTCTCCCGTCCAGATCCTGCCGATCCTCATCAAGTCCAGTGCGATGATCAATGGCACCAAGTACACCAGAGACTGGTTCCCCAACAAGAACGACTTTCCCGATGCCATCCACTGCCACAAGTCCAGTCCCTCCAACCTGCACCAGATCAGCCCTCCCCTCACTGTGCGTCAGACTCTCGAGGAGTTGCTCAAGCTGCAGGCGCTGATTGCTGCCGACGACTATGCCGTCACTAAGTGAGTGTGTCTGTGTGGGACTTGCTGATGGCATTCGTCTCATCAATCAGTCAGTTGATGCAGACCATCCAGATGCTGACTCACACATCCACAGACTCGTCCCCGAGATCCGTGAGACCTGGAAGAAGACCAGCCTCGTTGCCACTGTACCAGCCTATCTGCCGAGTGGATCGACTGTCCTCACTGCCAACGAGGACCACGCCCTGCGACTCCTCCTCAGTCCCATCGACTCAACCCTGGACAGAGAAGCACTTGAGCATCTGTTTGTCGAGGGCACTCGCCAGTGGCTGTTCGACCAGACTACCGAGTGGACTCGTCTGGTCTCTGAAGAAACAAGGGTCCTGTGGATCACGGCTGTTGCTGGAGTGGGCAAGTCTGTTGCTGCCGCCCAGATCGCCAACATCCTCCAGGCAAACGCACAGCTGGTGTCGGCGCTGTTCCTCAAGTACAACGACACCCGCAAGAACAACCCTCGATCGGTGCTGAACACCATCGCATACGGTCTGTGCAAGTGGTACTCGCCGATCGGCCGCAAGCTCCTCGACGCCGGCCACAAGAAAGACGACCTCGACAAGATGAGCATCTCCGAGCTGTTCAAGGCCTTGATTGAGGATCCACTCGCGGCTGTCGGTGGCTACAAACCACAGGAAGCGATCGTGATCATGGTGGATGGACTGGACGAGTGTCATCCCCGTGAGGAGATCCTCGGGTTCCTGGCCAGTGGACTGCAGCGACTGCACACGAAGCATCCGTGGCTCAAGTTACTGCTGACATCCCGTCCCGAGGACGATATCAAGGCAGCATTCGATGGAGTCCCGACCAAGACGATCGAGCCCTCGAGCGAGGAGAACATCCGTGATCTCGAGGTGTACATCCACCACCGACTGCTAGTGCACGGCACTCTCATTGACTCGGACCGCACCGAGGCAGTCGCCATCCTGCTGGACCAGTCCAAGACATTCGTGTGGATCAACCTGATCCTCAACACCGTCGATGCAGCAGCCATGGACGGCCCAGTGACACTCGCCACAATCAAGGACATCAACGACAGCGCCGCCGATGTCGGTCAGCTGTACCACAAGACATTCGCCAAGATCCACTCGCAGTCGAGCCACTCGGCCGAGTTGGTCACGGTGGTGTCGGCGATCGCCACAGCCCAGTCGATCCTGACCCCGCAGATCATCGCCGATGTGTTTGGACTCGAGATCGGAGTCGTTCGCGAGTGTCTCAAGAGCCTCAGTCTGGTCCTCGATCCTGGCGCCAATGGACTGGATCCCCGAGACAGCCAGTCCACCAACACCGAGGTCAAGTTCAACCACAAGTCGGTGGCGGACTATCTCCTCGGCGACGCATTGACTGGCCATCCATGGCATGTGTCGGACTCGTTCCACACGGTGTTTGCCAAGGGATGTCTCGGCGTGATCCTCTCGCACGACCCAGTGATCAACATCTGCGACATCTACGACTTTCACGACAACACCCCAGACCTCGAGGACAGGGTCGCAGACAAGATCACACCATCACTGCGATACAGCGTCGCCCACTGGATCACACACTTTGTGTGGTGTGTGGACGGAGTGGCCGAGTCGAGTCCGGTGTGGCAGTCGGCCGAGATGGTCGATGCTGCAGCGGTGCTCACTCGGTTCGTCAAGACGCATGTGTTCTTCTGGCTCGAGTGTGGGTCGCTCACACATGTGGTCAAGCCGATCATCGAGCAACTGGCTGTGCTGCGAGGAGTGATCACCAAGGCACTCAGCACCATCGTCGACGACATCACGAAGGAACTGGTTAAGGACACGTATCGATTCATCCGCGAGTTTGCCGATCCGATCATCAAGATTGCACCACAGGTGTACAACTCGGGGTATGCATTCGCACCGAAGGAGACGGTGATCTACAAGACATATGCCGATCAACTCGAGGACAAGATCCCGTTCCTGGTCACGACTGGTCCAGCACCCACCTGGGATCCGTGTGAAATGACAATGACAGGGCACACCAACTGGGTGACCTCCGTGGCAATCTCGCCCGATGGCAAGTGGATTGCCTCTGGCTCTGATGACAAGAGAATCAAAGTATGGGACTCTACCACGGGTCAGTTCAAGCAAACCATCAGAGGAAGCACAAAATCCATAACCTCGCTGGCCATATCACCCGATGGCAAGTGGATTGCCTCTGGCTCCAGTGATAGCTCCATCAAGATCTGGGATGTCACTACGGGCCAGATGGAGCACACCCTCGAGGGACACACAGGCACCGTGAACTCCGTTGTGATCTCGCCTGATGGCAAGTGGATCGCTTCCGGCGCAAGCGATAAGACCATCAAGGTGTGGGATGCCGCCACTGGCCAATTGAAGTACACCATTGAGGGTCATACAGATAATGTACGTTCCATTACCATTTCGCCCGATGGCAAGTCGATTGTCTCTGGCTCTGGTGACAAGACTATCAGGATCTGGGATGTCATTACGGGCAAGATGGAGCACACCCTCGAGGGACACACAGGCACCGTGAGCTCCGTTGTGATCTCGCCCGATGGCAAGTGGATCGCTTCCGGCGCAAGCGACAAGACCATCAAGATCTGGGATGCCGCCACTGGCCAATTGAAGCACACCATTGAGGGTCATACAGACAATGTACGTTCTATCGCCATTTCGCCCGATGGCAAGTCGATTGCCTCCGGCTCATATGACAAGACCATCAAGATGTGGGATGCCACCACGGGCGAAGTGAAACGCAGCATTGAAGGGCACACGGGCGCTGTAAGCTCCGTTGTGATCTCGCCCGATGGCAAGTGGATTGTCTCTGGCTCTTGGGACAACACTGTCAAGGTGTGGGACTCGGCAACGGACCATGTGAAGCGCACGCTCGAAGGGCATAGCAACTCTGTGCTTTCCGCAGCGATCTCGTTAGATGGTAAATGGATCGCCTCCAGCTCTCGAGACCAGACCGTCAAGCTGTGGAGTGCCAGCACGGGCCATTTGAAGCACACCCTCGAGGGACACACAGGCTCTGTGAACTCTGTGGCAATCTCGCCCGATGGCAAGTGGATCGTCTCAGGCTCCGACGATAGGACTATCAAGTTGTGGGATGCCACCACGAGCCAGCTGCAGCACACTCTTGAAGGACACACAGACCCTGTGCATTCTGTGGCGATTTCAGCCGATGGCAATGCGATCCGATCCTGTGATTTGAACGACAGCCAAATCAATTGGGTTCGTCATGGTGGCGAGTTTGTTCGCTCGGACGAGGACCATGTCGGTTCCGTCGCTGAGCCGCTCGATCAGGTCGCTTCCGCTCAATGGAGTAGAATCGGAAGTTGGAAATCACAGTGGATTCGCCACGAGATTCATATCATCAAAGTCCTTCACGTTCTCTTTGGTGGTTGGGACAATCGGTATTTCACTCCTTCTGGCGGAGTTGTATTCTGGACTCAAACTCCATCTCGTCCGGTCGTCATTCTGGTAAGGTCTGCTCCCGCACTTGGCCTCCCTTTGCTCCTACTAATGTTTTCACCTCCACAGCCAATCTATCTTCAAACCCCCGAGATCCACGCTGAGGCATCATCCAGCAAAGAATTCAGGCTCGCACTCACGGCTCCCCACAAAGAGCAAGGGAGAGACTCCGAGTAGGAACGAGGTCGGTGGTCGGAGCAACAGCCGGCTCGGGGGAAGGAGGAACGGTTGGTGACTGCAGTCATCGAGTGATTGAATAGATGTTGCCCTGTCGTACCGCAATGCGTTGTGTGCGATTTCCATCAATCAAACATACGGATAGAATATATCTTGCTCGCTGAGTGAACCAGCCATTTACGACGCCGTCGCCCTTGAAACAGAGGCTGGAACTGCGTGTTCGAGTTGATATTGTTCATGTTTGTTGGATGACCTCCCCTCTTACCCAAGTCACCACCGAGGTGCTTCACGACAGCGACTCATCCGCGACGTCGCTGCTGCCTGCCGAAGCGCTATCCGGATGCGGCTGGATGCTGCTGAGAGAACGAGGGGTCACAGGGCTGGGTGGTTTGGTTTGCACTTTAGCCGTCGATTCTGCCTGCCACTGCGGCTTGACCCTCCATACAATAGCTGGTGCGCCGAGGCCAGTCGGGATCGGGGCGTGGTCAGAACTTGCACCATCCAGCAGGCGACGATTTCAACGAACCCATATCTGCTGATGTGATCCCCGGAAGTAGCAAGGCCACAGCCCGGGGGCCGGCCGCACTGATCCCCGCGCTTGCTGGTCCTCTCGTATTCACTCTTGCCTCTGTCCCCTCGCATGCTCTGGTGACCCATTCGGCGCCCACACATCCATCCATTCGTCCAATGTCCCAGGCACCCATCCAGTATCTCGCGCGCTGTCTCCTTTTGCGGATCCATCCAATGCACATGGGCTGGTGGCAGGTGGTTCCACAGCCAGCCCATGGGCATCCGATTTCGGCCATCTGTGCTGCCGAGGACAGGCATCCTGGCGCCCGGTGGGAAATGGGCTCAGCCAGCCAGTCGGCGGACAAGGAGAGCAGCGCCGCCGCCCGGTGTGCACGATGTGCCGGCAAGGTTTCGCCAGCTGCCACACCCCTTGTCGATCAGGTCGTGCCAGGCGTTGGCGACCCCTGTGGCAGCCGAGCCGACGTGTGCCCTGGTCCACTCCCCTTTCAGCCGCGGCGGGCTGGATACCCATGAGCCGTCCTGGATCCGCGCCGGCAATCCTGTCCATCCATTCGACCCTGTCACTGCCCCCGTCTGGCAAGTATATGTACCTGCGCGACGTTTCCGAGCCTCAAGGCAGTCATCACCCGCCCTCATAGCCACTCCCCCCCCGCTCGCTCTCCTCCCGCCGCTTCCCCGCCCGCCCCCCTAGTTTGCCCAACTATGACAATAACAAAAGTCGCCATCACTGATGTGGACAACACGACCGAGGTCGTGAAAGTAGCCGACCTCGACGAAACGACTGTCGAGCAGCCCAATGTGCCCGTGAGCAGATTGGTGGTAAGTCTGGGGCTTGGGCTGAGCCTTTGCACCACGCTTGCGCCCTTTGACACTAGCAATGACACCAGCAACGGCACCAGCAACGGCACCAGCAACGGCACCAGCAATGGCACCGGCACTCACGCGCAACTTCCACTCCAACCCAACAGTTCATTGGCATCATGGTCTCCCTTTCGCTGCTCATCTTTGCCGCCTCGATGGTTGGCACCATCGTCGCCACGGCCCTGCCATCCATCGCCCACGAGCTCGGCGACCTCAAGGACTACTCCTGGGTCGCCACGGCCTATCTCCTGACCTCAACTGCCATCCAGCCCCTCAGTGGCGTCATGAGTGACATCTTTGGGCGCAAGGTACATTGGTCCTCCTGCACATTCGGTTCTCGCCGTCAGCACATATTCCCAGAGCGCGCAAAAGTATTCCGTCCTCTTGCTCACGGCATTTCATTTGTACGTCCATGCTGCCTCAATCCAGATGGTGGTGGTCTTTTCGGCCTCCGCCTTTCTGCTCGGCAACATCCTCTCTGCCGTCAGCACCAGCATGATCATGCTCATTGTCTCCCGCGCCGTCATGGGCATCGGGGGTGGCATCATCTTCTCCATCGTCTATGTTGTCATTGGTGACATTGTGGTGCCCCGGAAGCGCGGCGCCTACCAGGGCATCCTCGGCGGCGTCTTTTCGATCGCCACCGTCATGGGTCCCATCATTGGCGGACTCTTTATCGACAGCTCCGCCGGCTGGAGATGGTGCTTCTATGTCATCATCCCCATCGCCGCCATCTCCCTCATCTCGACCATCTTTCTCATGAAGTTCCCAAAGCCCACGGGCTCTCTCAAGGACAAGCTCGTTCTGCTGGACATCTGGGGAACGCTGACGATCTGCGTCAGTGTTGTGCTGATTCTACTTGCCCTCACCTGGGGCGGCGTAACCTATGCCTGGAACTCGGCCACGATCATTGTTCTGTTCGTCGTCGGCGGCCTCATGATGGGTGTCTTTGTCCTGGTTGAAGCCAAGATCCCACGCATACCCATCATTCCCCTCGACCTGTTCCAGTATCTCAACCTCAATGCCGGAAACATCGTCGTCTTCTCGTATGGCTTCCAGATGTTCGGTAAGCTGATGGACACTGTATGCTGATATCAATGGCTGCGGTGTCGTCTGGAGGCAGGGAGAGGATACTCATGGCGATTTGCTCACACATTGACCTAACCTCACTCTGCCCTTATCGCACAGGCTTCATCTTCTTTGTTCCTCTCTACTTCCAGGCCATCCACGGCAAAACCGCCGTCCAAGCCGGCCTCGCACTCGTCCCCTTCGTGCTGGCAGTGTCCATCTCATCGATCATCGCCGGCCTGGTCACATCCCGCTTCGGCACCACTCGGGGTCTGATCATTCCCAGTACGGCGCTGTTGTCGATTTCGGTCGGTCTCCTGATCCTCCTCGACGAGAACTCCAGCTGGGCTGTCGAGGCCACGATCCTTGCCCTGATCGGTTTTGCCATGGGCCTCGGTCTGCAGACCGTCACTGCTGCCGTCCAGGGCTCCGTCCCCGTCGAGCGTCTGGCCTCGGCCACATCGAGCAACACATTCTTCCGAACCTTTGGCGGTGTCTTTGGCGTTGCTCTCTTCCAGACCGTGCTGCTGACTCGCTTCCAGGCCTCGCTGGTCACTCGCCTGGGTCCCCGGGTTGTCCAGTCCGTCGCCATCTCGGTAAGGATTGACTGCATGTTGATTGCTTCTTCAAGTGAGGGGAGGTGAACCGAGCAGTGACTGCTCGACTGATTGAGGGCCCCGGTGGAATTATATGCAGTCAGTGTTTTGGCTATGATCCAGGGATGGCAAGAACGATTGCCGCCCATGTCACTCGCCACTGTTTCTCACGATCGCATCTCCATCTTCCCGTCCAGTTCGACCCCAATGACCTCAACACTCTGCCCGCACCCATCCGCGCAGTTGTTGTTTCTGCGTTGGTCGATGGATTCCACACAGTGTGGATCGTTGCCGCAAGCGTCGCTGGCGCTGGTTTCCTGGCGTCGCTGCTGATGCGATCCGTCGATTGGAGCAAGAGCCAGTCGCATGTCAAGGGTGCCCAACGATCCCCGTCGCTGAACAACAAGGTTGATGACAACGCCTAAAGCACATCAACAGCAAGAAAAGAAAGAAAGAAAGAGAATATGCAGGAAGCTTTGTGTAAGAGTTGCCGATGATCGCCATCGAGTCCTTGTTCCCTCGATTGTTCTACCTCTTGGAGGGGTAATTTACTCTCGGAGCAAATCGTCGCTCCGCCCCGCCTCATTTTCCTCGCCCAGTTCGAGCACCCAACGCTTCTCAAGCAAGCATAGTCCACACATCTATCCTAAAGCCGTCATTTGTGTAATCCAAACACAAAAAAATCCATTCGGCTCTCCTTTCCTCTACTCGATTCAAAACTTTTCTATGATCGATTTTGCCTACGCTTCTTTATTTTTTGGGGACTATGTATGTGAACCTCTATTTATCGATGCAGTATTTGACGTCAATACATCTTGACTGTGCAATGACAGCGACCGCGACCGCGACGAAGGCAGCGGATCTTGTGCGCAATACGGCAGAGTCCAGCCCATCCCCTCATGCATGCATCTCCAGGGTCAAGTTCTCCGGACTTAGAAAGCCGTGAGACGCAAGAAAAACAAAAAACAAAATCGCTGATGGACTTGGAAAAGGCAAACCGCCTCGACGGCCATGTCTATGGACAATATGAACGGCTCCAACGACGTCACTGCGACCGCAGCTCTTGTCCAAACTCGGGAAACAGCTTGCCAAAGGCGTCGGCACAACCGGCCTCGGCCAGAAAGGTCTCCATCTTGAAGAGGCTGTTGCGGTTGCCACGAGCGCCGTGCAGATCAAAGACAATCTCGACCATGCCCTTGAACTTGCGCAGGGCATCGAGCTCGCGGACGGACGAGATTGCTTGTTTGTCTCGGTGCCGCAGGGTCATCTTTTTGTGGGCCGGCGGAAGGTCGGCCCAGCTGACGGTCCGGATCTCGTGGAAGTATGTGTTGATGTGAGTATCGAGGCCCTCGACGACGAGGACACCTGAGGGGAGAGGCCATTCGTGAAGATGCGCCATTTCGTTAGTGGATATGTCTCGATGAAAGCCGGACGGATGGTCGGGATTGGTGCTCGAGTCTGATGCCTGTTGCGATGGGGATTGATCATGGCCAACAGCATTGCGTGCCCAGACATGCCCGGATATGCATCCGCCTTGGCCTCACCTGGCTTTCCCGGAGTGACGAAGCCCGTCAGCCCAAGCCGCAGTGCATAATCCACCAGGTCCTTGCGCTTCTCCTTGGTGCTCAGGGAAGGAAAGTAAACCCATTCACGGGCAAAGACGAGTGGGCCAGCGTCCTGGCTTGGGCTGCTGTCCTGCGGCGGCCCTGATGCCGCCAGGGTCGACTCTTGGATCAACCGGGCTCCGTCGTCGTGGATCCAGGCAATGATCTCCATCGTCATCATGGACGGCGTGCATTCGCTCGGATCTCGCTCGGCAAAAATGCGCTCCACGAGCTCGTCCAGCCTTTCCGAGAGGGCTTCGTGCAGCTCCCGGGAGAGCGATGCCGAGGTCCCGAAATGAAACGATGGCCGGTCCAACTCAATCTCGGTGTCGTCATGGTTGTTCGTGGGGCAGAGCAGCGGACAGCGGCAGTGGAGACGGATCGAGACGGCTGTGTCGGGCACTTGGACGTTGACTGCAAACTGCAGGACCGACGGCTTGGAGCCGGGACAGCCGCTCTGGCGGGATTGGAGCCAGTCCAAGAGCGAAGGCTCGACGTCCAGCTCGCCCTCGGAGCAGTAGATGGACTGGAGGATCTCGATCTGATCCGAGAGCGCCGACATGGCGATGGCGATGGCGATAAAGCGGTTGGGTGCCACAGCTGGTTGCTGGCTCGGCCAGTTCCCTTGGCTCCAGCGAGAGCAGCCGAGAAGCGCCCGTCGCCCTCGTCCAAATCACTCAGAGGACGCTCTGGTGCTGCGAGAAGTGGGCAAGTCGAGGAACTGCCGATCCAACCGAGCGGCACCATGTCGCTCTTGCGATCCGCCAGTCTCTGGACAAGCCCATCAATGTCTTGGCTCTCTGGCGAAAGCACCTCACGCGCGCCAGCTCCGTGCTGGCCGTTGGATCGGGAGCTTGCTTGGGCGAGCTTGCTTGGGTGAGCTTGCTTGGGTGAGCTTGCTTGGCGGACCCCAGCCCGTCCTTGAGAGGAGCTTGGCACATGCCAAGCACGGTTGTCGGCTCCTTGGCGCTCGGCTGTTGTTGGAGAATGATAAGGAATCTGCGGAGCACCGACCCGGCGCACAGGTTGCATTTTGGCATGGGCGGAATGGGCTGGTTGGAATGGAGGCAAGACAAGCGACCGACAGGGCAGGGGGTGCGGCGGACCTGGCGACAGACAGGCAGCCAAGACGCAAGACGGGGACAGCCAGAGGAGAGCCATGCATGCACATCAACGGCAGGTGCGATGTAATCGCAGGAAGTGTAGATTCGAGACCGGTGCACGGAGGGCACAGAAGGGTGGGATCGCGACGCCTGGACATGGGGGAGCACAGAGCTCTGGTGAGGGGGTGGGTGCACAAACACCACGTTCACAGGGCGGCGTGGCGGGTTGAACAGGTTGGTGCGAAAGTCCGTTGGCAAGTTGGCTCGAAAGTCTGTTGGCAAGTTGGTGCGAAGAACATGCCCAGGGCAGAACGGGTTAGTCCCAGCTACGTTTCTCACACATCAACCCTCGACAGCCGTTGGTTTTGCAGCGCACTCTTGCGATTCAACTGATTCGACACCATGCGCTGGCAGTCAACTGTGGCAGAGACACACGCACCCACGCGGGCGCGCCTGGTGCGCAGCGATCCACGCCGCCCGCCGACCCAAAAGAGGCAGCACGGTGGCGAGGCCGCTGGCGGCCTTGTGTGTGTGTGGCACCCATGTGCGTGTCACGGCGGCGGCCTGCCGCTGTCTGAGTGGAGGCCCTGTGCAAGTGCGGCGCTGCCAATTGACTGGTCGCGGGTGCTGTGTGGATACAGCCGCCAAAGTTGCTTTTGTTGGCGTTGTTGGTGCTGTTGGCCATTGTCACTGTGCCGGGCAAGGGCAGGCAATAGTCCCACAGCAACAGTCCCACAGCAACAGTCCCACAGCAACAGTCCCACAGCAACAGTCCCACAGCAACAGAACCCACAGCAACAACATCCACAGCAACATTCCCACAGCTTCTGTCGACAAGGCACAGCCGCCCGTCTTGGCCCTCGTTTTCGCTTCGCCATCAAGTCTTCGTCTTGGTGCTCTTCGCCGCGATCCTGCTCTGCTCCTCTGCTCCTTCCCTCTGCAGGTCTCTCTCCTCTTCTGCAGGCCCCTCCTCCTCTGCAGATCCCTGCGCTTCTGCTCCTCGCTTACCCCCAACCGCACCCCTTCCGCTTTCTTCTTCCATAGACTATAGACGCTTGTCTTCTGCAGGCCCCTCCGATCATGTCCGTGAGTATCGTCGTTGTCCGCTGCACCAATCCTGGCCGTCCAGATCGTCTCCATGTCCGGTGACTTGCCTGCCGTGGCCACCGCAGCGGCATCCGCATCTCGGCCATCCAGGCCCTGGAGCCGCGGCACTTTGCGCTTCTCTCCTGCAACTCCATTTCATCTGCATCTGCATCTGCATCTCCTTCTGCATCTCCTTCTGCATCTCCTTCTGCTTCTGCGTCATCATCATTTTCATCTGCATCTGCGTCATCCTCGCTGGATCGATTCATCCTCCCCCCCCCGCACCCACCCACAATTCCATACTCCCCACTCGCATTTGGTGCTGACCTCTCCCTTCCGTTCTGACAGAGCGAGCCCCAAGCACCCCTGCGCAATCCGGCCGTCGTCCAGGTTGCCCAGGTCACCCGCTCCCGCTCCCAGTCTTCCATCCAATCTGAAGACAGAGTGGCCAACCAGACTCCTCCGCTTCAGCGCCAGCCGTCCCAGTCGTCCCAGTCGCAGGCCTCGGTTCTTTTGCAGCGCCAGCCGTCGCAGTCCCAGGGCTCCATCCAGGGCGAAGTCCAAGCACCCCCTCGCAAGACCACCGGAACGCCAGTGTCCCAGCTTGCTCGCTCTCGCTCTCAGTCGTCCATACGTCCGGAAGACCGAGTGGCCACCCAGACGCCCCCTCCCTCGCAGATCCCAGGCTCTGCCCCGCTCCAGAGACAGCCCTCTCAGCGACAGCGCTCGCAATCCCAGAGCAGCTCCCAGCTCCAGCGCCAGCCTTCTCAGTCCCAGAGCAGCTCCCAGCTCCAGCGTCAACCTTCTCAGTCTCAAGTCTCCCAGCTCCAGCGCAAACCGTCACAGGCCTCTCAGATGCAGCGGCAGCCGCCCCAGCAGCCGCCCGCCGATCAGCCCGAGCCCCAGCCCGCTCAACCGCCTGTGTCCTCGGTACAGCCCGCTGTGTCTCTGCCTCAGTCGCTGCCGCCACAGACTCAGGCTCCGCCCGTTGCCCACCAGGGCAGCATCGTCGAACCCCGCCGCAACGTAACCCTGGCCATCTCCCAGATGGAGCCCCAGCGAATTCAGTCGTCCGCTGCTGTCGTTCCGCCCCAAAATTATCAAGGACCCCCTGAACCTCATCACGCTCCTGGCCCGTTCCTTGGCGCCGGGGCCTTCCCGCCACCGTCGTTCGCTGAAAGCAGCGCCAACGTCTACTCACAGGCACAGTCCACCCCGTACCACCAGGGCTTCGAGGTCGTCGATGCCCCGCGGGTTATCTCGCAGCAGGCCTTCTTCTCCAGCAGCGGCTCTCCGATCACGCCCCTCACTCCGGACGGACATGCCCTGCCGCCCTCGGCTCAGTCCGACCAGCCTCTGCCCTATCCTGGGGGCCCTTATCCACCAAACGGAGGCCCTTACCCACCAAACGGAGCCCCTTACCCACCAAACGGTGTTCCATTCGCACCCAACGGCCCCTATCCTCCTAATGGCGCACCGTATCCTCCTAACGGCGCTCCTTATCCTCCTGCCGGGGCTCCGTATCCCCCTGCTGGCGCTCCGTACCCTCCCAGCGACTTTCACGGCGGGCCTCCAGCTCCGATTCCTATTCAGCCCTATCCCGGCCAGCCTTACCCTGGCCTGCCCTATCCTGGCCAGCCCTATCCTGGCCAGCCCTATCCTGTGCCTCCTGCTGGAGACTCTCCCTATGCCATTCAGGCACCAACGCGCTCCGTCTCGAGCCATCCGGGAGTCCACAACCCTCCTGGAGCAAATTCGATGCCGCCTCAACCCGTTGCTCCGATGCGCAACACTCTGACATTCATGCAGTCGGCTCTGCCTGCTCCCATGGAGATCAGCGGCTTCAACGCCTCAACCTCCGATCTCTCGATTCAGTCCGTGAGCCCGCCAGAGCCGCCCATCTCAGAGATGACCCCCTCTGCATCATACCATGTCGAGAAGGAGCTGATGGATCACTCGGCCGAGTTCAACATGATCGAAAACGCTCGCCCGACCTTCGAGACCCTGACCCGCGCTCGTCGCACCGCAACCGAAAAGAAGCCTTCCACAATGACCCCTGAACAGGAGCTGGAGCTCCTCAAGATCAGATCCCAGAGCGGCGAAAACGATGACATCTTTGAATATGCCAAGTAAGGAGGTTGTCCTGCAAAGTTAAAATGCCTGGTTCCATCGCCGGAGTGCCTGCCTGAGAATGGCTCGCACGGGATGTCTGGTATCGGATGTTTCATACAGGACTTTCTGTATCGAAGCCGCCGTCTGGGCAGCAGCGCGTACATTGCCACCGGGCCAGTCGGTCAGCCAGTGCCCATGTCCATGTCCATGTCCATGTCCCTGGCTATCGAATCTTGTGCTTTTTACATCGTCCCGGTGGAGTGGCCCGGCTTTCGGTTGCGATTGGCGACCATATGTCGTTGTCCAGCCCCGGCTACGTTCCAATCGCTGCTCTGGCTCATACGAACCTCCCTCCCTCCCCAGATTCTGCGCCACATACATCCCGTCCAACAACGATTCCAAGCTTCGCGATAAGGTATTTCCACGGGCCTGTTTTCTCAATCTGATGAGCCACTGTTTCATAAGCCGCATGCCCCGCCTGTCCTGCTGCTTCTCTTAACAAGGGCTGCACTTCTCACGTATAGGTTGCAGAGGAGGGTTTCCGGCTGCTGAAGAAGCTGAGCAAGGAGGATTATGCGGAAGCACAGGTATTTGAATGATCGCCTGTCGGATGTATCCCATCAAAGCGATGAGGATTGCTCTGCTATTCTCGTCCATCTCCTCGGCAGCCGTGTATCTGATCTCGACCTGCTGCTCCCCCCCCCCAGTACTGGCTTGGCCGCGCCTACTCCGAGGATGACAGTCACAATCTGGCCTTTGCCCAGTTCCTGCTTGCCGCCAAGCGCGATCACCCTGGCGCCACGTTTGCTGTGGGCGTGTGCTACGAGGGTGGCAAGGGCTCCCGAAAGGATCCCAAGGCCGCCATGACGTTCTATCGCAAGGCGGCGGCTGCCGCGTACCCTCCAGCGATGTATCGCATGGGCATGATCTGCCTGCGAGGCGAGCTGGGCCAGAAACGCGATATTCGAGATGGTGTCAAGTGGCTGAAGCGCTGTGCTGCAGGTGAGTTTCTGCATACATTACGTGGTGGTTTTGTATCTAGCGTTCGCCTGGAGCACGCCTTGCGCGATACCAGCGTTTGATCTGTCCCCCGGCCTCGATGCCATGTGTTGACTCGAGCCTTCCAGGATCCCGGATGCTCACTCGCAGTTCCACTCTCGTTTCTCCCCAGTTGCCGATACCGACAATCCCCACGCGCTGATGCAGCTTAGTATCTTGCACGAGACTGGTCTCCCGCCTGCCGTCCACACCGACCACAAATACTCTCTGCAGCTGCTGATGCAGGCCGCCAACCTTGGCTTCCCGCCGGCCCAGTTCCGTCTTGGCCAGTGCTACGAGTACGGCAGTCTGACCTGTGTCGTGGATCCGGTACGTGAACCTGCTATTTGTCTGCCTGCCTTTGCATCTGGCTGTGTTGATGCTGCCCAGGCCCTCAGAAGCAGCTGGACTGACTTGCTGCTTGTATGCCAATAGCGCGAGAGTTTGCGCTGGTACACCGTGGCCGCCGAAGCCGGCGAGCAGGAGGCACAATTTGCGCTCGCTGGCTGGTTCCTCACCGGTCATCTCGTAAGTCGCTGTCCCGAGAGATAATTGGAAGCAGGCCCGCTGTGGACACTGTTTGCTGCTCGCTGTCTCTCCTCGTGACGACGCAACACTAACCAGATTATGGTTCGCCCCCCCCCGCCTCACGATTTTGCTTCCCGTTCCAATGCACTCGCCGCAGGACCAAATTCCAAAGGACGAGCGGGCAGCCCTGATGTGGACCGAGAAGGCGGCCCAGGCGGGCTTCCCAAAGGCGCAGTACGCCATGGGCTTCTTTTACGAAACCGGCCTGAGTATCTTGCCACCGGACCAGGCCCGTGCCAAGCAATGGTACGAGATTGCGGCCGCCAACGGTAAGTTGCCATCGCGTATGAGGATCATTGGGATCGTTGGTATCGTTGCTGGCGTCGCTGCTGGTACCACTGCCGCCGCTGACATATCCTCGTTGACGCCGACTCGCTTTCCCAGGTGACGAGCGCGCCCACCAGCGACTAACTGGCCAGCCAATCACGGGCAGCTCCAAGCGACCCTCCAAGGACTCGAAGCAGGGCAGCTGCACCATCATGTAGATTGCCGTTCGCTGCATCCCATTTTCGGAGCCGTGACCAAAGGCGTTGATATCCCAAGCTCAAGCCCTTGGCACGGACAGCCGCCTGCCGGATCCTCCTCGCTTCTCACTGCAGTGGTCCGTTTCGGCTGCCACACAAACTGCGGCGCTGCGCTGACGAGGCCTCGGCGGAGGATTCTCCTATCTGATGGCCCCTGCCATATCGCTCTCTGGGTCCTGCGCCTTGGCTGCTTCTCCCTCATACTCGATCCGTGTCCTTCTGGCACGGATCTGCCCTTCTTCCACCATTTCTCTGACTTGTCGCCATTCCCCTTCCTTCGCTGCCATCCAGTCCCGCTTGCCTGCCTTGCGATTTCCCCCTCCTTTCCTTTCCTTTGCTCCCTTGGAGTGCCTTGGGCTTTTCCTTCCTCCGTTCTGGTCTGGCACATATGCCACAGACATAGTTCTGTTTGCTTTTGCTTTTGCTTTTGCTTTTGCTTTTGCTTTTGCTTTTGCTTTTGCTTTTGCTTTTGCTTTTGCTTTTGCTTTTGCTTTTGCTTTTGCTTTTACTTTGTTTTTGTCTATTTGCAAGCGAGCCGGGCAGCGAGGGTGTGCAGTGTTCTTGAAATACATCACGGCCCGCGGCCACACGCAATACACATTTCGAGCGCAACCCGACCTGGCCCACCATGCTCCTGGGATCGGGGCTGAGCCGATGAGGTCTGCCAATGAAGCGCAGCGCGCCCTTGGTGTTCGGTCCTTGGCCAATCGCGGACCCCTGCTGCGCTCCGACGCCGCATTGTCCCTGCGCAGCACCTGACTCACGTGTCGAGTCTTATCGAAGCGGGAGTGGGGGCGTCGTTCTCGGTCGCCTCGGCCTCGCTGGTTGGCCGAATTGGCCTTGTCTGCCAGGTATATGAACGTCCCCCCAGATCGTCCTTGCACTTCTCCCAGATCATCCTTGCACTTCCGCCCCGGTCTCGGCTCGCTCTGTTCGGCTCCATGCTCGTCGCCTGTCGCTCCAAGGTCGTCGTTGGCTCCGGCCGCGCCTGGTTCTCGTCCTGTGCGGTCGCCGCCCATGCCTCACATGGTCCGGGCTTCCCCGAGAACAAGCTCCACCACATTCCCACCAGTGGAACCTATCCCCTCGGCTTCCGGGCCGGCTCCGTCCACGCCGGCGTCAAGAAGAAGGCGGGAGCGAAAGACCTGGTCCTGGTCTCGTCCGAGCATGCCTGCACCGCCGCGGCTGTCTTCACGACCAACGCCTTTGCGGCCGCTCCCGTCAAAGTCAGCCGCAAGCTCGTCGAGGGCCAGTCCCCCGCGTCGCCAATCTACAACGTCGTTGTCAACTCGGGGTGCGCCAACGCCTGCACGGGCGACCAAGGCCTCGAGGACGCTCTGACCATGTCCAAGATCACGACCGAGTCGGCCCGAGCCATCAACGGCACCCACGGTACCCCGGCACCCAACTCGTTGGTCATGTCGACCGGTGTCATTGGCCAGCCCCTCCCCATCGACAAGATCGCCAGCGGCATCGAGGCCCTGGCTGCCTCGGGCCTGAAGCAGGGCCACGAAGGCTGGATGGAGGCTGCCGTCGGCATCATGACCACCGACACCTTTCCCAAGCTCAGGAGCAAGGAGTTTGTTGGCAAGAGCGGCAAGTACCGAATGGCCGGATGGTGCAAGGGCGCTGGCATGGTGAGTCTCGTCGTCTGCAACCAGGGTATCTCTGCCGGCGGTCGCTCTCCTGTCGAGCACAACAACTGCCGGGCGGCGGCGACGGCGGCAGCTCGTCCGTGTTTGCTTGCGGTCCGGCCGGACTGCCGCTCGGGTTCGGACGCTTTCTTGCTTTGAGCCCGTCGCCTGACACATCCTCCGACTTTGGCGCTGGCTTGGCAGATCCACCCCAACATGGCCACCATGCTTTCCTCGGTCTTTACCGATATGTCTGTTTCGCGCGAGTGCCTCGACAAGGCCCTCAAGTATGCCGTCAGCCGATCCTTCAACGCCATCAGCATCGACGGCGACACCAGCACCAACGACACTCTCACCGTCCTGGCCAACGGCGCCGCCAACGCCGGCACCATCAACGACCCCAACAGCCCCGAGTTCCTTGAGTTCCAGCAGAACCTCACCGAGTTCTCCGCCGAGCTGGCCAAGCTGATCGTCCGCGACGGAGAGGGAGCCACCAAGTTTGTCGACGTCCGCGTTTCGGTGGGTGCACCATGATACCTGTCCCGCCTCGCTTTGATTCTCTGAAGGGGTGAGGAGGTGCGTCCGCTTCCCTGCTCCGCGACGCACCTCCAACTTGTCATTCGGCGAATGCTGACACCCAGCGCCATTGCCCCTCGCGTCACCTGTTTGTTTCCGGACACAGGGCGCTCGCAGCTTCGATGAGGCTATGACCGTTGCCAGCACCATCTCCACCTCGCCGCTCGTCAAGACTGCCATCTACGGCCGCGACGCCAACTGGGGCCGCATCGTTTGTGCCGTCGGCTACAGCGGTGTCCAGATCGTTCCCGAAAAGGTCAACCTCCACATGCTCTCTGGCGACGAAAAGATCTCGCTGCACCTCTTCAAGGACGGCGCTCCTTTTGATGTCAACGAGGACGTTGCCGCCAAGATCCTCGAGGGTGAGGATGTCATTGTTCACGTCGACCTGGGTCTCGGCCAGGAGAGCGCTAACATGTACACCTGCGACTTCTCGACCGAGTACGTCAAGATCAACGGCGACTACCGCTCTTGAGCGGATCGCAGGATAGCATCGTGCCTCCACCTCCACCTCCACCTCTACCTCCACTTCCATCTTCCTCTCCCTCGCGCCACCTGTATATGGTCTTGACTTTTGCCATCCAACTTTTCCCCCTTCCATTTCTTGTACTCTGCTGGTCGCTTTGACATCCAAAGCCACAGGCGCATTGGTGCGGATGCACTAATATACTGGTGTTCTCAAAGCCAATCGGCTCTATGTCGCGCTAATACCGCTTGCAGCACTTACAGCGCTGCTCCTCAGGGGTTTTCTTTTGCCGAGCCGGCGTGTCGATCCAGCACGCCGCGCCAGAACAGGAAAGCAGCCTATAGCAAGCTTGGTGTGGACGATTCGCCTGTGTCCATCAGGCTCGAGACCAGTATGAATTGACCTGGCCGCCGGTAGAGTCGCTGTCAGTCATAACCGCTCACACAAGCCTCCCTCTCCCCCTCCGCTCGATATCCACATCTGTGGCGAATCGCCTTTGCGCCGTCCCACGTTCCCGCATCTCCCTGCATCTTCTTCAATATCTGCTTACCAATGGTAAAGAACGTCCCGCGCAAATAGAGAACCTTCTTCTTGGTAATGGTCTCGATGACGGCCGCCGCGCAGACGACCAGCCCGATGACCGCCGACCAGATGACTCGAAAGACCTCTTGCTTAAGCGTGTGTGTCAGTTCCTGCCGGTCCTTTTGCAGTTCTGCGCACCCGGAAGCGCTCACGGCCAGGATCTTCTTCATCTGCACAACATGCTCCCAAAGGAACAGAGCCAGTCCCGTTGCCGTGATGAGCTCGATCAGTAGCCACAGGCTGTACAGGCTGATGAGGATGGCGTCGGCCGGCATGACCATATCTGTTCCGGTGCAGTCCGGCGCTGTTAAAGTTCCGAGGGATGCAACGAAAGGTATCGGACAACCATGGTCAGCAGGGAAACACAAGCTCTCGATGGCAGTCGGTAGGAACGAGGCGATCCAGGCAAGGACTGGACACAGGCGAGTTGCCGAGCCATGCCCATCAACCACGAGCACACAACCATCCCCATTCCATCATCGCGAATCTGGCCGGCTGGGGGCATTCCTCTCTCGCCACCTACTCCAGAGATTGTAGAACGGCCACAGATACATCTGGTAGAGGACCAAGGAGCAGAGCCCGGCAGAAATGGTTGCAATGTGGCGATACGGCTCTGGAAACGGCTTGGTGACCGTGGCCCACTTCCAGATCAGATAAGCCATCTTCATCGAGTCCTGTGTGCGGCGCCGCCCAGACCCACGAACGATTGGAGCGGAGAGGCGGAGAGTGTTTTGAGTTAAAACCCCCAGGTTGGCAAACGCCGTGGCTCATTTGCGGCCCTGGGATACCCTTGAAATGAAGAGAATTGCTCCCCTAGCAACGACCTGCACTGCTTCATCAGCAGAGGCCTGCCAGGACTCACCTTGAACGAAAACGTCATGTCTGAGGTCCAGTACATGAACGTCTGCTGGCAGTTGGTGGTGTAGTCGGATGTCAGGCTGTTGAGCCACCCGACCGTCACCGCGATGCAGTCAAAGTAGACCATGAACTTGATGAGCGACTTGTAGTTCATCCTGGGTCTCCACCGGCCCACCGAGATCAGCATGATCAGAGAGCAAAAGCTCGGGAAGCCCGCATAGTTCTCGGTGAACGTCAGAGTCAGCAGAAAGTTGCCGTTGGGATTGAGCATGATCGACAGGAAGTCGGTCGAAGTGCCCTCTGCCGTTCCGTTGTAGAACGTCCCGTTGCCGGACGTTGCGTTGGCGCTAAGAGTCGAGTTTTGCATTGGGCCGTCTCTTTGTGGGGTGTATTTGGGCGGGGTTGCTTTGGCTGGCTGGTTGGTTGGCTAGCTTGCTGGCTTGCTGGCCGGTTTGTCTCTGGGGAAGGTTCAATTTCGTACAAATGGCGTCCGAGTGGCCGACTTTGTAGGCGATCGAGAAGGCTGCAGTGAGCTCCTGGCGATTTGCGCATTCAAGACATTTATGACACCAGCAGCAGTTGGCGACAACAATGGCAAGCACAATGGCAAGTACAATGACGGGTGACCGGTGCCAATCTCGTTCGTCCGCAGCCTGACTCGATAGGCACCTGCCCCACACCAGGATGTTGATTCCGTCGACTTGCTTTCGCAATCAAATAACAATGTCATCGGCATCACTGAGAGGACTCGCTCCGTTGGGATTGTGCACCATCCTACGAGGCGAATCAAAAATACATCGACTGCTCGGGCCCGCGGCCCGCTTAGCCAGGGCTGGTGGCCAATCATCTTGCAGATGGACCTGCGTGTTCATGTTCTGGCAGTGCTCTGGCAGTGCTCTGGCAGTGCCTTGCGACAACTCCTTGACGACTGCAACCCCACACCCCCACGATGGGCATGGATCCCGGGCGATGAGCTACTTTGCACAGTGATCATATTGTCCGCCGCATGGACTCTGCATTGACGCCGCATTGGCGCCACGACTCCCCACAGCATTGCAGCTAGGATCCATGGGTATCTGGGTTGCATCCGCTGCGTTCCAGTGAGGTGGTGATCTGAAAGCACTCAAGTAGAGACAACGCTTCCAGAGGGTCATGACCAGCGCGCAATTCGCTGAGGCGACAAATCATTTGCCTGTCGATCAAACGCCTGGATGTCTCCAGCTTCTCAAAGTGACTGTACAGTGTACGTGCGGGTGGGTCCGGTGTCTGTGATCGGGAGGACGGATTTGTGTCAGCCACCTCCTGCGCACCAACACGTGGCCCCCTGTGCTTTCCCCCTGTGCTTTCCCCTTGGCGTGCCAATCGCGTTTTGTTGCTGTCCCGGGTGTTTGTATGCTGTGTGACAAGACGCGTATGGGGATTTCGATAGAGACATGCCCCCGGCCGCAACCGGCACTGGGTCGTTGGCCGTTCGTCTGCGTCTGCTTCTCCGCTAACGGCCCCATTGCTCTCTGCTCCCCCTCGTCAGCGCGAAGCAGTCCCACTCCATTTCATCACCCTCCGCTAGGTCTGGAGCACGCCCATCCCATCTGAGCACCGGACGCTCCAATCTATAATCTCAAATACTACCGCGGCTTACCTCAAGCTCGAGCATCGCCATGAAAGGAATCGCTGGCTTTGAGCCGCAGGACCTGCATCCGCCTGCCCCCGGAACACTTCCGATCGAAGAGCGTGAGACGAACCCAAGATCCGACCAGGTGCAGACCATCCCAACGACCGGCATACAGCCCGTCTTCCTCGGCGTCATCGGCGAGGCCAGCACAGAAGAGTGGCAGCCGCCTTCTCCCAGGCCAAGGTCTGTCGGACATGCGCTCCCCACCACAGTCCTGCAGCTGCAAGACATTCTCCAGATCAACAACGAGCCCAGGGGCCATCCCGCTCTCCTCGACAAGGCCGCTGTCGACCCGGCCGAACTCGATCCCTGGCACTTGCATCCATGGAAGCGACCATATCAGCCACAGAGTGACGGCGGCCTCGACGATATCAAATCGCCTGTGCGGCGCGCTCTGCGTGAGTGGCAGTCCGTATCGCCCTCCGAGGTTCGCACTGCGCTCAGGGCTGGACTCATCCACAGCGTTGAGGAGTATGTTGTCAAGAAGAATGACGAAGCCATCGAGGCGAGGGCCCGCCAGGCCCAGCCAAAGAACTGGCGCTCAAGCAACCAAGGGGACTCAAAGCAGCAGAAGCCACCGAAACAGCAGAAGTCACCGAAACAGCAAAAGCAGAAGCAGCGGAAGAGGAAGCCGGAGCGTCAAAAGTCACTCTCTCCCGGGGTGAACGCCGTCTCGTTTCTAGCGAATGCCCAAGCGCATCCAGCATCTGATCCGACGGACCCGCTCCCTGCATCCGCGGCCCAGTCCCCCAATGTGAGTAGTCACTCGGTTGACGGGACGAGCACAGGCCAAACCAATGCTTCCTTGGACCCATCCGCATCTCCGAGTCATCCTCCCGGAACCAAGCCGACCAAAATAGAGCCTGCGCCCTATCCTCATCTCCTCGGCTCCCGATCAGCGTCTCCCACAGGTGCCCCCCGCCACGAGACTCAAAAGTGGCTTTCAGAAAACCTGGCCTCAGGCGGACCTCGGTCCCTCAGCGACTTCCACAAACCCGTTGACGACCGCCCGTTCCAACAGAAGCAGCTCAACTATACCCCCGTCTTCCGATATGAGCCGTCTCTCCATCCGCCTCTAGAGGTGACGAGCCGCCGGGTCATTATCTGGCCAGGCCAAATGAAGGAAGGCTTCCACAGCCTGGACCTGTCGCCTGAGGCATCTCTGCCGATTGTGATTGATGCACCAAAGGCACTCAAGTTCAAGGACCATGACATGCTCTCTTCCCCGTTGGAGGTACACGAGTCCAAAGCCATCTCAATCATGTACCGAGCCCCCGCACCTCCCAAAGTCGAGCCGCGGGGCGACCGGTACAACAGTATCTCGCTGCCGGCCCTCCTTCCAGTTGCAGACCAGCGGCAGAGCTCGCCTCGCTCGGAAGCCGAGGCACACAAGTTGCCTCTCAAGCTGCCAATGCTGCCGCACTCAATCGAGGCTCAGAAGCTCAGTCTTCATGGCAGCGAGGTATCCAAGCGCAGAGTCGAGAAGGCCGATGGCAAGCAGCAATCCGAGAAGCTGTACGAGGCCATGCACAAACAGTACCCCGCCGTCGTTGTCGATGCCGTGGCTGATCCAGATGCCGATCTTCCAAAGCGTCCGCTGACGGGATTCAAGCTACCAGCACGGTAAGTTGCGTCCATGTTTCCATAGCCACCGACACTGCTGCGGCATGGGTACAAGCGGCTGGGCTTGACGGATTCTCTGGATGACACAATCTTTTATCCAACTGACCCACTCTGGCTGACTGACTGGTTGACTGGCTGACTGACTCGTTGGCGGGCTGATCGACCATGCGGATGCGCCGGATGCACCTCGCTCTGTAGGTTTGAGAGCGTCGACGTTCGAGGCTCAGTGTTTCCGCATCTCCCGATGAAGCGCCGCCCGGTCAGAAGGGTTGTGTTCAAGGACACCTCGACCAGGGGATACAGCGCCGACACAACCATCCAGTCGCAGGTGCCCAAGTGGGCTGGCAAAGACCATACGACCTTGAGGGATGTTCTCGTGGCAGTCAAGTGCACTCGGACTGAGAAGAAGGTTCCCGAAACGGAGGTGGGGGCGTAGGCAGCCGACCCGGGGGCGACGACGCACATGCCCTGCATGCGATCGCTGCATCACCAGCAATAGACGCTGCGGCCTTGTCGAACGAGTTACAGTTGCGAGCTGCGCGGCTGCTGCGGAGCGGGTGGCTGATTCCACAAAGCCAAACGGCACCGCGACGCCAGGGGGGCCAGGGGCTTGTCAGGGGCTTGTCAGGGGCAGATCTCAATCATTTGGGCCCGCCACTCTGCGGTCTGAGCGGCGCCGGCCATTGACAAAAACCCAACAGCAAAGCGCTGTGTTTGGCGGATGGTGTGTTTGTCGTTCGCCGTACCCATCCAGATCTGGCCGCTTGCGGGCGATTGTGAGCGATTGCGAGCGATTGCGAGCGATGTGCTCAACTGCCCCTTGGCTGGCTGGACAGAGGCACGCCGATGCACCCGCCCACACTCCACGGGGCCGCAAATGTTTGCTATCAACAAGTCTGCCGGCCGGCATATAAAAGTCGGCAGGAGGCAGCACTCCCTTCTCCTCCCATCCCAGCGATACTGACATACCCCCGACGTAGAACTTGGGTTTGCATCCGTTCACATCCATTCACATCAAGATGAAGCCCACCCTGGTCCTGCTGACTGCTCGTCTCAAGACTTCTGCCGTCCTGCCCAACAAGCGCTCTCTGGCCGTGACCCGGCCCATGGTCGCCTATGTCGTTGGCGGCACCGTCGGCCTGTTTTCGCTCGCCGCCGGAATCCTGAGCGAGATGCACTAGTCGTACCCTAATTGACCCTGGCGCACAAGGCCTCGGTCCTGCCTTCACAAGCAAGTTCAAGCACCTCGGCCCTGGCCTCGCTCTCGGATATCCCCGATCGTCGGGCCATCTCTGGTTGCTACCTGATATCCCGCATGTTCTGTCTTGCATCGTTCACTTCACATTGATATCCAAATACATTTCTTTGACCGGGCGATTGCTCGATTCTCGATCCCTTCCATTGATCCCTCCAACTGCCAGCGCAGCGATTGCGGATGTTGGTGTCCGCTTGAGCTGGTGGCCTCTGCGGCCTGCCGATCGCGCTTGTATGCTTCTGTCCTGCGCTGTTCTGTCCGCCGTGCTTCCTTGCGCTTGATCTGGCTCGCTTCCTTGCCTGCACAGTCAGCCCGCCCGGATGGAAACCCACTATGCTGCACTGGGCGTCCCCGAGGATGCTTCTGCAGACGAGATCAAGCGGGCGTACCAGGCTCTGGTTCTGCAGGTGCGACGACACAGCCTCCCCGAGTGGCTATTCTTTGGCTTGCACCCGCACCGACTCTCATTCTCGCCTGCAACCCTGCTCTCCCACCATCAGCTCCATCCAGACAAGCAAAATGCAGCGATTAACCCCAGCGCCGATGCTGCAGACCGGTTCCTCAAGATCCAGCGGGCCTGGGAAACCTTGAAGGACGTCGACCAGCGTCGCCAATACGACGCTGAGCTCAAAGGTTTGGAGCCGGCCTGCAATTCTGCTCTCAGCGCATCCAAACTCGTGGCTGATCTCGACACTGTCGGCCACCGACAGGTGTCTCTGGATCCCGCCGACAGTCTCAGCTAATACCGCCGATTGCTGTCGCCTGGTGCTGCCTATCCAGATCGGTCTCAAAAGTATATTGGTCCGATCGACGCCGATGTGGACATTGACGAGATGCAATACGACGAAGGTTGGCTCTGCTTCCCCATCATCGGCGATCCCCAACGACGGTGCGGATGGAAAAGCCCAGAGCTAACAAACTGCTTGCGCCATCGTTGGTCTAGACACCCGGAGCTTTGTCTTCCCCTGTCGCTGCGGGGGCCTCTATGTTGCAACAGAGGCCAATCTGGAGGTGCGGAACGATGTTGCCCCGTGCAGTACCTGCTCGCTCCGGATTCGAGTGCTGTATTCGATCGAATAGTTGCCGGACGTCTGGCTCTCTGGCTGCAAGGACATGCAATAAATGCTCGGCAGGCTCCTGGACCGCTGGCTGCCCCTGTGCCCACGACAAAATTGCGCTGCGCTGGGTCTCCGGATTCGCCCCGATAGAGCGCTGCACTGCTGCAGCTGCCTGCGTCCGGCTGTGCCTCTGCTTTCCGAGACCCTCCTGATAACTCTGGTGCCTCTGCCATCCAAGCGGCCCAGGCATCATCCGTCCCTCTCGGCGTTGGCTCATGTTCAGGTTGCGCTGCGCAGGCTTCTTCGTCTCCAAGCGCGATTTTCTTTTTTGACCCGCGCTCTGTCCTTGATCGCTGCTGCCTGCTGTCTGGCACCGCAAGCTGATCGCATCGCATCGCATCACACCACGTCGATCTCGATCCCCAAAGACCCCACGCTGTCTCCATCATGAATATCCTGCGTGAAATGCGCCGAAGCGCCATCGCTCCCCTCAAGAGAGCCGCTCCTTCGTCCCGGTTCCTGAGCATGCAGCATCCAGCTCGAGCTGGCATCAACGTTCCAGGCGGCAACGCCGGCTCCGGCACCGACGGCAATAGCGGCAGCAGCAATCGGACCGAAGACCTGACCCACTTTGGCTTCCAGACTGTCCAAAAGGACTCAAAGGAGCAGCTGGGTATGTCGGCTCTCGTCCACATTCCGCTTCGCTGCACCGCCCTGAGGCATGACTGACTCTTGCGCTAACCCTCATCGCCGTGCAGTCGGCCAGGTGTTCAAGAATGTCGCCAAAAAGTACGATGTCATGAACGACTTTATGTCGGCGGGTATCCACCGGCTGTGGAAGGACCACTTTATCAACACACTTGCCCCTGGTCCCGATACCAAACTCCTGGATGTGGCTGGCGGCACAGGTACGTTGTCGCTATTGCTGTTTCTGTTGCTATCGCCCACTGGCTGTCCTGTTGGATGGCATTTTCGGTGAGGTCCGCAAGCCGCCCGTCCCGTGTCGGCTCTCATCCCATTTTGCATGCCCCCGCTGTGCAGGCGACATTGCCTTCCGATTCTTGGACTATATCAAGCGGGTCCACGGCTCCATCGGAAATGCGTCCGTCACCGTCGTTGATATCAACCCTGCGATGCTGGAGGTCGGCAAGGAGAGAGCGACTCAGTTCGGCTATGGCAACAGTGAGTGTCTCAACCTTCCGCAAGTCTGCTGCGTTTCGGCTGCCGTGTCGCCGGCTCCATCGTCGACTGACTCTGCGAAATTCACTGCTCCAGTCCCGCAGATCTCCTGGCGAGAGGGTAATGCCGAATCCATCGATTTCATCCCTGACTCGTCCATGGACGCCTTTACCATCGCCTTTGGCATCCGCAACTGCACCAATATCGATCGCGTTGTCGCCGAGGCCTACAGAATCCTCAAGCCCGGAGGACGGTTTATGTGCCTAGAGTTTGGCAGTGTGCAAAACCCCGTTGTTTCAAAGTAAGCCATGCATCTCAGGGAATGGCGCTGTTGCGTATCAATGGTTGCCACGACTGCGTACCAAAATGCTCATGCCCATTTATCATGGAGCGTTCCGATTGCTTTCCATTGTTACTGGTGCTGACTGCCGTGCTCTGCGCTGTCCAAATCGTAGGTTCTACGACGCATATTCCTTCGAGATCATCCCGGCTCTCGGAGAGCTCGTGGCAAACGATCGAGCATCGTATCAGTACCTGGTCGAATCTATCCGCAAGTTCCCCCCGCAGCCCGTCTTTGCCAAGTTGATCAAGGACACTGGCTTCACTATCGTCGACACTGGATACGAAAATCTGACATTTGGCGTCGCTGCGATCCACTCGGGATTCAAGCTGTAGATACGCACGTTGTCCCCCCCCTCAACAGCGCTCACGGATCGCTGGCCATTGGGATCGCTGCAAACCATCGGCTTGGCTTGTCGCAGGGTGCTCTGCTGTCCATGAGCCCGAGACGGCCCACTCGCTGGTAACTTTGCCGATATCGGTGCATCGACGAAAGGAGTCGTTTTTGCATCAAATAGACCACTGTTATCTACGCTGCCGCTGCCCCGACCTTGCTCCGCTGGACCCGCAGACTGACGGTGCCGCCCGCGATGCGTCGTTCCAGCTCCTCTGCGCTACTGCACCCCAGCTTGCCCATGAGGTACTTGTCAAGCTCGTCGTTGTCGTCGGGCGTGAATATCAGGTAGCTCTGCAGCTGCATCTTGGGCAGGGTGAAGTAAGCCTTGCTCAAGATGGCAAACACTCGGTCTCGGACTCGGGGCACGATTCTCTGTCGCCGGAGACATGAACGTCAGCAGCAACCCAGCCCTCCGGCCCAAGGCTGGTCGGTCTTTGCTCAGGCGCGGGGATGAGAAAGTAATCTGTCTGGCTCACCTTGAGCAGCACCATATCACTCTCTTTCGCAGCAGCTAGGATCGCCGCAAATCTGACATAGTCGATGTCCATGTCCAGGGCTCGGAACAGGTCAATTGCGGCTCGGACCTCCTGGCTCTGCTGGATTTCGGGGTCAAGTTGTCGATATATCTTCCAGAACTCCCATGAATCTCCATGGCAGGGCGACCGCGACCACCGATCGGCCGACCCCGGTTGGGCCGGTGGCAGACAGGCAAAGTAGAGCAGGTAGTAGGCGGCCATTTCTGCCCGTCTGGGGCTCTGCCGTCGACGAGGGGCTGCAAATGAGTCGAGGCATGTCGGTTCACAGTCCAGAGCACTCCGCCCCATGCATCTTGCGGCACTTACATCGTTGCAGTGACGATAGACCACACCAATGAGCTGCGACAGAGATCGCAAGAGCTCCTCAAAGTTGTGCAGCGTCAGACACAGGTCCACAGACTGTTCGTACACTGAAAGGGGTATCAATGCCACAAAGACTCAGCAGCTGTGCACCGCCATATATCATGATATTCAAACCCGCGACATCCATCGCACTTGCCTTTGACAGCAAATCGATCGTACTGGCCCAGCGCCGTAACGCCTTCGCGGAGCTTTCCTATCATACCAAGGCGGCACCAGGCAGATTGCATCAGGATATAGAAGCAGCATGTTTCGAAAGATCGTGGCCATCTCGATTCTTGTGCAGATCGACGCCGTTACTTACGGTAGCAGACCAGCACCGAGTCCAAGTCGCCGTCCCGCCGTGGGCCAGCCGATATTTGCTGGTGCTGCAAGCGACATCGGTGCGATCCGACAGAATCAGTCGACCAGCGAGGTGCTCTGGGCTATCGGCTTCCAGAGTCCAGACGAGAGCACCCACACAACCCAGAGCCGGACAAACCTTGGATACAATGTACTCCAGATAACTCTCTTGAATATCTCGTTTCTTGAGGCTGCAGCAAGATGGGTGGGTGGATGGGTGGGTGGAGAGATGGATGGACCGATGGAATCAGCCCGGTTGGTGCGAAAGCATCGATTGATCTATCGTGTTTGGGAATCACGGCAAGCGCATCCTATCGTCATCGCTCGACAATACTCACCTGGCTTCGTCTGTATCAGCAACGCCCGTTTGCCTGCTGATCTGCGAGATGTGCTCGAACGACTGGGCTGATGAGCGATCCCGACCGGATCGGCGAGCGGCCGCGGCGGCTCCGTCTCTGGATCGGCGACCGCCCCAGCCATTGTTAGGGTGAGAGTATCGCTGCGGATACGACATGGGGTGCGTTGCAGGCAACTTCAGACGGATGCTGACAGTTGCCGATGGCCCGTGAATGCTGGTTGCTGTCGGCGGTCACAGGCGGGTGCAGATGGCCTCAGAGCCTGGATCGCAGCAACGACCCGACAGGCGCCCCACCGCCCCAACGAGCGCTGATCGCATGGTGTCGCTCTCGTTTCTGGCTCCTCTGGCCGCCGAGGTTTGCCCTGATCTCATGGCCCGAGCTATCCATGCATCGCTTCGTCTCGTCCCGTCCAGGCTGTCGGCATCTCCTTCGACACCGACTGCTCTCGGCATCGACATCGGTGGCGTCCGGGCCGGGGGCCATCAGCAGTCCATCGCTATCGCTGTGCAGTCCATTCTGCTGCATGTGCATATCTGCTATCGATCCACAGCACCCGTCCGTCCGTGGCCCGGCTGCAATTCATCGCCCATCTCGGCACTTCCAAGTCCGTCACTACAGCAGCGGCTCTGCCCATGAGACTCTTGTCGCCGCCGAGCCCGACCCCAGCCTCGAAAGCTCAATCGATTTCGTGTTGCGGGAAAGCGCCGGCCTCACTTTCGCCGAGATCGCCGACAACCCCCTGATCCAAGCCCAGATCGAGACCATCGTCGACAGAGTCGATATCGCTCTATCCCGCTGTCCCGAATCACTCGATCGAGTCTACCTCAGGCTGCCCGAGGTACTTTTGTGCTCCAAGCAAGCTCATAGAGACACGATCTGCCGACTCGCCGATGAACGAACCGGCCGAGGCAAGCCCGTCGACGCCAAGCACTTTGCAGTCTGGATATCAAAGTGTGGTGCGAGCGATCCCACAGAGGCCGAAGCTGTCTTCCAGCGGGCTCTTGCCTCGGATGTCCTCAGCTCGCAAGCAGGCGTCTCTGTCGTCCTTGCCCTCATGAGCAACTACCGGCACAACGGTCGTCCACGCAGGTTGATCCGGTGCTTCCGCAATATGCTCAAGAACGGCCTTGCCCCAACAGCACTGGGCATTCACTTCGTCATCGAGGTCTACCTGGCGATGAGCAAGTCATCCGAACGAGCCGTTCAGTTCTTTACCGAAATGGTCGAGATCCAGGCTCTCTCTGGCGAACTGGATCCGCCGATGCGTCTGCCTGGATACGAATCCTTTGGGTTTCTCCCCAACACCACCACCTTCAACCTCCTCCTCGCAGGGTCAGCCAAAGATGGAGCCGTCGATAGCTCCGTCCGCCTCTACAACACTATGCTCGCCACTGGAGTCAAGCCCACGCTCCAAACCTTTTCCCATTTGTTCGACGCCTTTGCTGCTTCTCTGGATGTTCGTGGAGCCAAGCATGTTCTGGACCGTCTCGTGTACATGGGCTATTCCCCCGATCGAGCAATCTACGCCAAGCTCATCCAGCTGCACGTCAAGAGGCGGGAGATGGCTCTGGCGCTCGATGCGTGCTCGGTAATGGAAGAGCAAGGTCTTGGTCTCGACGTTGGCATCTTTGGTCTTCTCATTGATGGCTATGGCGTCGTTGGCGATCTGCAAAATGCCGAACGATGCTTCTCGAGGCTTCTGGAGTTGGACATCCAGCCGACGCCCGAAGTAGTTCATGCCCTGATTCGAGCCCGAGCGGCCTCTGGAAAGATGGACAGTGCACTGGCCTTGTTCGATGAATACTTTGGCGACAAATCCGACTGGACACCGGGTATCGAGGTGTATACCACCATGATCGAGGGATTCTGCAACAAGGGCTTGCTGGAAGATGCAGACAACTGGTGGGATCGAATGCGAGAGTCCGGTATCGTCCCGTCGCTCGAGTCTTACACGGCCCTGATTAGGGGCTACGTCGTCTTGGGTGCTCGCGACGAAGCCATCCGATGGATCCGGACCCTCAGGGACAGCGGCATCACACCCGACGTCGCTGCGTACAACACCATCATCGCAGCGTACATTCAGACCAAGGACTTTGCGCAAGCCAACCAGTGGATCCAACTGCTCCTCGAGACGCCGACTCTCAAGCCTCAGGTATCGACGTTCGAGACCATTCTCGAAACGCACATTGCCACCAGCAACTATGTCTCGGCCATCATGCTCTACGACTTGATGAAGATGCTGGGCGTCCAGCCCTCCGAACGCATATACCGGTTGCTGATCCACGATTCGGCTGAGAGTATCTCCTCGCTGCCGTCCAGGCGACGCTTCCAGGCGACATCGGATGCCCGCGACTCGGTTCGGGACTACCAATTCGATGTCAATCGTGCGTGGACCCTGCGTCCGCGGCACTCGGTTCTCACCCAGTCGCTTTTCAACGAGGGGCTGATCTTTACCAAAGTCAAGCTGGCCTATCGCGACTATCGAGCATCGCTGGCAAAGCATGCCATTCCCCAGATCTCGCCCATCTTGATCTATCAAGGCATGATGAAGCACCTGGCTTCTACTCAGCGCTTCGAGTACGAAGGGACGGGGATTGTCCTGGACATGATCGAGGACGGTATCTGCCCCGACCAATTCACAATAGCTCAGTACTGCGGGAGCCTTGTGCAAGCAAGCGGATGGCTGCACGCTTTCCAGCATGCCGACTCGCTGCTCCTCACGATCAACCGTCGCCTGAGCGAGTCCCTGGCAACTCCCTGCGCCGCGAGTCCAACGGAGTGGTTTTCTTCGTGGAATTCGCCCTCCTATGTTGATCGTATCAGGATTGATGAGTGTCTGCTGTCCTGTCTGCTGGCACATTACGGTTCGTGTCATTTTGGGCCATCCGGGACCGCAGTCGAAGGCTCTACATCGGTCTTTCGAGACGAAGGCCCTCCCTCTACCTCAGATAACGCATCCGCCGCCGAAACCTCTCTGGAGCTACTGCAGCACCAATATGATATCGAGCAAGCAACTCGATATTTCTTCCGCGACAGGGCGACACAGCGGTGGCACTTTGATGATGAAGTGTTTGCTTCACCCGAGAATCTCTCCGAGTTTTGGTCGTCCATACTCCGCCTTCACTCGCCACAACTCATGCCTGGGCCCACTCGAGTTCGCTCGGCGGACCATCCACATTTGACTTTTGAGTCTGCTACTACCTCCGTGAATCAACCAAACGCATCGCTTCCGGGAGCCGGCCATGTGTACCGAGCCACAAGCCATGCTGCGGCCTCATCAAAAGAGTTTATCGAAGCTCTGGCACTGTTGTCAAGCCGCGCTGGAGATCGCCCAGACCTACCCCTCCGAGCGTCATGTCTCCAGCTCTCAGACACAGTGGCTCATTTCTTGGTGTTCCTGCATGGCATGCTCCGACTCTGTCGACTGCACGGATACCAGGAGCTCCACTGGAAAATCATTGGCGACTTGGACGCCATGGGCTATGAGGTTAACGAAATCGAGCTTGACAAGTATATTCAATCGATCTGTTCTGGTGCCAAGTCGGCCTCTGGATAATGAAGGATATCGTGCTCGTTGCTACAATAGACTCTGCATCCCTTTGAGCCCCTCTGAATCGAGCCTGCCAAGCACGCATCTGGGCGAGACTGCTATGTCGCAAGTTTCTCAGCTGGTACCGCGCGATGGGTGAGATACGACGAGACAACCGGCGACAGAACCTCCGGAATATGAGCAGATCACAGAGCGACGCTTTATTGGTCCGGGGTTATTTGGCCATCACACCGTGACCAGATCGGTGATCCTTTCGCCTGCCTTGAGCTTCTCTGCGTATTCAGCAAGAGCGCCAACCCCGTAAGTGTTTCGAGGTGTTGGCGATAGAAGAGCCTTGACATTGAGCTCGTCGCCGTAGTTCTGTGCGTCGGTGCAATGGCCAGTGAGTCAGTCAAACATCTAACTGCTGCCGCTGGCGACATAAAACAACGAGACCATGTACGATAAAGAAGGTAGAGTGGGCAGAAAGCGATATTCTCGCCACAGGAGGGGAACCAGGAGCAGTGGGATGTCGCTTGGACTGAAGAACAGAGTCTCTTGTTGCTGCAGCTTACGTTATTGTCTGCGATTTTCTTCATAAAGTCCGGCCGCCGCCGCATCGAGAGCCGCACGGTGGGCACACCGTAGCAGTGAGTGGGTGGCAGGCCGTTGGCAGAGGCATATCGCGGAACACCCCCCGCGGGGACACCGGTGATCTTGGGTGTAATCCAGCTCTTTGCATTCTTCTCGTGCTCTGCTTTGTCGGTGATTGTTGGCCACTCTGTCGACGACTCTGGTTCCAGCTCGGCCATGCTGGAAGAAACCGACGACTCATGAACCCGAGCCGATCGGCCGTACTTGGCCGCAAGGGCAATATCGCCTGATGCGAAGGCCTTGTCTGATGCCAGGCGATACATGTCGCGCTCGGCCTTGGCCTTGGGTCCGTATCCAAGCAGATCGCTCACAGAAAACTCATCAGGCGGGAAGGTCACTCCAAAGGTATGGTCCCTCGAGAGATGCGATATGGTATCGGCGATTCTGTTTCGATGGAATCGTTGTTAGTGCGGTGTGCCAAGGCATTCCTTCAGCTTTCGTATCGCCCACGATACATACGGATCATGAACCTTGCCGATCACCGGCTGCGTTCTTTCCCGAAATTTGGACAGCCGCGTTGGAACAAGCTTGGTTGCAACACTCCTGACACACTCATCGGCTCTTGGGTTAGTATCGCACGAAGGATAGCGACGGCTCACAGGGCTGCTTCCCCGACACCACATGCACTTTGTCCTCAGCCGTTCTCGCGATTTCCAGCGCGCCCAAGGCCAATAAGCACTCCATTACTTTTGGTGTTCTTCGTTCCAGAACAGGGCTTCTTTCATGTACTTGCCCTCGTTATCGTGCTCGATTTTGAGTCCCAGGGCCATGTTGCGCGGGACCTCGCAAGGCGGACGAAAATGTGACCGTTGTTCGCCTGGGAGTGTGGAAGCTGGTGAGGCGAGAGCCGAGTCCCTGGACCTGCCAGGTAGTGCTGGACATATAGCCGTACCTGGACCATAAGACCAATGGCTAATGATATACTGCCTCTTCGCTATGTCACCCTCCTTTTCGGGCATATGGGGATACATGAGGGCCTTTGAGTCGATATCTGTGGGCACTTGGATGTTAGCCTGGGAGAATCGTGGAGGAGGTGCTCCAGGGCATCCCAGTCCGCACCGCAGTTGTCTGCGGGCTTTGTGCGCATCAACCCAAGGCCGCTGCTCGATCACAAGTGCCTCTCGCAATATCCATCTCAGGAATGCGTACCCGATACAGTGGAGAGCCCAAATCTGAACTCGGGATGCCCTGTGAACGCTGGAAGCTTGTTGTTTGCAGGCAGAGTCTGGCCTGCTCATGCGGTTGCAGACATGTATGGGAGCTGTGATTAGCAGACTTCATGCAAAACGGCAGTGCCGAGTACAGGCAGCAGAAGACTGTGTACTGACCCAGAACTTGATGTTCTCGGCGATGGTAAATCTTTTCTCGCACACGGTTTCTTTCCTGGAACACCACAGAGTTAACCCAGGTCGTTGGCTAGCCCGAGTGCCTTGAAGTGCCAAGGCGACTGACATACCATTAACAGGGGGTTTACGGTAGTCGGAAATACAACTTCAGCAGCCTAGTTAGCAAAGGCGTCGGTTAGCTCGATCGATGTACACCTTTGAGCTGTGTTGTGGCCAAAGCAGTCGCATACCCCCGAGTCAAAGTCTGTTTGGACTCCATGAGTCAGCGCGCGGGCCTTTTCGGTCACGGCAATGACATTCGGCTGCAGCTTGCTGGGTGGATGCTGGATAGGGTCCATCAACGACCTTCGCTTTCCCTGGTTGTGGAGTTTCTTTGGCATTAGACGGGCCATCGTCGCTGCAAAACTGGCAACTTCCAATTGTCCGAATGCTTCAATCTCAAGCACACCTACCGTTGGCTCTCCATAATCGAGACAGTTTCTGGTCGTTGTTGGGTCCGGATTCGTTCCACAGCCAGCCTGTTAACAGAAACAGACCGACATGCCAAAGTTCAGGCAACAAGTAGCCGGCAGCGGGACGACAAAATCCCCCGAGGCGATATTTCGGCAGGCGTCGGCGCAGATGGCAGGCGCTGTTACCGTGGGAATCTCGGGATGAGGGTCCGCCCTGGGCCCCAAGATCTTCTTGGGTCTCGTCATAATTACAAGCCGTCGAGTGAGTGCAAATCCAGGTGGATGGATGGTATGGGCAGCGCAAGGAGAAAAGACATCGACGGGCATCGCCCAAGACCATCCTTCTGGAAGTGACGACTTCGTATGATGTAGGACGGTTTGGATGATTGATGATTGGGATCTGCGCAGAACTCTGACTTTGGCGGTGCTACGACGTTCAGCATCCCCTGCTGGTTTGTCTCTGGGGTGACCTTGGGAAACAGTCAACTCGATGCATCTTATATTGCGTACTGGCTGTGAACATCTGCCACACTTGACTTCTGCATCGTTGAATGCGCTGAAATGTGATGACACAGGGTGTCTGGCGGAAGCCTGTCCGCACTCCGATCATGCCTGCAAACCGCCCTGAGCTGTCTGAGCATCCCGGCTACGGATCATTGATTCGTCAGACGGCCATTTTAGATGTCCATCGGATTCGCTTGGAGCTTACCAGCAAGCCTCGGAAATTAACTGACGCCGCCAGGGCGATATCTCCGGGCAGATTCTACAGCAAAGGACAACCCTGGGTCTTGCCTTTGCGTTGGAAGTTACTCTCTGCGGCTTCATTTAAGCATCGATCTGGCACTTCGGCTTTGCTTGGCATGCGCACACAGCGGGGATACGTTTTATTGTCGTGCATCCTCCTTGGGGCAGCTCTACTGGCCAACGGACAAACCGTCCCATGGTTTCCCGTGGCGCCGTCAAAGTCAAACTCGTCCCAGGCAGTGAACGTTACGATCGCCGTCGCCGGATATCTGCTCAGTGATCTCACGTCCCCGGTTTCTACGGCGTACTACTCAACGTGCGTGCTCGATAGCCGCATGAATACGTGAATTCCATCGGCTTGAATGGCGACGCATTTTAATCAGTCCCGATCCCGATCTTTCTAGCTATTATGCCGTCTTGGCGCTTGCGCAGGAGATCAACTCGAGGTAACACGAGAGATGCGATGTCAAGACAGGATAAACGCCATCGGGCGAGCGATACAACGGGTTTGCAGCAGAACTAGACCCAGAGCGGCCGCTAACAACACGTTATTTGCAAGATCCGATATATTGCCTGGCGTGGTGAGTAAAGACTGTTCATGAACTTGATCTCGCGATGCTTGTTCGACATATTTATTGCGCATTGACCAGCAAGCACCATCAACTCGCTCCTGTGGTGTGAAAACAGCGTCTCTCCGTCACAGCGCTTCAAACAGCAAATCCGAATGACATTCTCAACTCGCAGGGAACATCGGTGAGATAGCAAGCCCAGAATATGAACAGATTGATACAACCTACTGCACATGCATTCTCACTGCTCCTTGTTTCACTAGGCAACTGCCATCCTTCAAAGCCTTGGCAAGATGGGCTCACCGGCAAGAGCTAATGCAATTATAGGTAAGATGGGCACTTCGAAACCCACCGGCACGCGCAACTCTGCCACTCATCACGCCATAAATAGGGGACCAGCCCACCAACAGCCAAATGCCAAATGTCAACGGCCTTGCAAACATACCGCTCGGAGCGCTCGCCGCGAGCATCGCCAACGTTCCGTACTGTTCGCCGAATGCAAACCAGGAAGCGGTATGCCTCTCTGACACAACGGAGCTGTGTGGTTCTGCGTTGAAGATTGTGCAATCGCCCCATTCGTTGTCGATGATATATTACTGAGATCTTAATACCCGCTTCCACTCTTTCACAATGGACTGGTCTCTTGCCCAGCTTTCCGATCGCTCGATCTACCCGACGTTTTTCCAAACTATGCCAGCCTCAAGCTATGCAGGGGCGGGTGAGTGTGATCGATTGATTACGAGGCTACTGAAATCTGAGCATGATGCAAAGACCTGAACGGCTCAGTTGCCACGATCACCCTAATGTAACCAAGAGCCTGTATCCTACTAGCGATCGCCGAGTTCATGTACAGCATGGGATGGCGACGAATGGGTCTCATTGTAACGGTGAGCCGAACGCCGCCGCTCAACGACCACATTGCAATAGTATGGATATCGTAGTGGACACCGCGCTGACTGCGGCATCAATCTCGGATCGGATGAGAAAGTCTTCGCAGTACTCCATGACCGGTGTGAGCCTGCTTCCTGGGTTCTTGGATCAAGCCGCTGCCTTGAACATCAACATCACGTTCATGCGATACATCGGAGATCAAGCCGGTGTCACGCCAGCATCAAACGCTGCGACCTGGGACTACTCCGGAGTGATCTCGGCAATGAAGGCGTCAAAAGTCAGGGTCTTTGTGGTCTTGGCCGGGAGTTTCGAAGCATCGTGTCTGTGGCTCCAGGTGAGAACAGGAGGCGGTCACAGAGCCATAGAGCCACAGAGCAGTGCTCGCGCGATACAGGCTCGTTGCGATTGACACAATGCGACTGACACAAGCCACTTGCCACGCCATATTTGTCTCGACAACACAACGCAACGCAACTCGTCGGATCGACTCAGTCTGTGTGAGTATGCAGATGTGCACTAGACCGAGTGACTCTGTCGTGAATGCGACTGGAATCGCATGTGTCTGTAGAATCTGTGTGGCAGCAGATCGTGTGGACTGACTCCATGACCACTTTGATGATGGCCACGGCAGCGTCGCAGGAAATCTCACAGGCAACCAATTCTCGTGGTTTGTGTCGAACGGCCTTTCAAGACCTACCAACATGCAGTCTATAAACTCGTTGTTCGTCACGCCACCAATCCGGAACTCATCGCTGATCACCGGGGCATTCGTCGATCAGTGAGTTAATAATGACTACAACGATAATAGTGCTATTGCAAACAACCAATTACTCACATTAAATCACCCTCGTATGTGCAGGCACTACTCCATGTAGGTTGTGGCCTCATTTTTGAATCAAAAGAGTCACGGAGCCTCATTTGACCCTTTCCACAGAGCAGGTCCAGTTCTCACATCGATATCAAGTACCCAATGGATCAATCTGAACAAAACATTCAACTATGACGCTAACGGATATTTGTCAATGACCACTGCCTCGGTTCTCAGCCCGTGAGTATACAACTGCAGAGCTTGGCGGCAACAGAAGTTACTAACACATTTATGTTTCAGGCTATCGTACGACTGTGCACTGTTGATTATATCGGGCTGGGACTATGTACGTATCAAAGAATATGAATCAGAGTCAGGAGCTATTCCCAGCGCTATACTGATTATTTCTTGCAGTTGTTGAAGAACAATCTGGCGACAGCAGCTCAGATTAGCCAAAATCAGGTACCCTATGGGCTTGTGAATGTCTCGGTGTTCAACACGACGAATGGGGCATCTGGACAGATCTATCTCAACGGTAAGTCTCTCTGAATACTGGTACGAAGTCCTTGACACCCATGGCTCACCAGAGTATTTCTCTCGTAAAGATCAAGGCATTAGGCAGACAGCGTAAGTTGGATAGGGACAGGCGACTCCGGAGGCGACGGCATTGTTAACCAATGCGCAATATTCATATCCACAGAGTCGCAGAGATTCTAAGCAAAGTAAGCGACTCTCGATTCGTGACTTGCGTGTGCTGAGCGAAGCTTGCTATCCGTGATCCCGGGGCGATACCACTATTCACTGAACGGCTATGTTCGTCAATCTGAACAAGGATTTCACACGACCAAGCGCCTACTGGGGATTAATCATGAAGCAAATAACTGCACACAAAGCGATGAACTATTCCTTTGATATCATTGACTACACAGTCCCGACAAGTCCAAATGTGACTCAAGCCAGTTTGTATGCAATCTATATTCGATCTGGTAAGTTTGAAGAATCATTGATTGTTTTAGTCACGAGGTTGAGATACTCCATCATGCGTTTGTGTGAGTGTAAGTTTGTGGTCATTGAATTAGAGAGGCATGTCCATTCAGTCAATGCTCTGATGTGGTGGCCTCCTTGCTTCACCGACTTTGTTGGTGCTCGCTGGCATCGCCGTTCAGTGTGGGCCATACTCTTTGCGGTCTACCTGTCGCCTGATTGACACCGCCAAGCCACGGTCATCGCCGTCGACCCCGCTGACGATCACTCCCATTGTGGCACTCGCTTGCTTGCTGCCACTCACTCGCTTGCTGACACTCACTCGCTTGCTGACACCACACTACCACCAATTGCTCGTCCATATCGCCAGGATCCATCCCTGGTGACTATCCTGTCAATGTCGTCAATCCACTCAGCTCCGATGTCCAGTGGGCCCGCATCATCGGGTACATCGGTGTGGCCCTTTGTGTGGTGCTGTTTGTCTTTGTGGTTGCGAACTACCGATCAAAGTCCGTGGCAATCTATGGACTCGTCAACACAGCAAGCGGTGGGTGCATTGCTCTTGCCACAAATATGCAAACCACACCCATGCATCCACATCCACATCCACATCCACATCCACATCCACATCCACATCCACATCCACATCCACATCCACATCCACATCCACATCCACATCCACATCCACAGCGAGTGTTCGATGATGCGACTGACTGACAGGTGCTGTGGATCCCGACGAACAGCCCTCCTTGGATGCGCCCTTGGTTTCTCGCTTCCGATCGTTCAGAACCCACTCCCAGATGCAGCCAACTGTATCCTCTCGGAGTGTTGGGGAGTGATCTCGCTGACACTGTGTTTGTGGTAAGCCAGCATGAACTCGGCTGCAGCTTGACGTGCAGACATGCTCGATAAGATGTCGAGGTGGATGGAATATCCGTGAGTGACTGTGCAGGCGCTTAGGGATCCATTTCGCCTGTGGGCGGTGGAGAAGACCAAAGTGTATTCGGAGCAACATTTATGGCCCCCATCAACTCCTCACCATCTCACCATCTCACCATCTCACCATCTCACCATCTCACCATCTCACCATCCCACAGCCCGGTCACGTTCAAGGCACTTGGTGAGTTTGGATACAGGACGCACGGTCGATCTGATCGACGATCTGCGTTCGCATCTGTTGTTTGTGGTGCTTTGCAAAGAGCGGCGAGCTTGATCAAACGACTGACACACGGCCACATCTCAGTGCACTACTTCCGCAAGAACAGCAACTTGGCCAAGAAGAAGCCGGTGCCTGCATGGCACACCTTTATTGTCCTGACATTTGTTCTCAGTCTTCAAGCTGTGAGTTGTGCCCTTGCATTTCAAAACCTGTGATTACATTCATTCACTCAGCTTCATACCGTCCTGTCAGATTCTCCTTCCGTCACATCTAATGACCGTGCCAAGTTTGATATACAACATCCAACTCGACGATGTCAATGTATTCATCGCCTGTACCTCGTCCGATTCGGGAATCATCGTTGAAGTACTCACAGCAAACATCATCAATATATTCCTTGTCGTTTCCGGAGCGTGCCTCTGCTTTGACGGCCTTCTTGGCTCCAGGCGCATGTATGGCACATCCACGAGCAAAGTATCTCTTGCTACTCGGTCCTATCCAACTAACTCGATGCCGTCTCTTCCAGAAACGAAGTTGTTTGCTCCTTCTTCCTGCTTCTGTGAGTAACATGACGTCAGCTGAGCAAGCTTTTTGCCGCCCTTCTGATGAGATTGGTCCGTTTTCCACAGGAGCGTCGTTTTCTGGAATGTTGCCTTCTTCGGAATCCTCTCCGTTCCGGATCTTGAAGTGTTTTACTTTGATATCGTTGCTGTGAAGCAGTTCATAGTGAGCGGCTCTATTGTCGTGTTCACGCTGCTTCCAATATTCCTGAGTATGAAAACCCAAGATCCAACCCTCCTCGTTGGTGGTGGGTCAGGGAACGCCAGAACTCTTGTGTCAAGAACAATCAGCAGTACAATCAGCGAGGTGGTCGGGTCGTCCAAGCCCAAGATCAGCGATACAGAGGGAAAAATGCTTGTCGTGCCAAAGGTTATGGTGTCTACTGCAAAGAGATTCAACCCAAGATGGTCGGACCTTGGCACGCACACAATGTATCTGATGGAAAACAGCTTTATGTACCTGTGCAATGCAAACCACTCTTCGGTAAAGAAGATTTCATGCTTATCTCGCAGGCCAGGCTCTAGAAACGCACATCACTGACGATTCTCTATCGGACTTAGGCCGATCACAGCTTCAAAATCATCTCGCTCCAACGATCGTGCGTCGAGTTTCAGAGAACGTTTGCAAGGGACCGAGACTGTATCCGATTCACTGTCACCACGCCATTCGAGAGCCTTCGTATCGACATGGACAGTGGCGCTGGTGTTGTTTTGTTCAACTTCTGTAACTGCGACGTGAGCATCACGGTCGCGGGCCAGATTGAGTCTGAATCAGCGTCGGGCATTTAGAGTAGGAAGTTGCGGCTTTCGCCTCGCATCTCTGTGTCCGCTTCCGCTTCGCTCCGAGGCTGTCCCTATTCGAAAAACTCGGATGAAAGCGATTCAGCGCTTACAAAAAATGGGACACTTTGCGCCTATCGCTATGCTTGGAATGGTAATAAATGCATATCCATTCGAGATGATCATCTGCACAATGGCAAGAGGTATTCCAGTATGTCCAAGAGCATCATACGTCGACAAATGGGATCGGAAGGGTGTCCCATTTGCTCAAGTGTAAAGTGTAAATGGATGTCGTTGGTGCATCACAATCCGTCGATTCCCTCACCCTTGCAACCAAGAACGCTGGAATGATCATGATTGATAATGGCCCCTCCGAATCTCCCCATGTGCTTGAATAAGCTCCTGGCGAGGCTCCAGGAAAGAAACCGCGCTGTGCATCGCAATCATGGCCCGCCAACCGAGCCACAGGGTGCGCTCGTGGCTGACTCGTGGCCTCGATCTTCCAGTTGTCCAGCCGACGGCCGGCTTCAAGAGCGCGCACAGCGGTTCCTCGATCCATCAAAGCTTGCGATATGCTGGCAGCACTGAGTACTAGCGGAACAAATGACCATGCAAGGACGACTGGCCACGACGCCCGCCCTTCTCCGATATCGGACGAGCGAAAGAAGCGCGAGACAATCGGGGAGCTTGGCCGGTTGCGGTCGCGGTAAGGGCAGCACGGACACTCTGTGATGCAACACGCACGCCTGGTTATTGACGACCATGATATTCCAGAATCACCCTACTCAACAAGGATCTGCGTGCCATTGTCGAAAAGAGCGACATGTGCAGTGATATCGGTTGGAGCGACGGGAATCGCGACGAGACAAAACGCGAAAGTACGGCACGATGCTGGTTGTTGCTTGGTTGAGCGGTTTGGGGGTCATTTGGAGGAGATGACCCAGTCCTTGATTTGGTTCTGGTTGCGATGGGATCACTAACAGCTGTCGTCGGGCACAAAGGAAGCACTCTGAATCGACAGATTCAAATCATTTCAAGCGACATTGAGCAGCTTCGACGGCATATCGCCCAGAAGAGTGGCGGGCGCGATTGTAGGTCGAACGAGCCGCTAATTCCTTCCGGCCCGTCGAGCCGCTGTTGTGCTTGGCTGGCCTGCTCGCAACTTTTGCTGATCATCTGCTTGAAATCCCGGCAGACATTAAAGGGGTAAAAAATCTCATGGAGTCCATCGAGCATCACATTTCAATATTCAAGAGCTCCCAACAGATAATGTCAGCCAATGATTTGCAGCGGTGAATGTGATGTGTCTCGCGCTCTGTTCACTCGGTTGATGATTTGACAGCAATGTGCCTCTGCTTCAGATTTGATCAACTGTCGGAAGACGAACGGAAGCTGACACTGGAGCTCAACTTTCTCACCACCAAAGTCCAATCGTGGGATTCACTGCCCGAAGACTCCAGCGACCATCATGGAGGGGCCGAGTCGAATTCACTGGCCCACATCCTGGCGAAAGGAGCAAAGCCTGTCCGACTCAGCAGCGCCGGTGGTCTCCCTAACCAGATTGCCGAGTTTAATGTGAGGCGAAAGAGCGGACCCGCACATTTCCAAAGAGCATCGAAATGGATTGCATCCAAAGGAGCCCTGACACTGTCTCCGTTCGTTTTGGCAGGACTTTCTGACCAAACATGGCGGTCACAGCGGCGGATGGGATGATCTTAGCCACAGTGCATTTGTCAAGATCTGGCACAAAAACAAGGTGTGGATGATAAGAGCAATGGCATATGCATCTCCAGCCAGGCCAGAGTGCGTGCCTAATACCGATGATTGACACTCCGGGTCGGAGACAGTCCGCTGACGGCAATTTTGATCATGATTCCTCGCCAGGGCGAGCACGACAAAGTGGTCGGCACATGCATCGTGCAGATTCCGGGGGTCAGTGTGCAAGACATCGAAAGACATACGCGATGGTTCGAAAAGTATCTCCAGCTTCTTGAGGCCAAGAAGCATGCCATATCTCAGTGGAAAGTCCAAAAATCGGTGAGTGCTGGGAGGGCGCTGATAGACAGCACGCTATTTTAGATCCACTCTGCTGACCATAGCCACCACCAACAGGAGTTGAACAAAGGCGCAGAGCAAGACTTGGGCAGTCGACTCGAGGAAGACGCGCGAGTGAGCATGGCCGTACACCGAAGAGCCGCCCGCGATAGCGCCAGGGTGAAAGCCAGCCTAGAGATGTGGAGGGCAAAGAAGCAGCAACTTGAGCTGGAAAAGAGACAAATGGAGGAGACCGAAAAGAAGGATGCCAATGCGCAACACACAAAATGGAAGCAGCGGGTGAGTCGGCGGTCCTGCATGTGCCGCCATCCGACAGGTGTTCTGCACAGCTGCCCACCATTGACTCTTGACTGCGTACTGCATGCCACCAGCACATTGCCACAAAGAAAAAAGTTGCGGCTTATATCGAAAACAAGGAAGCAGAGGAGCAGCTGAAGCGTCTGATCACAAGTGCATCGGAGATTGTGTCGCGACAGTCGAGGATGGAAACTGAGCGAGAAGAGCTCGCCAAGCTTTCGCAGAGAGTGAGTAGCAGTCGCAGATGTGCACCCCGATTGGCGTCTTTTGCACGAGCTCATCGCAACTGTGGCCCCATTTCCAAAGGACATGCGGATTGCAGAGAAAAGAAAGCAGAAAATCGAGGCCAAACGGCTCCCTCAAAAGGAGAAGGAAAAGCGAATTGAATCACTATTGGCCCAGGTTCGACGAGCACTCGTTTGATTCGCCAGAACCAAAAAATAGCAGAGCCCGTGTTCTGACGCTCTCTGGCGTTCCTAAATCGGCCTGGTGCTGAAAGGTTGTCGTTCATGCCAAGCCAGATCCATCCAGGATCATGCAGTTGACTGAAGGCCTGAAACATCGCCTGTCGTCCAGCCCGGAACAGGACAGGGAGGCAGCCGATAAGGTCCGGCGCCAGTTTGAGCCGCCAAATTTGCGGCAAGTCAGGTAAACTCGACCGGACGACCCATACTCTGTCGGCAATAGCTAGTGTCAGCAGGTGGAAAATCACATATCGTCGTGGTTGTGCTAACTCGAGTACCTTTGACCGGGCCGAAACTCCAGATTCACGCCACAGTGGCGCAGAGGAATAAGCTGATTTCTATCAGAAACCAAAGCTACTGCAGCGCTACTGGACAGTTTTAGAATCGAGGAACACCAAGGTCTTTGATGAGCGACCAAATGATTCGTCGCCTCGTATATCCTGCGCTGGCCGTGACCATCCGCCACACTTGACCTCCGCATCGCTTCGCTGTGTTCAAGAGCAGCATGATCACTGTGTGCGGGGAGATTGTGTGGTCGGGGAGTAACCTGCGGTTCACTAGGAGGCTGTCGAGGTGGTCATCTTTTACTGCAAACGATTCTGCTGGAAGCAGGCTTTCAAAAGCTACCTGCTCTATTGAAATGGGGCAGTGTTCCGGCTATTCTGACCAGAGTGTGGAGACGATCGGTGCCATTGGCCGTTATATTGTGGAAATCATCAGAGGTCTATCGTATATGGTTGATGAGGCCGCGATGACTTTGGCTGAGTTGGGTCAGACGGCAACAGATCACACTCAATCATGACTTTCCTCCGCGTTGTCAATCGGAGGGCTGCCTGTGATGCTGATGGATGAGTCTGCTGAGCAATAGTCATAGAACTCGATACCGAACCCAGTCTTCAGGTTGAGACGCAGCGTCTCGTACGAGGTTCTGATGGTGCAGAGCAGGTGCTCGCTTTGCTTGTTTTCCACCTTGTCGAACTCGATCCGAGTTCCACGGATGCACACGAGCCGCTGATCGACCTGAGATGACACCTTGATGCATAAGCAGCGATCTTGACGGACAGCAACAGCAGTAGCAGCAACAACATGAATTGAGATCGCCTTACCTTCTGCTCGGAATTGATGTGACCCATGAACATGTTGCCTCGCTCCAGGAGGAGCAGCGAGTAGTTTCCAAGCTTTCGCCAGCGGGACCCTAGCTTGCCTTCAAGGATCCAGAGCTCGACTTTGTCCAGAAGCTTGGCCTTGACTTCGATCTCTTCGGGTTTTTTCTTCTGGGGAGAGTGCGCTATCACCCTGGATGTTATCTTCGACGACGATGATGGACCATTGGCATCGTGGCCGCCGATGAGCAGGGATGTATCCTTTCGTATGATGCTGAGGACGACCGGCATAAAAGCCAGAACAAGTATAGAAGAAAAGACAGCGAACTGTCGACCGGCGATAATGTGGAACTGATATTGATAGAGCCCCGGGACGAGAGAGATACCGAAATACGCCACCATCCAGAACACGACGCTCCTTCAGACACGAGAGGAATGCGGTTAAAACGCGCCAAAGCGGACGCTGACAGCAACAGACGGGTGCAACGTCGGCGCTTACCCCAGGAGCAGAATAAAGTATCGCAGTTCAGAGCTACAAAAGGGAATCGGGGATGGTCAATAAAGCCCGCCGAGCATGCCCTGACAACTGAGTGGAATAGAGACCTATATCGCATTGCCACTAGACACTCACAACTTTTCGTCCGTAGTGCTCTTCAAACACAGAGCAAGGCCAGAGAAGGTCAAGATAATGTTGATGATGTAGTCGCAAATAAAAGTGACAACAAGCACCGCGCCGGATGGCTCGCATGTCAGGATTCGGTTAACATCGTCGAGCTGAGTAATAGATATGCCCGGATACTGTTGCAGATTCGATCCCAGGAATATCTGAAAACGGTGGAGCTCAGCATGAGTCACAACGCCATCATGATCAAATTCGCTGCTTGGGCGGGTGAAAACGCTGTCCTACCGCCTGAAGCGCCAGCACGGCCATCAGAAAGAGAAGAATGTGATATCCAGGCACCGGCTTCTTCTTGGCCAAGTTGCTGTTCTTGCGGAAGTAGTGCACTGAGATGTGGCCGTGTGTCAATCGTTTGATCAAGCTCGCCGCTCTTTGCAAAGCACCACAAACAACAGATGCGAACGCAGATCGTCGATCAGATCGACCGTGCGTCCTGTATCCAAACTCACCAAGTGCCTTGAACGTGACCGGGCTGTGGGATGGTGAGATGGTGAGATGGTGAGATGGTGAGATGGATGGTGAGATGGTGAGGAGTTGATGGGGGCCATAAATGTTGCTCCGAATACACTTTGGTCTTCTCCACCGCCCACAGGCGAAATGGATCCCTAAGCGCCTGCACAGTCACTCACGGATATTCCATCCACCTCGACATCTTATCGAGCATGTCTGCACGTCAAGCTGCAGCCGAGTTCATGCTGGCTTACCACAAACACAGTGTCAGCGAGATCACTCCCCAACACTCCGAGAGGATACAGTTGGCTGCATCTGGGAGTGGGTTCTGAACGATCGGAAGCGAGAAACCAAGGGCGCATCCAAGGAGGGCTGTTCGTCGGGATCCACAGCACCTGTCAGTCAGTCGCATCATCGAACACTCGCTGTGGATGTGGATGTGGATGTGGATGTGGATGTGGATGTGGATGTGGATGTGGATGTGGATGTGGATGTGGATGTGGATGTGGATGCATGGGTGTGGTTTGCATATTTGTGGCAAGAGCAATGCACCCACCGCTTGCTGTGTTGACGAGTCCATAGATTGCCACGGACTTTGATCGGTAGTTCGCAACCACAAAGACAAACAGCACCACACAAAGGGCCACACCGATGTACCCGATGATGCGGGCCCATTGGACATCGGAGCTGAGTGGATTGACGACATTGACAGGATAGTCACCAGGGATGGATCCTGGCGATATGGACGAGCAATTGGTGGTAGTGTGGTGTCAGCAAGCGAGTGAGTGGCAGCAAGCAAGTGAGTGGCAGCAAGCGAGCGAGTGCCACAATGGGAGTGATCGTCAGCGGGGTCGACGGCGATGACCGTGGCTTGGCGGTGTCAATCAGGCGACAGGTAGACCGCAAAGAGTATGGCCCACACTGAACGGCGATGCCAGCGAGCACCAACAAAGTCGGTGAAGCAAGGAGACCATCCCATTGGGAGGCACAATCGACTCTACATATATGCAGACTTACAAGCGCGCCGAATGACAGATAATCCACGATACATACCAGCTCTCAAAAGCGCCGCGTACGAGCTAGCCTGTGTTTGGTTGGGACTCAGAGGCTGCATATAGTCGATGATATCGAACGAGTAGTTATCCGTTTTGTAGGTGGTGATTTGCTTCATTATAAGTGACCATGAGCTGGTCGATCGGTTAAAGTCCTGAGAAAACGAAGAGTGTCAGAGCGATGCTCAAGATCCAGCCATCCACAGCCCATGATTGTGCTGAAGTGTCTGTTCGTGAGCTTACCTTATTGATGAACTGGGCCACACTTGATATGATCGATCCAGAGTTTGGTCAGTCGATTATCTCAATGTCGGATCGGTGTATGGCATGGTTCTGTAGAACACTTACGCAGATACCCTCTGGCCGTAGTCTGCAATAGGTTTTCATATCAGTTAGCGTCACACATCGCCACAGAATCAAACCGGAGTGGGATCAGTTCTGGTCATACAGTGGTTGTACGATGAAGGGACAATGAGTCAAGCCAAGGGAACTCACTATTGAGGCTGATGAGTCCAGATGCCCCATTCGTCGTGTTGAAGACCGAGACATTCACAAGCCCATAGGGTACCTGATTTTGGCTAATCTGAGCTGCTGTCGTCAGATTGTTCTTCAAGAGCTGAGAGACAGTTTACCAATGTGAGGACATCGACAACGAAAGCGAGAGCATGGCGCTGCGAGGGATGTGCTCGTGTGAATATGCCTACCGTGTCCCATCCAGCGACCATGAGCAAGGCGCAGTCATATGTCAACCTATAGTGGACGATGAGAGCTTAGATGAGCACAATCAGCGGACAATATCTCTTTGACAGCCACAACTCACGGTGGGATTGTGGAGTACTGGTCCATCCCCAGGAAGCTGGAGGTGTAATAGTTGAAGGTCATGTTGAGGTTGATCCAAGGCGTGGAGGATGACGCCGTCAGGATGGGACCCGTCCTATTTGTAGCGTATTATCGTTGATATAAGAGATCCTGGTATTGCCTTGTCTGATCAACTCATTGCAGGATCACAAGCAAGTACTTACAGAACATAATGTCTGAGGAACAACCAACGACCATTATGGATAGTCCACAGTTAGAACTATACTTGATGTTATCCAGTGGCAACAACATGCCCCGTCCATAATGCGGTGCTTGGCGCAGACACCAAATGGCACTCACTGATCAATGAATGCCCCGGTGATCAGCGATGAGTTCTGGATTGGTGGCGTGACGAACAACGAGTTTATAGACTGCATGTTGGTGGGTCTTGAAAGGCCGTTCGACACAAACCATGAGAATTGGCTGCCTGTGAGGTTTCCTGCAGCACTGTCGTGCCCATCATCAAAGTGGTCATGGAGTCAGTCCACACGATCTGCTGCCACACAGATTCTACAGACACATGCGATTCCAGTCGCATTCACGACAGGTACATTCATGGCGATGCATTCACGACAGTCACTCGGTCTAGTGCACATCTGCATACTCACACAGACTGAGTCGATCCGACGAGTTGCGTTGCGTTGTGTTGTCGAGACAAATATGGCGTGGCAAGTGGCTTGTGTCAGTCGCATTGTGTCAATCGCAACGAGCCTGTATCGCGCGAGCACTGCTCTGTGGCTCTATGGCTCTGTGACCGCCTCCTGTTCTCACCTGGAGCCACAGACACGATGCTTCGAAACTCCCGGCCAAGACCACAAAGACCCTGACTTTTGACGCCTTCATTGCCGAGATCACTCCGGAGTAGTCCCAGGTCGCAGCGTTTGATGCTGGCGTGACACCGGCTTGATCTCCGATGTATCGCATGAACGTGATGTTGATGTTCAAGGCAGCGGCTTGATCCAAGAACCCAGGAAGCAGGCTCACACCGGTCATGGAGTACTGCGAAGACTTTCTCATCCGATCCGAGATTGATGCCGCAGTCAGCGCGGTGTCCACTACGATATCCATACTATTGCAATGTGGTCGTTGAGCGGCGGCGTTCGGCTTACCGTTACAATGAGACCCATTCGTCGCCATCCCATGCTGTACATGAACTCGGCGATCGCTAGTGATGTAGCCATATGGCGTCGTTTTGTATTTTGTCGAGCCAGATCGAAATCCGTAAGTAAGTGTCTGCATCATAAAACAATTACATCCAAAGCTTCTTGGTCCTTCACAGTTCACATACCGGCGCCCACGTAGCCAGTGTCAGGCATGGTTCGGAAAAACGTCGGGTAGACTGACCGATCTGTCAGCTATGCATTAGCGAGTACATGTGTTAGTCGTGAGCATACCATTTGTCGTTGACAAGAGTGAGAAGGGCTCGCTTATGACCTCCTTCGAGAGTGAGCATTGATACCAAACTGGAGTACGAACTTCCATGGAGAAAGGATGGAGGTGGAGGGATGCATATGCGAGCAATGTCGCTGGGTAGATATCGGTGAAGGAGACCGTGTGCATCGTGACTACCCTTACAAATGGTTGGTTTGCGATCGGCGAGCAGTACGGGACGTTGGCAACACTGGCAGAAAGTGCGCCGAGGGGCACGTTGGCTGCCCCATTCAGACCCAAGTTTGTGGCGCTGTTGGGTTCGCCTACATGACGGGATACCGGATCGGAGGAGAGAAAATTGAGTAGCATGCGCTAAATCCGGTCGCTCCACGTCGATACTCGCACACGACGCAAGCTCACCAATGAGACCGTTGACTCCCCGCCCCCCAACCAAGGGATTGAGGCCGTTCAAACTTCCTAGGATGGCCGTGAGCTGAGCACAAAGGACGCAAGGAAGGCGATGTTTTGGTTCAGTCGCGGTCGCTGTATGCGATCGGAATCCCGCCGAACAATCGCAGAAACGCTCTCATTCCTCCCCTCCCTCCCTTCCTGCGACGAATCGACACAATCAGCACGTGGCTCTCGCCGTGCATATGGCTCGCTGCTCTCTTACCGAGCTTCCTTGCGAGTTGTACGGATTTGCCGTATTGACGGTCTGGATCGCTCGAACTCTCAGGTTCTAGAGCCCAACGCCGATAAAGCCACATCACATCACATCACATCACATAGCATCACAGAACATAGCATCACATAACATCACATAACATCACAGAACATCACATAGCATCGCAGAGTATGCCACATCACGGCGCAAAAGTATGCCGTTTCCACGCATGAAAATGAAAACATCGTTCAGTATACTCGGAGCCATGAATGAACCATTCGAATGGCGATATCCAGACGGTAAGCACAATTCGAAACCTACGATTCCAGGAAGGATGTTGGGGCTGTTGGAAAGAACGACGGCCCGGCAGATGGGAGCAGAGGTTGAGTTTGGGATATGCAAACGAGAGCGATACCAGACCGGGAAGAGGCTGTGGCTGCCAGTGGCGTTTGAACTGGTGCGTCATGGAGGCCTCTATCATCTGGGGTAATGCATAGTGGATAGGGATGGAAAGGGGAATGGACGGGTGTACACTCACTTGGCATTGATTTCGTTGGTGAGACTGAGAACGGCGTAGTACCTGGGCAAGGAGTTCAGTTCCATGAATATATACCATGACATGCATCCTTCTTCCATTTCACAGTCACCAAGGAAACAGAATGTCCGTACGCTTTGTCTGCGACTGGCCGAACATCCTCCTGCCTGGAGTTCCATAGTCCGCAAGACCGAATGGACGGTCCACGCTCTGAGACGAGAACGAAAGTTGGGGGGGGGGAGAGTGGCCTTACATGCTGTAAATGGCGGCATACATGTCGTATGGCGAGTTCATGTAATACCCCGCAACGCCGATCGTCACATTGGCCACGGCGTTGGGATAGGCCTTGGACGGGTGCACAGGGAACCACGGCGGTAGCGGCGTCGCAGTGCTGGCTTGGCGAGCCAGGAGGCCGAGCACCAGCAGTGCCTGTACTGCATTTGTGAGCAGCATGGCAGCCAGGGAGGGAAGCGCTGGAAAATCTGTGGGAAGAGTCGGGTAAAAGTGTCCCGGGTCGAGCAAACGATATGGCGGTCCAGGGACGGATGTCGTCGGCTGGCTTTTACAGGATGAGGACGATGGAGGAACTGAGGCAGGCGAAAGGGCCTTGGCGGGTGCAGGAGGCTGGAGGAACTATCGGACCAGAAATATATTCGTTCGACGATGCATATGTGGTCAGACGGCCACGCCGGTCTTGAGGTGGCAGACCGGCAGCGACAGACGGCCACGCCCGAATGACATCATCGATCAGGCCGTTTCATGCCTGCATTCAAAGTAGCCGCCCGAAGAGGGCAGACGATGCCGACCAATCCAAGGGCGGTCCAAGGTGGTCGATCCGCTTGGCGCTCGGCAATATGTCGGCGGCTGGAGTGACGCAGCGGCAGAGCTCGGTGGAATCGATCGAGCGATGGATTCGCATCTGGGCCAAAATGACCGAGCTCTGACAATACTGGTAGTCCACCTCGGTGTTCCGTAGCGGACAGCGCCTCTCTTTTCGATTCAAACGACTCTCGGAATACAACGGGTTCCTTGTTTCTGAATCGTGCATGTCGCTGTGCCATGCGCACCTCCGGCGATGGATGAACGGGATGGGCATTCGGGTTTCAGAAACAGAGGATTTGGCAAGCAAACTCGCTCGAACCGACTATCTTGGGGCCGCGTTTCAGGGGGAAAGTGTCATCCATATGTCCCAGGTTTCAAAGCCACACATCATCATCACACCCACACCCATCACCAGACCAGCACCCACCGCTCGAGACAACGCAGCGATGTGGAATACCATGTATTGAGCCGGATGCAAATTGCCAGGCGCTGCTGACATCCCCTTTCCGTACGAATGTTGCGCAGTGAACAAGAGAAGCGATGGAAGAGAGTGAGGAGGAAGGGCGGGATAGTGGCAAAGGAGAATCCATCGTGAGGATGAGCAAAGAAAAGAAAATGAGAGGGGAAAAGAAAAAGGAGAACAAATAGCCCAAAGCTGAAGCAAGAACGCGCGAACAGAACCGCAAGCTGGAACAGCCCCAACCAACCACGAATGAGCCATTGAACCCAACGGCACAGCTGGGCCCAGGCGCAGCATGTCGGGCAGGATCAGATCGGAGCACTTTCGTCACTAAAGAACGACCTTTCCGAACGACGGCTCGTCTGTCCCCTCGCACGGCGCTGCCGCGTCCGCCGATGCAGGCCATGCCGTGCTATTTACAAGGGGACATTGCCGTGCTTCTTCCAGGGGTTCTTGAGGTCCTTGCTCTTCAGCCTTCTCAAGTCCTCGATGATGCGCTTGCGGGTCTCGGAGGGGTTGATGACGTCGTCCACAAAGCCGCGCTGGGCAGCAGGAAGCGGGTTGGCAAACTTGTGGACGTACTCGGCCTCGGCCTGGGTCTTGTCGGGGACCTGACGGAAGATAATCTCGACGGCACCCTTGGCGCCCATGACAGCGATTTCACCAGTGGGCCAGGCGTAGTTGACGTCGCCGCGGAGGTGCTTGGAGCTCATGACGTCGTAGGCGCCACCGTAAGCCTTCCGGGTGATCACGGTGACCTTGGGGACGGTGGCCTCGGCATAGGCGTACAGGAGCTTGGCACCGTGGCGGATAATGCCGCCGTGTTCCTGAGCAGTGCCGGGCAGGAAGCCAGGCACGTCGACAAAGGTGAGAAGAGGGATGTTGAAGGCATCGCAGAAGCGGACCCAGCGGGCAGCCTTGACGGAGGAGTTAATGTCGAGGACACCGGAGGACACGAGCGGCTGGTTGGCAATGATCGAGACGGTCTCGCCGCCGAGCCGAGCAAAACCGACAACCATGTTCTTGGCAAAGTCAGGCATGACCTCGAAAAAGTCGCCCTCATCGACAATCTAGAAGACGAAGAAAGCATGCGCAGGACAATGTCAGAACCGTGTCAGGTATCCGAGGTGGCGATACATAGGCCGGAGTTGGGGACGGTGAGTCGAGTGGTCAGGGCGATGACGGGCCAGAAGCAGCAGTCAGTCAGCGACACTCACTCGGGCGATCACATCCTTGATATCATAAGCCTTGGTCGAGTCGGCGGGGACAATGTGGTCAAGAGCCTCGTCCAAACGGTCGCTGAAGGAGGGGGGAGTAGAGGCATCAGCGGCGATCAAGTCAAGCCAAGCCAAGTCAAGCCAACTCTGCCAGAGGAGCGCATTACATACACAGGGTCATCGGTGGGGCGGGATGGAAGCTGGCTGCGGTTCGAGAGAGGCAGGAAATCGACAAACTGTCGCAGCCTGGGGGTGACAGTGAATGAAAGAGCGATATGGTCAGACCGCGGGACACCAGGGCCGTCCGAACTTGACAAGCTGCTCCGTGCATGTGGTTCGACTCCCAGCGCTGGGCAGATCAAATGCATATGTGATTCATGCAGATGCTTACTTGGAGAGAGCCTCGACATCATTGTCAAAAGCAAGATGGGCGACACCTAAAAGTCATGAGGGGGATGGCCATTGTGAGCGAGGAGCCAGCACACCAGCCGGCAGCAAATGGATCCATGTGGATGGCGCATCGAGTCGCACATACCGGACTTGGTGGTGTGGGCCTTGGCACCGCCGAGCTCCTCCTGAGTGACGTCTTCGTTGGTGACAGCCTTGACGACATCGGGACCAGTGACGAAGAGGTACGAGCTGTCGCGGACCATGAAGGTGAAGTCGGTCAAGGCCGGCGAGTAGACAGCACCGCCTGGCAGACGTCGAGTTGGATGAAGAGCGTTAGGTGAAACTCGAAGAGGCGCGACCAGATCAGCACCGAATCCGAGGGCCAAGGCGACGGCAGGGTGCAGCCACATACCAGCACAAGGGCCCATGATCAGAGAGAGCTGAGGGATGACACCAGAGGCCATGACGTTGCGCTGTTATGGCAGAGCGAGGATCAGTTGTCTGTGTGGCGTAACAGAGCCGACTACGAGCCATGAGTGCATACAGACATGCGGAGGCAGAGGCAGAGCCGGCTAGCCAGCCGCATAAACACTCACCTGGAAGATATCGGCATAGCCGGCAAGAGAGTCGACGCCCTCCTGGATACGGGCACCGCCAGAATCATTGAGGCCAATCACGGGGGCGCCAACGAGCAAAGCCTGGTCCATGATCTGGAGATGGACACACAGAAATGGGTGAGAAGCGTCGATCGCAAGCTCAGAGATTGCGCCACTCTTGAGGGGCCGAAACACTGGTGCGAGACCTCGGACGAGTTACATACCTTGCAGATCTTTTGGGCGTGGGTCTTGGAAAGGGAGCCACCAAAGGCAGTAAAGTCCTGGCTGAAGACGTAGACCAAGCGGCCGTTGATGGTACCGCTGCCGGTCACGACACCGTCGCCGGTGATCTGGAAGCACCCGGAAGACAGAGTGAGCATCGCATGAGCATACGGGGGTGTGGACAGTAGGCATCAAGGGCGAGTCAGACGATCATGTACCTTTTGATCGGCCATGCCAAAGTCGACGCACTGGTGCTCGACAAAGGCGTCGGTTTCGCGGAAAGAGCTCTCATCGAGCAGAAGGCTGATTCTCTCGCGAGCAGTGAGTTTGCCCTGTTGGGGAGATGCGGCAATCGGCGTATATGTCGTGTTAGGACCGTTTGCGATGAGATTGTAAGAATCCAGGATCCGGAGCAGGGGACTCTGTAGATGCGTGGTGGAACCTGGGAAACGGCGACAACATGAACCATGGAGATGGCAGGACGCGATACGAACCTTGGAGTGCTGGGTGGCAATTCGCTTGGGGCCGCCGCCAAGAACGGCAGCGGCTCGCTTCTCATCGATGGCACGGCGAAGCTCCTGGACGGCAGAAAAGCGCACACGGCGAGATCAGATCAACGACAACGGTCTGGACAACGGCAAGGGCAAGGGCAATGGCAAGGGCAATGGCAAGGGTGCCAACATTGGCGTGGGACATGTCATGGTCAGATCGCAGTCGCATGCGAGAGCAGACGCGACAGATGGATGAATAGGAGGGATCGAGGATCCAGCGACGATCAATGCTGGGAGATGGAAGCGATGCAACAGGACACAATCGGCATGGCCAACAACAGACGAGCCAGAAACAGGCACGGAAACAGGCACGGAAACAGACACGGACGGCAGAAGAACGGAGAACGAAAGCTGGCACATTCAGATAACAAGCGTGGGGAGCTGGAGACAGATGGGAGAGCCAACGCGACAGCGCTTGGATGGGATTGGCGCCGCAAAGACCCAGCTCGATCGGCATGGCCGTCCGGATGCAGAGATGTGCTGACAACCATGGAGAGACGACTTACAGCTTCCCGGGAGACAGCACTCGAGGCAGCCGAGTAGAAGCGGTAACCGACAGGGCGCAGAGCAGCGCGATTTGCAAAGACGGAACGAAGCATGGTGTACGGAGGGGGGGATCTGCGAGTAGAGATGCTGGATGGTGGGGAGCAGGAAGAGACGGCGATGGTGAGCCGGGCGAGGCCGGGTGATATATACAAACGACGCGGAGGATGATGGATGCTGAGGGCCAGGGGGGGCGGTCGGGTACGGCGAGCAGCCAAGCAGGCAAGACACGACGATCGACGAGACTTACGGATCAGGACGAAGGGCCCAAGCAGCAGACGGCAGGCGAGGGACGAGCAGATGGAAGCAAGAAAAGGACCGAGGGGCGAGGGTGTCAGGATGAGCAAGAGTGAACGGGCAGAGGGATGCGCGGATCTGGAGACGCAGGAACCCCCAGGCGCGGCGAGAGCGAGGCCGAGCGAGAGCGGTCCTCGCTGGCGGCGGCGATTGAATGTCCGCCACCCGAGCGCGAACGGAACGGAGGCGCGCCGCCGGTCGAGCGGGTGCCTGGGTGCTGTTCGCGCTGTTGTTCGTGCTGTTGCTTGTCTTTGCTCTGCAAGCCACACGCTGCCAGCGCCGTGATCGAGGGCCTCGGCATCCGCGGCAGCCGTTTCAGCCAGGGCCATCGAATCGATCGTGCAGCATCTCTCGGTGATGTCAGTATCCCGCAGGGGAGACGGCACTGTGCTTCAACACCACCACGACATCATCGTTATCACGATCGTCGTCACCACTACCACCATCATCATTACGGCCACGCTATCACAACTGCTACGACCGCCATCATTATTACCGCTGCCGTCACCGTTGCCATCATCGGCCATCGTCTGCACGGGGAGCATCAAGGCCAAAAGTCGCCCTGGATGCTGATCCCAGCACCGCCGTTGTCGCTGTGTGCATCCAGAGCAGCCCCACAGCCCTTTGTCTGGGCAGTCACGCCGCAGCCACAAGGGCATAACGCCCGCAGACACATGGAGACACGCGCTGACACGGCTCTGCTTGGCCGGACAGCCTGGCTCTGGGTCAGGACATGCTGGCCAGCATCGCAGCAGCGCGGCCCCTGATGTGTCATGCCGTGTCAGTCGGCCGTGGAATGACGACAGGGTGCAGGCTTGTTGGCTCTCCCGATCTGCTGCTGCTGCCACTCCCGATTGCCCCTCTCGAGGCTGCGAGTCTGAGGAACTGCTCTGGCGGCGTACCGCAATAGCAGTGTGCATCGAGATGTATTAAATTGCATCAAATGCATCAACACATCCACCACGAACGAGCACCACCACGAACAACCACCACAAACAAGCACTCCAGCGCCGTCCACACGAGCACGCACCGGGCCTGTGGTGGTTTCACACGCCCGAGCCTTTCTGGCACCCCCCCCATTCATCCTGACTCCCGACCCGCCCAGCCGCGTCCCCGCCCTCGCTGTCCGTCTCGTTGCTCTCCTCTCGCCGCCTTCCGGGTTCGTCTCCCGACTTGGGCCGCCCTAAAACCCAGGACCGCTGGGCGCCTGTCTTTTGCTGCCACCCCTCTCCCCCCCCGATCTGCAAGGACCGTCCCGGCTGTCTCGAGACTCGTCCTCTCCTTCATTGCACTCCCCCCCTCCTCTGCCCTTTGACCCGAACGCCCGTCTGCATTCGACACCATGCTGCCCAGGGCCATGTTCTTCCGCGCCAGCCCCGTCGCTGCCCGCTCGCACGTCCGTGTGTTCTACCGATCGGTCGCCTCCACCACCGACTATGGCAAGGTAAATGTCCTGGCATCAGTAGCAACCTGGCCCGCGGCCCCGGCCGTAGGCGTCATTCGCGTATCGTTGGCCGATCGTTGCTCGATAGAGTTTCTCGGGACCATGTTCATCTGTCTTTGGGTCTTCTGCGCGTCGGATGGGCTCATCCCAATGTTCCTCGCTCATTCTCGGACAAACCCTCCTCGCTGCCTCGCGGGCCATCTGTCATGCAGACCTTCGACAAGATCCTCATTGCCAACCGCGGTGAAATCGCCTGCCGTGTCATCCGAACCGGTACGGAGCTCCATTTGTCCCGCCATCAACAGAGTGCCCCCAGATCGGTGATCGAGAGATGCGCAACTCTGCGTATGCCCGTGCTCGGCCTTGATCTCGATCTCGATCTTGCGGGGTTGAACGCTGTCCACAGCCAGATGTGTCGCGTGAAGCCTGGGGCTGCCTCATGCCACTGCCAACGCTGCTGGGGGGAGGGTCAATCTTGCAGATATCGAGCGATGCAATTGTCGATATGCTCGCGACCCCGCCCGTCATCTGTCTGGCTCTGCAAACATGTTGCTGACCACGTCCGTTTCTTGCGTCTGGCATTGCGCATCGTGTGTCGGGGCCTGCAGCCAAGAAGATGGGCATCAAGACCGTCGCCATCTACTCGGATGCCGACGTCAACTCGCTCCACGTCAAGCTGGCGGACGAGGCTGTCCATGTGGTAAGCGTCGCTGCCGCCGCGGCTGGCTTCGTTCTCCGCCATGCTCCTTGATCTCCCCCCCCCCTCAACAACTGCAAGCCAGCCCGTCGATCGGCGCCGCTGGCCGGGTTCTTTGTGAGCCGCCGCTCTCTCTCTCCATCTGCCTGCCCCCCCTCGCTCTCCCTGTCCTCCGCGGCTCCGTTCCCGATGGCTTCTCCCGTCCTGCCATCACCCCACGTGACGCCGTTCCGCGCCGCCTTCTGGTGGCGGCCGGTGCCGACCGGGTCTGTGTCAAGACCGGGGGTGCTGGCGGGATGGGGGGCCTGTCAGGGGGATGGCCGTGCTGACACAGAGAGGCTGTGTTGGCAGCGAATTCCGCGGATGCGACGGCGCCGCGATCGCTGGTCGTCAGTCCGATCGTCCCGATCGTCTCGATCGCGATCGTGTTATGTCTGTCTGCAGCAGGCTCATGCCGCATCCACTGTCGTTCTCGAACAGGGTCCTCCTCCGACTGGCCAGAGCTACCTGAGCATCCCCAACATCATCAGTGCCATCAAGCAGACCGGTGCCCAGGCCGTCCACCCAGGTGCGCCCTTCGTTTATCCCACTCCTCGGTTCAACCCCGCATCATCGTGACGAAACTAAGGCTTAATCAATCACCTCGCACCTCCTCCCTCGCCCACTCCAACCATGTTTCTGTTGTCTCAGGCTATGGCTTCCTCTCCGAGAACGGCCACTTTGTCCACGCCCTCGATGAAGCCGGCGTCACCTTCATCGGCCCCAACGAAAAGTCCATGTTTGCCATGGGCGATAAGATCCAGAGCAAAATCATTGCCAAGGAAGCCGGCGTCAGCACCATCCCTGGCTTCAACGGCGAGGTCCGGGATGCCGACCATGCCGTTGAGATCGGTGAGTGGCCCTGACGCTCGTCGCAAGAGCAGTCCGCGCATTGCGCTGTTCGCCGAGAGACATCACTGTCTGTTGTTGGGATCTGTTGGCTCCCTGGAACCGCTGCCTCTCGAGAGATGCCCCTGTTCTGGACACCCGAACTGACCTGACCAATCCAATCCTCCCGGCCTTACTCCCCGACAGCCAACCAAATCGGATACCCCGTGATGGTCAAGGCCTCTGCCGGTGGTGGTGGCAAGGGCATGCGTATTGCCTGGTAAGTGAGCTGTCTACTCGTCCTCTGCATGTCGCGACTTGTCTTTGAGCATGCTTGGCTATGGCGTGCGCTTGATCACGGCATGGTACGGCATGGTACGGCACGGCGTGTCCTTCATCTACCTGCCTGCACCACGCAGCGGCATCGGATCGTGTCATGCGCCTGCTCTCCGCCAGGGATTGTGCGCTCACCATGTCTCTTGGCTGGCAGGAACGACAAGGAGTGCCGCGAGGCCTATCGTCTCTCTCAATCCGAGGCGCGCTCCAGCTTCGGCGACGACCGTCTCCTGGTCGAAAAGTTCATTGAAGACCCCCGCCACATTGAAATCCAGCTGATCGGTGACAAGCACGGCAACGTGGTACGGTATCGCGGCTGACTCTTAGTCGATGTGGCCTAGATGCCTGCAGCCTCACGGCTCGCTCACGGCTCGCTCACCCCGTGCTCATCTGTCCCTCTCTCTCACTCGCTCACACACTCTCTCCCCTGGCCCCCTCTGCAGTATTACCTTCCTGAGCGTGAGTGCTCCATCCAGCGCCGCAACCAAAAGGTCATTGAGGAGGCCCCCAGTGTCCATCTCGATGCCGCCACCCGCAAGGCCATGGGTGAGCAGGCCGTCGCCCTCGCCAAGCGTGTCGGATACTACTCGGCCGGCACCTGCGAGTTCCTGGTCGACCCCAAGCGCAACTTTTACTTCCTTGAGATGAACACCCGTCTCCAGGTGTAAGTATGCCGGCTCGCTGTGCTGCTCTGTAGCGCTCGTTGTCGCTTGGTGGTGTCTCTTTGCAACGGACCTGCCTGTTGCCGCCGCGGCTCTCCGTCGTCCGCCACGTCTCTGCTTCTTTTCTCTGGGGTGGCTGTCTCGGCGCACTGCCCTTGCCATTATGGATCTGCACCGCTGAGTCCTCACGGCCGACCTCTCTTGCTGATCCGCGTGCTGTCCACAGCGAACATCCCATCACCGAGTACATCACTGGCCTCGATCTCGTCGAGCAGATGATCCGTGTTGCTGCCGGACAGCAGCTTCCCTTCAAGCAGGATGACGTGCACATCAAGGGCTGGGCCTTCGAGTCCCGTGTCTACGCCGAAGACCCCGAGAAGTACCTGCCCTCGATCGGCCGTCTCAACAAGTACATTGAGCCCAAGGGCACCGGCAGCGAGGTCCGTTGCGACTCGGGTATTGTCGAAGGCTCCGAGATCTCGATCTACTACGATCCCTTGATCTGCAAGCTCTGTACCTACGGCGAGAACCGCAACCAGGCCATCCACACCATGGAGAAGGCCCTGGACAACTACGTCATCAAGGGTGAGTCGTTGGATAGAGCAACTGGTGGAGCGGTGGCAGCGAGTTTGAAAGTGGGGGGGGGTGTAACTTGAATCTGGCAGTTCCTTCGCTCTGCTGCTGTGCGTCGTGTCGAGGAACAGCAACAGGACCCGTGCGTGCTCCTTAGCGCCGACTTCACACTGCTGCAGCTCGCGTTGGTGTTGGATGTCCCCAGACTAGCCTGCATGTGCCGCCGCCCTGTGCTGACATTTGCATCGATTCTCCCTCCCTCTCCTACAGGCGTCACCCACAACATCCCCCTCCTCCGCGATGTCATCAGCCACCCCCGCTTCAAGAGCGGCAAGATCTCGACAAAGTTCCTTGCCGAGGAATACCCCACCGGCTTCAAGGGACACGCCCTGACGGCGGAATCCGAGGCGGAGCTTTTGTCGGTTGCGGCCCTCGTCCACGCCAAGCGCAGCATCCGCGAGAGCACCTGGAAGGCTGGCGGCGGCTCGTTCATCGAGAGCGGCGTCTCGGCGGCCCCGTCGTCGTGGGAGCTGTACATTGGCACCTCCAAGGACACCCTGAAGAAGGTCCAGATCCGCCAGAAGAAGGACGGCACCTTCGAGGCCAGCATCGACGGCAAGGAGCCTGTGACCGTCAACGCCGACTGGACCCTGGACTCGGCCCTGATCAACACCAGCATTGGCGGCCGTGACTTTACCATGCAGTTCCTGGAACCCATCTCGCTCGGCTACAAGCTGCAGCACTATGGCACAAAGGTGCGTTTGGATCAGAGCCGGATGGTAGTGGTGGTGGTGGTGGTAGTGGTGGCAGAGTGGACGATCCAGGGGTGCAAATGGCGAACTCATCTGCCGTGACGACCATGATCCACCAATTGGCTTAACTTGACCTGACTGGCGGACCTGACTGGCGGACTTGGCTGACACTCTTCCCCTTTGATCCTGCTCTGCTTCTCCAGTTCGATGTGCTCGTCCTCTCCAAGCAGCAGTACGAGCTCAGCAAGCACATGAAGGAGCGCCCCAAGCTCGATCTGACTTCGGTCGTTCTTGCCCCCATGCCCGGTGCCGTCGTTAGCGTTGCCGTCAAGGAGGGCGAGGATGTCGCCGAGGGATCCGAGCTGGCCATTGTCGAGGCCATGAAGATGCAGAACGTCCTGCGCGCTCCTCGCGCCGGCAAGATCAAGAAGATCCATGTTGCCAGCGGCCAGTCCGTCGCTGCTGATGAGATCATGATTGAGTTCTTCCCCGCTGGCAAATAATCATCATGCACTTGCGCCTTTTTCCCTCTCCCGCCGACAGTCTCCTGCCCATCCCATCGCCTGCCATCGCCGCCCATAGTTTCACCGGCACCGAGGCCCCCTCTCCACATTTTGCTTCCCATTCGTTGTTTCTCTCTTCTCTCTTTCACTTTTCTCTCTCTTGATTCCTTATTGTCTCGCTCCGAGATACGGTATAGCCTTTCCATCGAAGAAAAAATACAGAGGGGGCACTGCTCTTTACATCGTGTTGATGTTGATGTCGTCGCTGTTTGAGGAACGGAATCCACCCTTCCCTGCGGCGATCGGGATTGCGATTGTGGTCGCAGTTGGGAGGATTGGACGGCACAGCTTGTTGGGTTGCCACTTCTTTTGCAACGAAAGCAGCGGCTCAGGTGCGATGGCGGGTGCAGATATATCGCCTCCCGCCCCGCCGATTCGGCTCCCACAGAGCTTATGACTGGTGAGCAATGGCCCCTTCCCCAGGGCAGTTTCGCCGTTCAGGCAGAAGCAGTCGTGTCTATTCGCTCCCATTCGCTCTCGTTTGCTCGCTCTGGGCTTGGCGTCGGTCTTGGCAAACCTGGCCCCTCGTCCGGCTCACCCGCGCTCTTCCCCCCCCCAAAATAAACAAGTGGATTTTCGGGCTGGCGCAACGGTGCTCGGCCTTGGCGAAACGCCCTTCCAGAACGGTTGTGCCTCCGCCAAGTATTTTTGCCGAGACGCACAGACGCGTAAGAAGCACAAACAGGGCGGCCCTGCTGCGCACGGCAGTCCGAGAGCCTCGCTTGGGACGAGCACAACGGCGGCCACATGCGTGAACAGGAGGATGCGCAGGGTGTGTCGGGCTGGGCTGGGCTGGGCTGGGCTCGGCATGGCATGGCTGGTCCTATAAAAAAAGGCGGCTCGTCGCCTGCCAAGACGATCGTGGCCCGGCCCCAGAATAAGACCGCTGTTTCCGATCCCGCCGCCGGCGCTATTTGCTGTTACTTGCTGTTACTTGCTATTACCTGCAACTTTCAAGTATACACTTGCTTACTTTCAACTATAAACTTGCTTACTTGCAACTTTCACCTTTCTTGCCATCCGGGACTTGCTGCCACCGGACCCATCCAACCCACCCACTCGCCCCCCCCGCTCAGCCTTGCCCGTCGCCGACAAGCGGCCCCAATACCTGCCGTTTTCTGGTCAGTTTTATCTATATAAGCGCGCTTTCCCGCCCGTCTGGTTGCCTCGTCCTCCTCCTCCCCAAACATCACATCACATCGCTGGAGTCCTGTCGCTGCCCCCCCCCCAGCACACACCACGGCATCTGTGAGCACCAGAGAACCCACATCTGCGCAGGATCGGCTTCTCCAGCCTTCTGTCGCTGCTCGTTCCAGATCCAGCCATCACCGTCCTCATCCGCCATCGATTTGCACCCCACAGTCCCTTCCCCAACGATCCCCCCCCCAGTCGACCCTCCAGACCCTCTCTTTGGCACTCGCTCTTCGGCGCCTCGATTCCATCGCCAAGACTCTCGCTGCACACAGCCCCGTGCCCCCACCCGCCCACAGCCCGGTTTGCCTCTCGCTCAGGCACATACACGCACGCAGTGCCGATACAATCCCTCACAACGCAACTCCGAGGTAAGCCGGTCTGGTCCTGGACCCGTCGCCCGGATGGGCATTGCTTGCCCTTTTGCCTGCATCAGCAACCTCCCCCCCCACACCCACTCCCCAGCTCCAAGCGCCCCGATCAAGTCCGGTCGTCCACTGCTCGCTCGCATCTGCCCGTCGTTCGTCGCCGTCGCTCCATCCTCCTCCTCCATCGCCCCGCCCCGCCACCATCTTCTGTTTCCCTGGTTCGGTCCCGCCGTTCGACTCGCTCACCGCGCCTCGTCCACACCTTGCGTTCCATCCCATCCTTCTTTCCCGCCTTCTGTGTCCGATGCTCTCTCTCGTCCAGATGCTCTCCCAAAGCAACGACGCTGCCGAGCCCTGCATATCGTTTGCAGGCCATGGTAGCCTCAACGGCTCCGACGCCAGCGGCACTCCCCCGCCGTCGACCCGGGACTCGCCCGATGTGCCCGAGTATCGCTGCCAATGGCACCATCCCCATTCTTGCAACCAGATCTTCCATGATCCCTCATCGCTCTACCACCACCTCACCCGCGACCATGTCGGCCGCAAGCTCCAAAACAACCTCTGCCTGAACTGCCACTGGGGCGACTGCCAGGTCCAGACCCTCAAGCGAGACCACATCACATCGCACCTGCGGATCCATGTGGCGCTCAAGCCCTACAATTGCGAGGTATGGTCAGCGGCCCCCAATACTCGGCGACCATCCATCCGGCCATCCATCCGGCCACCTCTGTTTGCTTGTGATGGCCTTTGCCGTCGGTGTGGCTCGCTTCGCTCATCGGCCTCATCCTTCTGTGTTTTTCCCCGCAGACCTGTCGACGAGGGTTCAAGCGTCCCCAGGATCTCAAGAAGCACCGCCGGGTGCACCAGACCGAATCCTGCTTCCTCGAGAACCACGATGGCCCCAAGCAGGCGCTCAGACGAGATATGGATGCCTCGTCCCGCGCCTTGGCCAGCAGCCCCTCGGGTCTCTATCGGCATTGGCTCGTGTCACCGCCGCCAAGCGAGAGCCACAACCCGGTCTCGAGCAGCGGCCGATTCGTGGATTCAAGCGAGCACTTTGCAAAGTCCAACGGGAAGTTTATGGACTCTCGCGACCGCTATGCGGATCCCAGAAGCCACTACGTGGATTCGCGAGACCGCTATCTGGATCCGCGAGATCGCTATGTCGATTCGCGAGATCGCTGTGCAGGTTCCCGCGACCACTACCCAGATTCACGAGATCGCTATGTGGATCCAGACGATCGGGTACTTTGCCCAAACAACAGTCGGCTCTTGCCACCCGAGCGGGACTCCCGATCATACGAGCGAACCCCGGATGCTCGCTACGATGGCAGCGAGCCCGAAAGCAGCGGCGGCTCGCCGTACAAGCCCTACATGGACCGAGAGTCGCCCGACACCGATCGTAAGTGGCCGCGTTGGCAGCCGGACAACGGCGCTTTGATCTCGGGCTTCGACGCACTGCTCTGGATATCGCTGCCTGAGAGATAGAATAGCAATCGATTCACCCGCACGGGTGCTGACCGGGTCTCCTCTTGGCTTGCCTTGCAGATTCCGCATCCTCCGAGGTCTCCCCGATACCACACCGGTCACAACGATACGATGCCCACGCCCATGCCCATGGCGATGTATATCGAAGCCACAGCGACCGCATGGCATATGCCCGAACAAAGATCAGCGCCCTGATCTCGCACTGCTCCGAGTACCATCCATATCGCCGAGAGTGAGCACCCTTACGACTCTCTCGCTCGCTCGCCCTCCCACTCTCTGCCTCGATGGCCCACGCCCCCTGGGCAGTCTCTTTGATATCCCGCTGGTCCACATGGCCATGTGCTCTCCTTGATCATCCCGATCCGCCATCCCGATCCGCCATCCCGATCCGCCATTCTGACGGCACTTCACGAGCACTCCACTCCTTCCAGCTCCCATTCCATCCTTCTGCCACATTCGTCTGTGCTCATACAGCTCCCCTCCCCATCCGCATGCCGTGCTCCTTCTGGTCGCTGCGAGGACATGGCAGGGGAGGGTTGTTGATTTGTGTCGCAACCGATCCACGATGTCGGCATCTGCTCGGGTCATCAGCACCACCAACACCAACATTCAACACCACCGTCATGACCGCCCCCCCCCGGTCGGCCCCAGCCCAGCCCCCAGTCTGCCCCGGCGAATCCCTGTCCCGGCCTGTGTTCTGCTCCGCCATAGTCTCGTTGGCCACTGTCTATGCCAAACTTTGTCCCATCTAACCGCGAAAGCATATACTACTTTGGACTGCTACGGCATACCACTCCACTCGCTGGAGGGCGGAAACCACGCTGCTTGCGCTCTCCTCCGCTGTATCGCGCCAGCCAGTCCATTCCCTTCCACCCTGACCTCGTATTGCCTATCACGGCTTTGCAATATACGGCGTACCCAACACGAAACGGGATACTCCCCCCCCCCTGTTATGAGGCAGGGCTGTTGGACTGGAGACCAAGTGACTCGAGAAGGTCGACGATCTTGATATCGAGAAACCGCGGAGATGTCCTGGTGGTCGAACCGGGACAGGAATGCAATATCATAGCATGTCCACCAGGACCGACATGTCACTAAGGAACACTCAGGGACATGCTGCTCCGTATCAAGCGGTTCACATCACCGCGGCCTGAATCCCTGTTCTCACTCTTCCGTCTCACTGGTGGGTGAATGGCTTGCAACCATATCGAGAACGGTGTCCCTCTCCGGCGCCTCATCTCTGCCTCTGTGCTGGACGTTGATATCAATTAGTTGGCTGTTGCAAATCGGCAAAGCTGAAAGCATGAGAGATTCGAAGGGGAGAGAAGGGGAGAGAAGGAAGCAAGAAACGCAACAGCCATGCCAACAGCAACAGCAACAGCAACATCAACCCCAACGGCACATCAAAAGCAACACAGTCGGCACAGATTACACAATGAAATGACGCAGATCGCATAGACACCGCTGCGACAACCACGCCTGTCGAAAGCTCATCCCATCCCACCATCGTTCTACGGCAAGTAAACATGGCCGCACACCGTCATAATCACCCATCCCGCCAAGACCGCCACAACTCCAACATCGATCAAATTGAGGAAGAGAACAGTAAGCATGAAATGCGGCTGAGGGAAAGGGGGACAACAACGCCTGGATACTTTCTCCTCAGCAGAACTGAACAGAATCCGATGCCCCCCCCCGATTCCCACCCGTCAATCGATGATTTGCGAGATCACGATAATTCCAAGGAGGCAGCACAATTGAACAGCGACCGGAAGGAAGAAGAGCAGATCGAATCAGCAAACGCTACCAGACACACAGACGGCTGGATGTTTCACCAGCACGGCGGCCTTGGTCTCGGACGACGGAATGGATGGCCTTCCCCCCCCCCACCATACCTTCCATCGGTTGTCGCAGTTTACACAGGTCACAAATGTCGTCATGGGCTCGTCAGCACTGCGGGTCTGCTTCTGAAAGTATTTGGTCTTGCGCTGGCCGCAACGTCCGCACTTGAACATGTCGGTCTCGGCTTGGGTATCCGTGGCCGTGACGGCCCAATGTAGGCTCTCTTTGTGGGCTTCCTCCACCTCGGCCTTGCGCGAGGCCGTCATCATGTCCTATGGCACAGACCACGTCCGATCCGCCCAGCGTCAGAACGGAACGAAAGTCGAGAGCAGAAAAGGGAGCCACCTTCTCCCTGCCCTGGTTCCTGATGCTGCCATCCTCGGGTCACAGCGAGCGAGCTCTGTCCCTGGCTGCCACAGGCTGGATCCTGGGACAACGCACAGACAACCTCGATCGAGACGAGGGCAAGGATCGACCTACCTCCTTGCTCATGTTGGCAAAATCGGTGGCGCCAACGGCGCCGGTGATGACTCGCCATCGCAAGTCCGCGTTCTTCTTCAGGTTGAAGGAGAGCGAGCTGATCTTGCTCGTGTACTTGGGGCTTTGGGATCCCAGCTCTCGGGAAACGGACGCCTCGATGTTCATTGCGATACTCAGCAGGCGCTTGCCGTCTGCAAAAGCAAGATTGTCGGCAAAGCCGATCGCCCATGGATCAGTCAAAGCCGCTGCAAACAGCGCAAAGAGCCCACTACTATGTGATCATTCGCAAACCACACACTCAGGCAGCGGACGGACCTGTGTCGGTGTCCTTGGCGAGCGAGGTGTACAGCATCCCGATGCACTTGTCTCGGAGAGTGTCGCCGCTGGAGCTGAACTTGAGCTTGTCGCCTGCGATGGTTCGGACCGTTGGTGTTGACGATGCCGAAGAAACCGGCGAGGCCGCGGCGGCCGGAGACGACTCTTTGACGACAGCAGTGTTGATGGCTGCAAAAGCGATGCAGATCGGCGAGTCGTGTGGTTAAGGAGACGAACGGACTGGGGGTGGCCCATAGCGAGTGCCGGAGTTGCATGTTCGGAGAGAAGCTCGCAGCACCCACACGGACGCATCTTCAGGCATTACCAGGAAGCTTCTTCTTGGTCTCGGCGGCGGATGGAGACGGCAATGACTCTGCCGCTCCTGTTGCCGTCGAGGGCTTTTCTTCAATCTCCTTCTTCCACTTGCCCACCAGGCTCTTTGCCGCCTGTCGGACCTCCGAGCTCAGCTTTTCGTTTTTCCTGAGGTCGCCGACCACGACACCGATCTTGGTTTTCTGCACATATCCAAGGGATTGAAGATCACCCCCCCCCAAAAAAAAAGAACCAAGAAGACGACGATTTGTCAACGAGGAGCAGAAATCACGAGGACGAGAGGATGATGACAACGGCCCATCACGAGCTTGGGCCGGAGGATGGATCGCTTTCCTCTGCTCTTGGATGGGTGAGGGTGTTCGAGCACGAGCGGCCAAATGAGACATACTCTCAGCAGGTCCTTGGTCACCGAGATGCGATTGAGTCGGAGCAGCGCATCTGAGATGGCCTGAGGGATGCGTCGAGAATAAGCGCATGCACAATCGTTGGAGCCCGATGGATCGATAGATTGATGAGCCGATGGCGAGAACCAAGAGTCGACAAGAAGTCGAGACGGCCAATGAAAGATACAAGGAACGAGGGTTAGAGCGCAGGGTCGTCAAAAAAAGGACAGGAGAATGCAGGCCACCACGGTCGGAAGCCAGGATCTTCAGCGCCAGGACCATCAGCGCCAGCATCGCGACGAGCGAGTCGCCTGGTGTTGGAGCGAGACGAAATGGTCAAGGCCAGGCCAGCGCAAAGATCAAGCAACGTCGCGCGGCCATGCATTCATGCACCGAGAGGACAGGGGGGGGGTCATGATCCGCGACGCAGGGGGAGAGGCGATCAGTACCGATGACTTGCTGTCGGGTAAACTCTTGACGATCGCCTGCTTCAGGGACAAGACGTCCTCTTCGATGCGGCTCATGGCTGGAGGTGCAAACGGCGGAGCAGGGTGGATGGATGGTGGACGCCGTCGGGAGCGAGTGTTGTTGGATGGGACGACCGGGGCGAGACCGACGTTGGAGAGGAGGCGCTTCGGCTGTTCAGGCTCGCTGCCGGCTGCAGACGGCGACGCAGATGCAGGTGAGATGCGGGCGATGGTGTCGATCCCGCCAGAGTCGTTCGCAGCGAAAAAAATTCGGTCTGGCCAGTGTCCCACATGACCGCGGTCCTCGCACACTCCGCGGCGACACAGGCCAGACCAAACGAACACCCGGCCCAGCGAAGGAGGCGGCGACGGGTGCTGGGGCTCGCTGCCTCGGTCTGCTCCTGTCGGGCTTTGCTGCTGTCCGGCTTGCTCCTGCGTGCCTCGGTCTGCTTCTCGGTCAAGCACCGCATCCCAGCCAAAAGCCAGAACAATGACGGTCAACAGCGACATCGTGGTCTCCTACTGCTGGAGCGATAAGCCCGTGGTCAAGAAGCTCGTCCAGCGACTGAGAGACAGGGACCTGTCCATCGGCTTCGAAGAGTACAAAATCCGCCACGACGGTCTCCTCGACCAGGAGGCTGCCAACAGCATCAGCAACTGCAAGGCCTTTGTGTGCTGCCTCTCGCCCAGCTACGAAAAGAGCAAGGCTTGCATGAACGAGCTCCGCTTCGCCGCCGACCAGCACAGGCCGACCCTGCCCGTCCGTCTCGGCCACGACAGGCTTGGTGACGAGGTGCATCGGGCCATCGCCAGCAAGACCGGCCACTTGCTCGAGACCGATTCAGACGAGGATATCCAAAAGGCCGTCGACGCCATCATCAGCATCGTCGGCGAAATCGACAGCGCCGACCCGGCCGCGCCCTCTGCAGGCGACGCTGCCGCAGACTCGCAAGCCGCCAAGTCCCCCTCGGGCCCGCACGGGTTCGAGCGCCTGGCTTACGACGAGGCCAACAGCAGAATCACCGTCAAGAACCTTTCGGACCAGACGATCCTCTGTCGCGTATCGGGCTTCAGCGGCGGTAGTAGCGCCTGGTTCCCCATTAACCCCAACGGAGAAGACAGTTGGGGCCGCAAGGGCTGGGAGGCAGTCGAGATCCGCAACCGCAACGACACCATCCACTTTGGCACATACCTGCCCCCCGGCGTCGTCATGGGCCTCCGCGACTTTGAGATAACGGAGAAGAACTCGCCGTTCATTGTCGAGGAGAACCCTGGTGTCGAGGGCATCGCTTTCCGAAACGACTCGTCAGGGTCCGTCGAGTGCCGCGTCACCAAGTACTCGAACGCCGAGGGCTCGGACGAGATCGTCACCATCGAGCCCAACGGCCAGGATCGATGGAACCGCAGCAACTGGGAGGTCCTTGTGGTCATCGACAGCGAGGGCCGCCGCATCGGCGTCGCCGTCAGCAGCGGCAAGCTTGTTCAATTCCAGGGCATCCAATAACGGGAAGTGGCCCTGGTGGCTTTGGAGGGGAACAGAGCACCAAATACAGGAGTGCTCGGCTGTGTCTGTCTCTGCTGAAACTGTCATCGCAGATGCACAATAAGAATGCCCAGGGCAGCTCACCCATACATCTCTGCCAGCGAGTTAAAGCGGTGTCGTCTCGTGTTCGAGCGCCATGTCCCACTTTGCGATTGCACAGCATAACCGATGCGAGCCATTCCAATTGACGAAACCCGCCAGCACACTTGAGGGACCTGGCATCCGAGCATCGGGCGAGCAGAGCTCGCATTCGCGCTGGTCGATCGGCTTGGAGAGCGATGCGGTCCTGGTTGGACTGCCTGTGGCGCACCATGTGACTTCCGCATGACCGGCGCTCAAATCTGAGCGAACTGCCGTTGCGCAGATCAGCAGAATCCGATCCAGCAACTGCCTGCACGATCGCAGCTCCGAACCGATATCATCCAGCACAGGGCACTCTGGCCGCCGCCCTCCTGATCCACACACGCACACGCACACGCACCACCGCCCTCAAGCATGTCTCTGCTCGCGCCTGTGGAGCGGGCTTATATCCTCGATGGTGTCGAATGCGACATCCGCGCCGATGGACGAAACCGTCTGGACGCCCGCCATCTGACCCTCGAGACCGGCATGATCACACAGGCCTCGGGCTCTTGTCGAGTGTCCGTCGACGGTGGAACCGATGTCCTCGTCGGCATCAAGGTCGAGATCGAGACCATCGATCCCAATCCCGAGGGCGACGCGGAGGTCTCGGCCTTCGACGAGACCGCTGAAACGATTGACGAAGATCGACGTGACAAGGGCCGGATTGTCTGCTCGGTCGAGTGGTAAGGACTGCCAGCACGATCGGCGCTGTCAAAGGGCGATTCTGCACGGAGACGCTGGATGAGCATGGCTGCAAAGGCGGGTGGCAGCCGCCTAGCATCTCGGGCCCAGACAGGACGCAGCCCAACCCGAGCAACGATCCGACACCAGTCGTCGCCGATCGGGGAGCAACAGCCAGCAGCATCCTCACCAGCGGAGAATGCCGGTGCAGAGCAAAACGAGAGCAGTCGCATATATTGTCAGTGAAGACTGGCGATGGACTGGTAGAGATGATGTGCCTTCATCCGTCACCACGGCAATCTGGGAACAGAGCGGAACATCAACGGGCGACAGATGCATCTTCCCTTCCATCCACGAATGACTGACGCAATCCATGATCGAACATGTCCCCATCTCTGCCGCCGCCTGCCCAAAGCTCGCCATCGCTCAGCGCCGTCCTTAGCCAACGTCAAGTCGAAGATCTGTGCATCGAGTACAGCCAGTATATGACCCGTCTGCTGAACAGCCCCGAAGGCGGACTCGATCTCAAGGCCCTGTGCATCATTCCAGGCTCAACGTGCTTTGTGGTCTACATCGACGTCTTGGTGAGCCTGCAGACATGCTCTCGTTGTTCCGGCTGAGGGGCGTGGGGCCGAGCCCGGCACCGCCATGTCAAACAGCATAGTTGATCATGTCCGTTCGTCACCGACAGATCCTCGACTATGGAGGCAACCTGCTCGACATCATCTTTCTGGCGACTCGCGGCGCCTTCCACAACACCAGGATGGTCAAGGCTACGGCCGAGCAGTTGGATGGCCAGGTTGCTTTTGACGTCTCAGAGGAGGAGTGCGAAGTGGTCCGAGGTTGGGAGAACCTTCCCATCGTCGTTACGCTGAGCAAGGTGAGTCGATCCCGGACCAGCAAGCGTCACGAGAATCCCACGACGGCCCCTGTCTCGACGCAAGTCTGGAGCTGCTCCGCATGACAAGCCAAGTGCCGACAAGTCCGCTGACTCTTTGTATGTGCGACTGCTGCGACTCGCCTCTAGATCGGAAGACGGCATATCCTCGACGCCTCGCCCCTGGAAGAACTGTGTGCCGAAGCGCGGGTCTATGTCGCCGTCAACGAAAGAGGACGCATCTGCAGCATACAGAAGAGCGGCGAGGGAGGGATCGAGCCCAGAGGACTCTCTGATATGGTTCAGGTAACGGTGGCTGGATCCGACTCCTCGATATGCCGGTTGTAGCTGTCGCCGCTTCACTGATGTGCATTCCCCGGGAGCATGGGAATACGCCGATCGATTGGGCGTGCGGCTCTCCAGACCCGTTCGCTGCGATTGATTCTGACGACATACACTCCTGCTCGCCCATGTCCGCCTGGCAAATGTCGGTTCCCACAAATATCTGGTTCGTCGCCGGCAGACGGCAAAGCAACTGGCCCCGGGAGTCTTCAAGAAAGTCGGAAACGTCCTGGCGGAGGAGGCAAGGAGGATCCAGGATGGCCAGACGCCAATCGGATACTACAACTGACCAAGGCGGCACGATCTTCGCAGACGTCTCCAAGACCGCAATATCTAGTGCGAATCATCGCCAATACAGACCGTGCAAAGAAGCAGCCGGAGAGCTGTGGCTGTTGCCGACCCCGACACCCAAAATAGTGAGAGGCAGCTCCTCGACCGAGCTGGAGATGTATTGACTTCAAGGCGTTCCAGTGAATCGCAGCGTGTGTCGGAGACCAAGCCAAGGTATTCAAAGCGATGGATCGGGCGCAATGTGGGGATATGATCTAGGCCTTGGGTGCCCACAGCGATCCCACCTCGCTGATGAACTTGACGCTTCCGCGCTCAAACTCCCAGTCCTTCTGAGAGCCGTGCAGCCAGGCCAGGGTCGCGAGCCGGAACTCAGCAAACTCGGCAAGATCCCGGAAGTCGTGGTCAGAGAGGTCGGTGTACTTGCGGCCCTGGACAGCAAAGTCGTCTTTGATGGCCTCGGAGATGTATCCGTCTTCAAGAGCCCGGGCCGTGGCCTGCTCGAGGGCAGTTTCGATGTTGTCCATGATGGTTCGGAGGCTGCTGGGGATTTTTCTGCGGGCCTGCTCAACGGCCTGCAGCCGCTCCTGCTTGGTGGCAGCATCTAGGGTCGTATCCTGCTCGATGAGCGATGTATCCAGCTGGCGCTTGAGGTCGAGGACGACCTGCACTCGGCTTCTCCAGAACCAGGCCTCGGCCATGTTGACTTCCCGAGCGAACGCCTCCGGGTCGACCTGATGAGAGGGCCTGGAGCCCTCACCGCTCTCAAAGTACTGGACAAACTGGTCGATCGTCTGCGGGAAGGCCGGGATAATCGCCGTCGACTGGAAGAGGTGCTCGCGAGGGAACGGTTGATAGTAGGCCGGGATCCGGTCAGCAATCTTGAGGCTCCAGAGCAGCGTGCCTGCGATGTGAAGCACCCACAGTTAGCTGTCGGAACCAGTACCATCCAGCGAATCCCCGAGTTGAGATCATGACAGTGCCTGCCTGCTGTCTATGGCCGATCGGAGCCATCGCGGCCACGGAGACCCTTGGCAGCTGGCCTCGGGGCAGTGAAAGCAGGATCGAGGGATCGACAGGATCGACGGGATCGGCGGGATCAAAGGGATCGACGGGATCGATAGGATACTCACCAAACGACTCCCATCTCGGAACCAGCGGCGCGAGATCGGCTTCCAGCGACCATTTGCCCAGATCCTTCTCCATGAGCGACTTTTCCTATTGAGGATGCGCAAGTCAGCTGGCGGACAAATCCCCAGAACCATCTGCACCCCAGATCGCACGATCCCGCCCGCCCAGACAGCTGGTCGAGCAGGCTCACCCTGGCAGTCATCCACGGCTCCATGCCGGCCTCCTGGATCGAGCGTTTGAGAGCGGCAAAGCTCTCGTGGATTCTGGGTTCCTGGGCGTCCTTTTCGCTGTTGCTCTGGACAACGGCCTCGATGCCCCAGCGAGTGAGCAGCAGCTGGGTGCAGGCAACCCGAAGAGCGATCTCCTTGGGCGTCCGCACAATCGGAGACGACGACAGCGACGGAGCAGCCTCGCTGGCAAGCCATCGCGCTCCAAAGCGAGCAGCTGGGAAGCTTGCACACTTGGTCATCGACCGGCGCATGGCTGAGACGGCACCAATGCAAATCATGGATGTTGGCAGATGCGCCGAGAGAGCGAAGGCTGGACGATGTCGGGAAGAGTGCGGCCCAGGCACCGAACCAAACATGCACCAAAGAAATACAGCCGTCACGTGCACATCGAGTGGCGGCGGCCAATCAGCGCGCGCTTTTGGTGGAGACATGCCACACCCAATCTGACCGAACAGAGGTAGTCTCGAGGAAGTTTGATGAGGCATGGGCCCCGACACGCTGTATTGAAGTGGGGGATTGAAATTGGCCATAAGTGGCTTAAGGAGATATAACACAAAATTGGGCCGCCATGTTGCGGACGAAGCAAAGGGGCGATTAGGCCGTCGCGTCAGGTCGACACCCCTCAAGAGAACTGAACATTGATGTCTCCGCTGGTCGTGGAGACGATCAGGTGGCTCGGCGAGGTGCTTCCGCCAACCTGTCCGGTGGCTCCCTTCGAGCCGGTCTGGGTGTTCATCACGACCGAGGTGCCGCTGACCTGGACCGAGCCAGAGTTGGTAGTGATGCCGATGGAGCCGGCAATCGGGCCCGAGAACCGGGGGCTGATATCGCCGCTCGTGGCCCCGAATTCGAGGGAATATGCGGTTGAGGTAGTTCCAGTGAGCGAGACACTCAGCGAAACGTCGCCGCTGGTGGAAGACTGCTTGAGCTGGGAGCCGATGGCAATGTCGCCCATGAGCTGTCCGCTCGTAGTGGTGAAACCGGCGTGTTGGGAAGCCGAAGACCCCTGCAATTCACCAGGGCTTGTTAGAAGTCTGATAAATGCGGTATTGTCTCGGCCCAGGAACAATAAGATACGATCCATGCAGTGGCACTTACGGTCGTCTGGATGTTGCCACTGCTGGTCGAGACATCGAGCGAAGCCAATCGCACGGCCGTGAGGCCGACATTGCCGCTGGTGCTGACGACAGAGAGAGTGCTGATGCTGGAATTCTGGAGGAGTCGGTAGTTGGTGAGATTCACGACCGTTGACAAACGACACCAGAGAAGCAACAGTCACAAGCGACCGATTCCTACCTGGAGAACCAGGTTGCCACTTGTTGCTTGAAGATGGAAGTTGGATGAGGTTGCTGTGGCCACGTTCTGGAGCCAGACGACAATGTAAGTGAGCATGTCAAAGCACTAGCAGCTCTATGCACTCGTTTCTATATTCCTGCTGGCTTGATAGGCTTACCGAAACGGCCACATTAGCACTGGTGGCTTGGATCTGGACATACCCAAGGGACTGAGTCGAGTACAGATTGTTGACCGCGACGTTACCGCTGGCGCATGTAAGACTGATGTTGAGGGCACTGCTGAGAACTTGGGGAAGCTGGACCTCGACAGCAACAAAGTAACTCTGGGCAACAATCACCGTTGGAGCCTGGACCAGGAGCGACAGCGTCCCCTGGGTGTTGACGGTGGCTGATACTTGGCTCAGCAGCGACTGGTCCGAGAGATGGTAGTGGTAGGTGAGGAGGACATTGGAGTTGTTGAGATTATGGGAGGTGAGGACAAAGCCAGCCGACTGTTGATGGTGCGAGGCGAAGGGTTGAGCAGCGTGTGCAGTGTGTGCAGTGTGGTTGACAACATTGAGAACATCGTTAGCGACAAGTCGGTGGACGTGAGGGAACGGTGGCATCGCAGAGACAAGACTGTACATGCCAGGGCCAAGATCGGCAAAGCACAACCAACAACCACTTACAATCGAGCCCTGGACGCTGACCGAGACGGCCGAGATACCACTGGCGCTGATCGGCGACTGGAGCGGATACGAAGGATAGCTGCCTTCGGGGATCATCGGGAACGGACTCTCGAACTCGTTTTGAGGCTGCAGGTTCGAGTTTGACGGCCACTGGTAGTTGCCCTGGATTGCTCCAAAGATGACTTTCTGCGGACCAAGAGAGTGGTCGACAGGACCATGCAGTGAGCGGCCTGCAAATGAGACTCTCATGACCATCTCTAAACTAGTCGTCAAGCTGGTTACCAAGCTAGACCTACATGGTAAACACCGAACACAATTCCAGCGGCGATCAGGATGACCAACACAAATATGCCGATCCCGATACCGCAGCACCGCAGCTTGCGCGACCGACGGAGACGCCGCTGTCTCTCGAGGTCAGAGTCGTTGGTTTGGGCGAGGTAGGCGACGAGCTGGGTCTTCTGATCGGGATACTCGGCGTGGGAAGGGAGATCATTGGCCAGTCCATCGGGCTGATAGACGGGCTGGGCATCGATGGGCTTATATGTGGGCAGGTATTCGCCCTTGGGCTGGTCGTAATTGTTATGAGGGCTGTTGGGTGTATCTTTCTTGATGTTGCTCATGGCTGCACTGGCTGATGATTTGGTAGTGGGTTGAGAATGTATTGGGAGAGCGTTGATGGGGGCGACCTTCTTGGTGGGCCGGTGCGGAGATTATATCTTCGACACCGTCCTGGTACAGGCCTGTTCCGGATCAAGGAAAGGCTCTTGGCGGAGGCGGCGGCACGACCGATGCCAAGGGCACTGCACAACCGAAGTATTGCAGGATGGGACGTTGACTCGCGGTGGTGCATCGTCCTGCCAAGAATCCGGTGAAACCGCGGATTCTTGGCATCTTGGCAAAGAGCGGTTCTTGCAATCATCGCCCCATTGTGGCCACTTGCTGGTGCATGGCGGAGCGTGCATGCAGGCTCGAGGCAGACCCACCGTCAACCGCACCCTGGCGCCATCGATCTGAGAGCATCCGAGCATCGCGCCCGAGTGTCCAGGGGGTGCGGAGGTTCTTCGATCAACTCCGATGATCGAGTTGTTCGAGGAGGCCAACTCGCCACACGCGGTCGATTCGAACAACTCGATCATCGGAGTTGATCGAAAGCGCTCTGCCCCTCTGGACACAAGCCAGCGAGGGCCGGGAAGGATTTGGGAGATGCCGCACTCGGATGATGACTTTTATTTCGAATTGAAAGCCACCGGCACCTGGTCGGCACCAGCAGTTCGATATCTCAGGAATAGTTGAAAGCAGAGCAAACGAAAGCTGGCAGGCCTATTTCTTTCCCTCTCTCGCTGGACTTTCATCGTCTTGCGGGGAGGTTTGGCCCGGCCTTGGCGGTGACGATTGATCTGAAGACCCACCTGAGTTGCTTTGGAATGACCAGCGCACTTTTGTTTTGTGCGCCTGCCCCCATTATCACTGATGATCAACAAAACGGCAAAGAGCCGACCGCAGCCTGCTCGCCTCCGACGACCATGTCGAGCCTGTGGGCTGCGAAGAAATACAAACTGGAAATGGCTACACTGCATGGCAGTCCTGGTGTGTAATCGTTGTCACCGTCTTGGCTGAGAGGCGGCCCGGGCTTCGTCCATGCTTCACAGGCTCGTCCGTAGCACTTCAAGCCTTTCGGGCGACACTATGGATCTGGCGGCCCATCCTGAAGCCGTTGATGCCGAAAATGACTCCGAGGTCCCTGAACTCCCTGGGCACTTCGATTTCTCGGCTGATTGCGTCCAGAGCGACCGAGATGTCATGCACTACTCGGCAGTTTCCTTCTATCAGTCTTTGATCTCTGGGTCTTTGATCTCTGCTCGGTGGTCTCGCTCCCACCCATCTCCCCGAGAGTCTCTCGCTTGCTCCTCGCTCGTGACTCGCTCCTCGGTTCTCTCGCTTCCTCGTTTTTCGAATGCAGTCCGATTTTCGAGTTCGCTGGACTTGCCTCTGATCTCCTGAAACCATGAACGGCGAGGATCCTTCTCGCTTCGGGCCTGGTGTCCTGCGGCACCAATTCTACAACCCGCACTCCCAGCACCACAACTCCCATCACCAGCCTCCGCAAGTTCCCTCATAGTCGGGCGTTCCCTATGACAATCTTTTTCTGGGACCGCAGTCAGCTCATCCCGATCTGTTGTCGCATCAATCCGCTCGTCCCTCCTATAGACCGCCAAACCATGAATGCTCTCCGTCCTTTGCCAATCCACGCCCGCTAGCCCACAACTACCTGCCTTCTGCTAAGATCGTCCTCAACACTCGTTTCATCACGGCCCTGAGATCCATCCTTCCTATGTATCCGCTGTGGACTCTCAAGCCCCTACACCGCACGCTTGCTCTTCCTCGATGCCGAAGGATGCTACTGTGAGTGTGACCGGCTTACTCACTCCTTCTGCTGCGTCGGAACGATTGGGAACCGACGATGATTCCTCTGAGGACGGGGTCCCCTGCCACTCCTTCGTGCTCTGGTTGGGAGTCTGGCACAGACTCCTCCAGTTCACTGGGGTTTGCTTGACGGCTGGCCCCCGGTACTCGCTCCGCTGCGGCATCCAGGTCAATGGGTTGGTATTCCTGGGGTTCGACGTTGATCAGTTCCCAGGAGATCGGCTTTCCCCTGGCGGCTTCTCCGACGAGTCTGTCGAACTCTGGCTGGTATACTCTGGGCACCCTCATCTGGACCATTCGGGCAGAGTTCGACAGACTCGTTGGAGAAGCCTCAGGGGAAAGCCGATCTCCTGGGAACGGATCAACGTCGAACCTCAGGAACACCAACCCATTGACCTGGATCAAGAGCGAGATACTCCACCCAGTAGCGACTGTAGTCGCGGAGTGGCTCTGCGACATCAGCCGAGCCGCAGTCAAGGCTTCGATCATCCCCACCGAATGAAGCACCGTCCTGATCCATCCGGTATACAAGAACAAGGGATCGCAGCTGAACCCAGCGATGTACCGGCCGATAGGCCTCACGCAGGTGTGTCGCAAAGTCCTCGAGTGGGTACTGCCGCCATACCTGACAGATGCCTTCCGACCGATGGACATCGCACAAGGCGGTTTCCGATCCAAACGCGGAACTCTTGACCAGATATACGCACTGGACTGTCTGATCGAGGATCGCAAAACGGCCGGAGAAGAATATGCCCTCGTCTTCCTGGACATCAAGGCTGCATGCGACAACGTATGGCGAGAGAAGATGTGGGCCAAGACAGAGGGCCGCATGGAAGACACAACTTTGATCGA